TCCTGTGCTCCGGTGGATAGCCCATACTCATGTACATACTAGCAGCAAAAATGAGACTTAGTGGGTCATTAAAAAAGAAACAAAGGAGGGTAGGGGACATGAAGTTAAGAACAGAGCATGCTGGGAGAGGATACGAGGGCAGTTGGAAGGGAGAAATGGATAAGGTCATATTTCATTGTATATATGCATGAAACTCTTAAGAACAAAAAAACACTTTAAAATTGAGCAAAAATTTACTCACAAAAAAGTATGCTTTTCATTTAAAAAGAGTCTATGTAAATGTCAAATAAATGCAATATAATTCTCTACCTAACATCACGGATTCCGAAACCTCCTCTCTGCCAACTTTGCAGAATTCAGTAGCATTTTTTTTTGTTTTGAACCAGCAAAACAACTGAGCAGGGAATCACATTTGAAACCCAAGAGGCATAGTATGCACCCTCATCTGCGAGGCAATAAAGCAGAAGCCCCTGAAGACGATTTACTTGGAATATTATTCCTAATTGCTCTTTCCTGTCATCACTTACACCTTCCAGCCAAGACAGACCATGCAGAAAATGTCACAAGCCCAAATGTCAGCAAAGACTCACTTTGGACCTACTAATAAATACCAGACTTTAACATTTTAACGCTAATGTGTATCACAGGAGTAATGTTTCATTTTACTCCAGAGTAATAAAAAAAAACACAATCCTTAAAGGACACCCACACTAATTTCTCAGTCAGCAAATTGGAATAAATAACTATACTTGATTTTAAGTCTCCATTAAATACAGTAAAACTAGATGTCGATTTGTAAATTCAAATAGCATCTAGGGAAACATCCCAGAGAAAAGAGTAAAGGTGAGAACTCTGCTTGTGAGGCACCCAATATCTAAAAGGGAAAACAAGTACAGGAGACAATGCCACAGATTCAGTGCACTGGAGATGGGCAGACTGCACTGGAGATGGGCAGGCTGCACTGGAGATGGGCAGACTGCACTGGAGAAGGGCAGACTGCACTGGAGATGGGCAGGCTGTACTGGAGATGGGGCAGGCTGCACTGGAGAAAGGAAGGCTGCACTGGAGATGGGCAGGCTGTACTGGAGATGGGCAGGCTGCACTGGAGATGGGCAGACTGCATTGGAGATGGGCAGGCTGCACTGGAGAAGGGCAGGCTGCACTGGAGATGGGCAGACTGCACTGGAGATGGGCAGGCTGTACTGGAGATGGGCAGGCTGCACTGGAGATGGGCAGACTGCATTGGAGATAGGCAGGCTGCACTGGAGAAGGGCAGGCTGCACTGGAGATGGGCAGACTGCACTGGAGATGGGCAGGCTGTACTGGAGATGGGCAGGCTGCACTGGAGATGGGCAGACTGCATTGGAGATAGGCAGGCTGCACTGGAGAAGGGCAGGCTGCACTGGAGATGGGCAGGCTGCACTGGAGATGGGCAGGCTGCACTGGAGATGGGCAGGCTGCACTGGAGAAAGGAAGGCTGCACTGGAGATGGGCAGACTGTACTGGAGATGGGGCAGGCTGCACTGGAGATGGGCAGACTGTACTGGAGATGGGCAGGCTGTACTGGAGATGGGCAGACTGCACTGGAGAAAGGAAGGCTGCACTGGAGATGGGGGCAGACTGCACTGGAGATGGGGGCAGGATGCACTGGAGATGGGGGCAGGCTGCACTGGAAAAGGGAAGGCTGCACTGGAGAAGGGAAGGCTGCACTGGAGATGGGCAGGCTGCACTGCACAGGGGCCAGGCTGCACTGGCAGCAGGAGGGGTTAGTTCCAGTCGATCACTGAAAAGGAGTTCTTAGAGAGAGACCGTGAGTGTTCAGACAATACAAACACATTGACAGGTTAAGTGTACAAAGAAGGGATGGAGTATGCAGTGCTGAGAATTAATGCTAGGCAAGCACTCTCTCTCAGCTACGCCCCCACACACCTTGCCACTCTTGATTTTGAGACAGGGTCTCACAATGTTGCCCAGCCTGGCCCTGGACTCAATACCCTAATCAGGTCTTAACCTTCCCATCCTCTTGACTCTCTCTCCCAGGCAGCAGGGAAACCAGGCCTGCACCACCAACCCCAGCAGAAGGAAAGGCTAATTGAGGAGTGTTGAGGTCTGCAGCCAGAATATCAAATGCATACCTTAGTGAGAAAATCATCTTAAGGTCTGGTTTTAGAATGGTACTTATTCACTGTCATTTTGAAGTCATGATTTTAACTTATGGGTGACTGGATATGATATGGAGGATTTTTGTTTTAGACATTACTTTTAGAGATAAACATGAGAGAGGGGGCTCAGGGTCTGGAGTGGAAAATTAAGACAGGCAGTTACCTCAAGGCCTGATGAGGAAACAGTGACAGCCTCACTTATGATAGTGGCTGTGAGGTGAGAGAAGAAACAGCCAGACTCTGGGTGCTCAAGAAGGCGGACCTGAGTGAACCCAGTGATCCATGGGAATTACAGCAGGCTCTTGACACCGTTTCTCAGAGGGGGTGGCATGGGAATTTTGGCCTTGTTTGGAGCTGATACCTAAAGCACCCCTGACCCTAGCCAAGCAGGAGCCAGCCCAGCCTTCCCTCATTTGACACACTCAACGCCCACACAGCCCTCTAACCATTCTCTGATGAGCGGCCCCACACCCCTGGCCCTAAGCCCAGTCTAGTATCAGGTTTCAGGGCTTTGTGTCAGGTGCAGCTTCGTGTTCTGTGTGTTCCTAAGCTCTCTCCTCTCCTGAACACTCCAATAACAGTGCATTCTCTCACACCTGAAACCTCCATTCTCTCTCCTGCTCCAAGTATCACCATTCAAATCTTGTCATCTCCTGTGTGGCCCATCTTGGCATGGAGTCTCCAAGATCTCCACACCAGAACTTTTTAAAGGTCTACATTAATTCTCAAGTATGTGTGTATCTGTGGGTATGTACACTTACGTGCAGTTTGCCCATGGAGGTTAGAGGCATCAGCCCAGTGTGGGTGCTCCGAACTGAACATGGACTCCACAAGAGCAGCAAGTGCTCTTAACCACCATCTCTACAGTCCCCGTGTTCACACCTCAACTAATGAACCAATAAGATGGCTGGACAAGCCTTCCTTATATGACCGGTTGGTTAACCTCTTCAGAAAGATGTTTCAAAGTTTGGGTTCTGTTGTTGACCTTCTCTTACTTTTCTTCTCATCCGGGGATATTCAGGTCCAAGAGTGAGGAGCTGGGTTGCAGCTCAGTGTCAGGATACTCACTTAGCAATCATTATACCCTGGGTTTGGTTTCCAAAACTCAGACAGATTGAATACATTATGGGGAGAGGGAGAAGGGTAAAGGAAAGGAAGAGGGAAGAGACTAGGGCAAAGTGGGCCTACTCTAGACACTCTGCTTTAATCCTACAAAATACAGCACTTGGAAAATTACTAATCTGCAGTAGTTATCTGGAGATAAGTTGATTTCTAGAGTAAATCCTGGGACATTAAGTTTGGTATTTTAGCACAAACCCCTTTTCTCTGGAAAAAGTGTTTACCAAAATACTCAGAAGGAACTCAAATGGGCATAAAAAGGAACAACACCATCCTTAAAGGGGATTTGCTAATACCCCAAATAAAACCTCACAAGACAAAATAATATCGCCCCTCTTCAATGTGAAATGTGACACCTTACAATGACATCACCACTGTAGGATAAAGGCTATGTTCACTGTGTCACCAGCAGCTACCACATCCGGGTAAGCCCCAAGCCAAGCTGGGCCTGGCTTCAGCATCTGCAGAATGAGGGGTTCAGAACACATGCTCTCAGGGAACTATCTAGTGCTGTGTTTCTGTGATTACATGAAAATGATCACCTTGCCCCTGAAGCATAGTTTTCCAACTCCCCTGTCACTGCACCTTTGAAAGTCCTCCCATGAATAGAGCCAGGTTGCAGCTGGATGTCAATACCTGTTTGTAATCATAAGGACTGCCCTCTTATACCCAGGAACGGCACAGTGGAATTGGTAGGTCTCGCCTTCCAGCTTCTTGATATGGTTCTGAAAAAGAAACAAGAGTTACGACTTGGGAGCTACATATATTTAAGTAGTATCTGTATAAGAGTTGATGATAATCAATGTTAGGAAAAGGTACATTAGAAACAAAACTACAATACTACATATTGGCATCTGAAGCAAGAGAACAATTTATTTACAATATCCATTACTTTTCACTATTGCCTTAAAGAGAAATGTACTGAATGCTTACCAGGTGAGTGTCTGAGGAAAAACATCTTGTTCTTAGTAACTTAAGAAATTTGAAACTATCAACCAGAAGCAATTGCACATCTTAATTAAGAATATATAAAAATGTGGTAAATATAAAACTGCTACATCAATGTCTCAGCAGTCCTTAAGGGTCCCTCCCTGGTAAGGGTTTGGGGTGGGTCTAATAACCGCTCACCAAAGAACACAAAATTTAGAAGTCACAGTTTTGGAATTCTTTTCAGAGGATGGTTCACATTTTTCTTCCAATTCCCTTGAGAGAAGTTGTGACCCTTCTTAAAGCTAAGGCCCAGGGGCTGGAGAGCTGGCTCAGTGCGTAAGAGCACTTACTGCTCTTTGAGAGGACCGGGGTTCTATGTTCCACACCAACACTTTAGTTCCCAATGGCCTATAACTCTAGTTCCAATGGGTCTGATGCCCTTTTCTGGCCTCCAAAGGCACAAACACACACGATGCATACATACATATATATATATATATATATACACACACACATACATATATATATATACATACATACTCAGGCACGCACGCACGCACACACACACACACACATTAAAAAATAGTAATTTCTCAAATGCTAAAACCCAACCACTTCTTTGGACAGGGTTATATACTATAAAATGGTAACCTCTAAGGTGTTTGCTGTTTTGCTCATGTTTGGTTGTGTAGATTAAGCACAAGTTGAAAAGGGATGTTCTTGTATGAAATTGTATTTATGACTAAATTAGATAATTATGGACACAAAGAATTTCAAAATAGTTTGAAATAGCATTTTAAAATAGTTCACACAGTTTATTTCTAATGCACAAAATAACCCAAGTATAAATCGTATCCAATAAAATATTTATTTTCTTTTTCAAGTATCTTAAAACGATTGACTTAAATTAGTCAATACACATTAAAAATAACAAATAGTTTTATCACAAATGCTAATGAAAGAATATTATTGATATCACCTATGATGAATGATTAAAGATCAAATAATACAAGAGCATAAAATACAGACAGAGACACTGAATGAGTGAGACTGTTATTGTGCATGACTGAGAGCACACTATCAATGACACTAGGACCACAAAGTCAACACACACACAGCAGAGAAAGCATGCTCGGTGTTGTGATTTCAGTGCCCAAGTTCATTTCTAACTTGTGGTGCTGGGGATGGAACCCACATTTTTTAAGTATGTTGGCCCCTAGTCAATTCCTTGACAATTACAAAAAGCCATGAACAATGATTACAAAAGCCACGAATAAGAGAGAGAATTCCTACAGAGCTGAGGTGGCATCTTCAGAATGTATCTCCTCTGAGATGGACACTTGATTCACAGGTCGCCCCTGTGAATTAGCTCCAATATTTTGCCATCAGTACCTCAGTTTCTTCAGAGACAATGGGAGAACAGACTAGCACACTATAATGATTAAGTGCCTTTAGCTGGAGCTCGGAATGCAGGTGTAGGCCAGAGATGGTGGAGGGAGAACAGAGACCTACGTCTTTCCTCTCTGTCCATTGTTTATCAAGCTGTGCTTCAACCACCAAGAACCCTAGTGGGAAATGTATTAACTGAGAACTACCTTTTCAGTTCTAGTAACAATCCAATAGACTCTGAAAGTCAGAGTAAGATCCCCAGCCACTAAGGGCATCAGGAGACCAGACTGGCCAAAGTAATACTCTGTCTTCCAAACTCAGCACGAGTAATTTAGTAAGACTCTGCTAAAGAATGGTTCCTTTGCCCATTCCTTCTCATCCCTTTCAAATTAATTCTAAGGAAACAGCTTGAAACGGCAAAATGCAAACGCACAGCAGTATTAACGCAGAGTTAATAGTACCAAGTACAGTACAGGAACTACTGTCGGGGACTGAGAACATTAACGCAGAGTTAATAGTACCAAGTACAGTACAGGAACTACTGTCGGGGACTGAGAACAGTCAGATATACAATGTAAGGTTATCTCAGTGGGTGGACAGGCAAAGAGTAAAATCTTAATGAAACATTTCCATACATGGAAAAACACACACATAGAAAAAACAAGGAACACCACTCTACATCTTATATGACCATAAGTGTCATAAGCAAAATAAATAATACATAAAACCTGTCTATCTATCTAAATACACATACATGTACAGCATAAGCAGCATTATCCTAAGCGAATATTGGAGCAGAAGATACCACAAACACACGGCACGTGAGGAAGGCTTTTCACAGTCAAGCAGTAGAGAACACAGAGGGAAGCTTGAGAGGTGAAAGAAAAATGGGGATCCCCAAATAAAGATTCCCCAAATAAATTATTTAAAATAAACTAATATTACAGTGAAATCCAGGAGGATATAATCTAATACTCTAGGACTCTGTGATATTTACGTATTGTTATACTTACTCCCTTATGGAATCAGTGCAGCAGAGTCTAAATAACCAGTAAGTACTTCTTACCCAACTCCCTGACCACAACAAAATGGGTGAGCAAGGGACACAATGGGCTAAACTTCTCAGTTTCCCAGGAATGGACTATCAAACCCTGTAACAACTCACTTTCTGTTTCTTCCAATAGTTGTCACAGTATACTAAAGTTTAAAGGGTTGCCTGATACCGTAATTAAAACTAAAGAGCTATGTGAGATGGTGATATGCTTAGCTAAAATAATGTTTTGTGCTTAGTAATATACATTTACAAAAAGGGAAACACTAAATCACTAAAGAGGAACTCACAGGAACCACTAAAGAGCTAAAACATAAAATAAATAATAAATAATAAATAAAGACCTCAGGTTTTAAAGGGTCACAAAAGTCTGAGCAAAATTGAAATAAAGTCAGGAAAGCTAAAATTTGTGACTCTCACACAAGAACCTACAGCATTTGAAGTGGTGGATTGTGCTTGATTCTCACAGAAGCTACACACACAGGGACATTGTGCCCATCCCCTATTATCCAGGCATGAGAAGATCTTTTCTTTTCCTTTTTGGCTACTATTAATATTTACATGTTTTTCTATACTTGGTCCCATAAACACAGAAGCCTTGTTTTGAAGGGAACGTGGTGGCACCAGGTTCAAACCCGGCCTTGTGCATGCTATACCCCAGCCTAACAATGTAAGTCATTTCTTTTGTCCATCTAGCACTGTCTGGTTGTTGGACATCAATTATTTTCTCTTGAAAAAGTATTTTTTAATGTAAAAGTATTTTAATAATTCGCTTTTATAACTATATATTTAAAAACATATAAATGCATGCCTTTAATTCTAGCACTTGAGAGGCACAGGAGGAGCTCTGTAAGTTCAAGGCCAACCTGGTCTATATAGAGTTTCCAGGTCAGCCAGGGTCACACACTGAGACCCTGCCTTTTAAAAAAATGAATATAGATTCCAACTGAATGCTTGCATTATAACAGTTTCATTATCTCCAAACATATATTAGGGATGGGGCTTATATTTGGATTCAATTGTAGTTGTTAGATAAAACATTGTTAGATCATGAAATTAAACATTTCCATTATTTATTTTAAGAAGAAATTAAATTATAACTTACTTTGAGAATTAACTGGGAGTATAAATGGTAATTTATAATAATTTTTCACATCAATAGAAATCTCTGGGGATTATATTTATGAAGTGCCAACGGCATATGCATGTGTATGTTTGTGTTATGTGTACATGAAGGTATGCACACATGTATACGTGGAGGCTTAAGGTCACTATCAGGTATCTTTCATTACTCTGTCTTTTGTTTCGCTGTGTTTTTGAGCAGGGTCTCATACTAAATCTGGTGCTCACTAAAGTAACTGAGCTGGCTGCAAGCGAGGCCTAGGTTCTGTCTGTTTCCTGAACCCTACTGTCATATTGGAGTTAAAGACATGCACCACCACCACGTCTAACCTTTACATGGGTACTGGACCTGAACTCAGGACTTTATGCTTACTTGTGAAAGATTTTCTCAACTGAGCCATCTTCTCAGCCTCTAAAGAGTGTGTTCTTAAAAAGTAGAGATATCTATATATTCACCTGCCACAGAGGTAATTTTCCTAATTACATGTTCTGCTACTGACTCTATTTACAATAATTAAAATCAGTAATTATGAAGTACGCATAACCAACAATGAGACTCAGTTCTCCAAAAACATTCTGCTAAAGGCTAAGGGTGCAGACCACATAAAAAATTACTTCATTTATTTAGCTATAACTGAGTTAAGAAAGAAAAAATACTGAAGTAACATTCTCCTAAATTCCTATGCCAGATCTCATCTCAGATATAAGGACAAGCTCAGAGAAACTGACATATTACTTATTAATAGTTGTATGACTTGAGTAAATTTGGGTGACATATGGAGTAATTCTATCATCGAGATTCACAAATATAGAGACATTTACTGCATCTGCATGTGAACAACCTAATACACAAAATGATAGGTTTCTAAAATTGTAGCAAAATATATGCTCTGGGTTCAACAGCCTTTGACCCCAACCCCAAACTGGCAAAGTTATTCCCTGCACCATGAAATCTTTTACACTACTTAGGCCTGTGTAGAATTACAAGGAGTCACAATTTTCAAGTGTGGCTGAGTCACTAACTATTATAAAAAGTTCAGATAGAAGTGAGAGTTATAAATAAAATCTCATTAAAATCAACCCTTGGTCTGATTCACACACAGTTAAATAGCAGTAGTTTGATTTGAGTTTTAAGGATGGAATCAGGCAGTACAGGAAACATTTACTCCTGTGTTCCCAGTTCTTGCTGTGCAGGCAGAAAAAGAAAGAAAATAAAGTTAGAAGCGTGCAAAAAGATAAAATGTAATCATATACAAAGAAAACCAAAGACTAGGAATAATTAAGTCATCTATATCATAAAGTACAAAAATATTAATAAGTTTCTGTTGAGGGAAAGTCAGTCATGGGAGAATAGCAACTTAAGTATGTATATATTATTTAAGTATAAAGAAACTATAACCAAGACGAAATGCCAAAATACATTAATTTTTAAATGTTTAGCAAGATTATAATATATATAAGTATATAATTTCTCTTTCTCTCCTCCAGTTCCGTTTATCAGAATACATTTAGATTTTCCCAGCAAGAGGATTTCATTTGGCTGAGAGAGAAAGAAGCAGTGGAATTTAACAATTAGCCACAAAGCAAGAAGCCAAAACTAAGCACAGTAACTGAGAGCTGCCGACAGCTCCTTTCAAGACAGTCTTTTCTGCACAGAAAACGCCTCATGCCTTTTTCCTGTCCTATGCAGAAAATAGTTACCACAGTTACTTCTCCTTAACGTGCCAGGCCAGGCTATCATATGGAACAATAAATTCTACTCTACAAACCACTGAGATTCCTTCAAAGATTCATGATTGGGTAACTGACAGACAACCCACGAAATCTCACTCCTACAGTCTTTCCAGTTCACAACCACGGAGAACAGAATTTACCTCTAGTAAGTCAGAGCCTTCAGATTCTTGCCTGTCATACGGACGGATGATGCCGTCTTCGTGGATCAGGCGAGGTGGACGGAGGCTGGACACCTCCTCAGTTGATTCTGCTACCCTGGATAAGGTAATAGAAAATAAGTGAGAATCTTTCAAAATCAGACAAACTTATGTTAATCAAGCTCACAAATAAGTAAGTAAAAACTATTAGTAATTTGTAAAACTTGTCCAAAGTGAAGAAAAATTATTAAAGCCATGCCTGATGGACTCTAAGCATCTACTCTTTCCTTAAAGAAAAAAAAAAAACACGAAGTTCTGAAAGGTCGTGGACACTCCGTAGCCTTGCCTTCAGCGCCTGGCATAGGGCAGTACACTTAAAGTACTGAATAAGTGAAAACCGCACATGGGACTTACTTTCAGTATTCCTTTCTATGGTACTTGGCCTTATAAAGCCACTATGGCTTCCAATTAGAGTCAAGAGCCTTAAGAACAGGCTAAATACCCAGCCCGGTCATATATCCCAGAAGTAATAGGCACACGCAGCATACCCCTCCCTACTGTGTGGAGACAGTTACCTCTGAATGCCTTGGAAGGTGCTGCTAGCCATATCTATGATTCCGCCAGTTGGACGAGCCACTACACCCACAAGCCCTTTTCCAATTCCTTTAAAGAAACCAGCAGCGCCCTCCTTCTTGGCACCTTTAGGAAAACAAAGACAATGAATGCACAATGATATTTTACGGCAAGTAAGTTCAAACTCAACAAAAAAACAAGCCAACTCAGAAGTCAGGTGTATTTGGGTATCTGGGGAAGTTACATTCACCTTAAATGATAATGTGGTTGTTCTTGAAGCATACTAAGCACAGATTTCTGGGCCAAAGCCAGACCTGCTGTAGCAGATGCTTATGCTAAGGGTGAGCAGCAATCCCCAGAAGACTCTGAGATTTGAGAGGCATTGGTCCAGCTCAGTCACAGCCATGCCTGAGAGGTCTGAGACTTACCAGAAAGTGCTCATTCCATCACAACCATTAGAACATCCAAGCAATATATCAAAAACAACTCATAATTACTGAAAATTCTGTTCACGCACTATAAAATGTTCCACTATACAAATTAAATGTTTTTGGTGTACTAAGAACTGTATAACATTGTTACAAGGAATTTTAGAAAATCTTTGTCATCTCAGAAAAGACACTGTGCCTACAGTTCAACACTTTCCACTTTCCCCAACTCCTCATCTGAAAATATCTATTCAGTTGACCTCCCTTCCTCCCTGCTCTCCCTTCAGATGTAGGCCATCACCCAAAATATGCTCTATGGAGTTGCTCTTCTGGACACTGCATCCAAGCAGCATTCACTGAACTGTCTATCATGACTGGGCTATTTTTTTACTTAGCATCATGTCTTCTAAATTCATCTACACTGTGGCATGCATTACTTCTCAGTTTCTATTTATGGCTGAACAATATTCCACTGAGCAGATATGCCATATTTTATTTATTCGTGCATTGGTGACAGACAGTCTTTCCACATCTTTGCTACAATGAATAATGCAGCTTTGAACATTCACATGTAATTTTATCTGAATGTCTGTTTTCAACACTTCAGGGTACCTTGCTTATCTGTGGTCCCGCCATGTTTAACTGCAGATGGGCAGACAGAATGCTCTCCTCTAAGTGGCTGCACTACTGTGTGCTCCTAACCACAGTCCATCAAGACTCCCGTTTCCCCACACTCTCACTAACTTGACTTTAGGGATCTGAATGATGTTATATGAGATCTCGTTTACATCCACACTTCCCTGATGACTAATGAAATGTGCCATTTGCATATCTTCCTTGAGGAAAAGTCTATTCCGATACTTTGCCCAGTTTAAATTAGGTTATCTTCTTATTGTTAGCTTGTACAAGTTCTTTGTAGGGTCAATATATAACTCTCTGATGAAACATAGTTTACAAAACTTTTATCCCATTTTGTGGATTTTTTTCTATGATAATATTCTTTCAAGGCATTTTTTTAATTTTGGCAAGCTGTCCTTTTTATGTCCTCATGGACATAAAATTTCAACATATAAAAGTTTAAGTTTTGGTGAGTCCAACTTATCTGCCTTTCTTTTGTGACCCATGTCTTAAGTGGCCTGTGTAGAAGGGCTCTGCCAAGACACAGCACTAGCTGCTGCGTCTGCTTCTAAGATCTGAGCTTTGCTCTCCCGCTCAGCATTCCATCCATTCTGGGTTTCCTTTGACAGACAATGTATACCAGGGCTGGGTTACTGTTCTCGCATGCAGATGTACCATCAGCTGAAGCAATTGCTAGATTCACCTCAGCACCCTCTCAGGGACCTAGCTGCAGTACTCGCCAAAGCTCACTGACCTCCGTGTATGCCTTCATGCCAGTTTCACACTATGTAAGCTGACGGCAGCTTTACACTGCAATAAATTTTAAAACTGGGACATGCCAATCCTCCAACATTACCTTTTTAATGTTTAAGGAGATTTGAGTTATTTTAGTCTTCTGAAATACATTTAAACTTCATTTAGCTAATCAATTTCTGAAAAGAGAGGAATTTTGATAGAGAATGCACTGAAAAGCAGGTGTTTCTATCACAGGATGAATTTATATATATATATATACATACATATATATATATATGTATATATATATATATATATATATATATATATAATTCTCCCACATCAGTTGCTACTGAGGGCCTCAGAATCTAGTTTTCTGTTGGCCTTGATGAGAACACCATACAAAATCTGAGTCAGTCCGCCACTTAACCTCTCTGCTTCCTGAAGATAATAATACATTAACAATCAGAACTATAATACAAAATTTAGTTGGTAATCCTCTCAAACACCAAGAAGCAACAGCATCTGGCACGCACACACCCTTTATCTCTCTACAGTAGGGCAGTGTTCTCTACCTACCTTCCACAGGCTTTGTGATTATCCCAGTCACCCCGCCAACAACTCCCTGCAAAAGAAATCCATCATCAGGTCTCCAACAAATCAAAGGTGCTGAACACTAAACAACCACTAGAGGTCTCCATAGGCATACTACATTTTTTTTCTGTAGTGAACGACACATACATTGATTTTACAAATATTAAATCATAGGAAATTCACAGTAGAAAGATCCATAAAGCAGGAAGCACTGGTTTAACAGTTTCTGTGCATCTGAGAGAGACTCCTGAAGTCTCAGAAGGATACTCACACGAAGGAAGCCCTTCCCTCCTCTGGCCAGACTGTCTCCAAAATCTTTAGGCTGTCGACCCATCTCCTCTCTTCTCTTCTGTTGATACTCTTTGTCCATTGTAATTGCTGCCAGGCCTTTCCCAACAGAACCGGTGATTCTAGAGACAACTCCTGCAGCACCACCTACAGATTGCACCAACACACTGGTCATGGTCACGGGCAGCGTGCACTTGCTTTAAGCAGGTACCTACACATCCTTCTCACGTGCAAAGGCAAAAACTACTAGGATGTTTTGCTATCAAGTGGGGTAACACAATCTTTCGAGCACATTCTCCCAACCTATGAACACTGAGAGCCCAGGACGCCACTGTGAAGTCATGTCCCAGTTGAAATAAAGGAAATGTGCCTTAAGAGAGATTAATGGGAAGGCGAACTCTCTCTTACTACATATAACCACTTGCTTTCCATAAACAATGCACTTTCAAGTAATAATTCCATACACATATACACACAGGTCATACCTACCTACTGTGTGTCCAAAGAGACTTCTCACCCCAATCACTAATCCTTCAGCAAATTCTTCAGGGCCTTGAACAGCACCCTGAACAACAACAACAACAAAAAGTTGAGTATTAAACTTCAATAAATGTGAGACTTTTAATCTCACATTTCAGAGATCCCATGAAAATGAAGAATATATAAAAATCCATAAGGATTGATACCACATTTTCACACTATCTCTTAAATACAGATAGATTTATACTGACTATGATTCAAAATAGTTCAACCCACTCAATCTCAGCAGATTTGGCAAGATGAACATTGCACAGGTGGCAATTACTAGCTTTGACCACAACAGGAAGTTGGCTTCCCAGTACAAACTTTCACTGGAGTGCAAAAACCAGCTGTGCTCAAAGGATGGGGTTCCCACTGTTTGGCTCTAGTCTCTCCCTTATTCTCTTCACATGGTCCTTCTAAAACCTTATGGCGTTGGCCTTCTGGACTCTTGAGACAAAGGTGGATATGTGGGATGAGAGTTCCAAGGTGGACGGCTGGCTCCTAAGACCACACTCTGTCCTTTCCATGGCAGCAGAAGTTGTCTGTAATCCACCAAGCTCTCAGACACTTGCACTGAATACTGGAATACTCAGGTGCACTTTATTGCCCAGGAAAACATTAGATGTGTTCATCTGAATGTAAGACTATCTTTCAATGTCATCTAAAGTACTTTAAGCAAAAACCAAAAACTGTTTTTTTTAAACGATTTGAACATTACTTCATTGCCTTATAGTTAAAATGAAAACAGTTGTCACTAGAAAGCAGGGCATCTGTTTTTGTACACACGTAGATAACTAAAAAGCCAATACCTGGAAAGGCTCATAGAACAGTGCTTCAACTCCTTCCGACAGGCCCCTAATGAGTCCAAATGGGTTTCCAAGCACATCTAAGCCCAGCACAAGCACATACATCTGCTTCAGGAACTAAAGAAGAAAAGACAGTCAGCCAAGTCCCTTCCAGATGCTGAAGAAACATTAGGAAGCAACAGGAAGAGGGGCCGACAGGCAAACTGGAGTTAAAAGACAGTGTGTACAATAACCATTTGCATCTCCACAACCTGGTATCCCATCCTGTGGGCCTTAAATCAAACTGCTAGAAGTTTGAGATATCAGCCATTTAGCAGTCATGTAACCTCAGACAAGGGACTTGGTCTGTTAGTCTTGACCTTCCCAGCTGCAAAATGGAAGATTACACTGGCCTTGCATGGAAGATCATGCATGGTAAAGGAATATAAAATTCAGTGTTCACTGGTTGTCCCTATTATTTTATCATTATTAAGTTTTATAGGGAATCATTAGTAATTAAAGCAAAATAAGGAAAATGTATACTTCTTTGAATCTATTGTCTACGGGCATCACAAGAGTGATCTCCCAGCAGAGAATGCAAAGACAAATGCAGCCTTGCTGCGCCATGTGGCAACCGTGCCAGAGTGGCCTGTATGCTGCTCCCTCCTTGCCCACATACCCAACTCACAGAGCTTAGAATCCCTCGTGCAGTCCCCTAGCCTACATTTTACATGGTAAAATGGTAACGGTATCGTTGAAAAGGGAAAGGGGTCCTGGAGGAAAACATTAAAGTGTGTAATGGAGAGCAAGGGAAAGAAACAGAAACTGCCTGCACAACATCAAGACAGGCAAAACCCAACAGAGACGGGCAAGGGACCATGAAGTCCCACCCATCATTGAGAAACTTTGGCAACGGATGGCTACAGGGGGAGGGAGAAGAGTCAGTTTTCATCAGAGATGTGGCCACTGAGACACTACCCACTCTCCAGTAGATGGTCCCACACCCCTGCACACAGGCATCACTAAGTGAACTTGAGTGGGAGGGAGGGAGGGAGGGAGGGAGGGAGGGAGGGAGGGAGGGAGGGAGGGAGAGAGAGAGAGAGAGAGAGAGAGAGAGAGAGAGAGAGAGAGAGAGAGAGCGCACATGGGAGGGAAAGGGGTGAGGAGGAATTAGAAGGGAGGAAATGGAGAAGTAGATTTAATCAAAACATTATACGCATGAATAAAATGTTCAAGAGAAAAAAAGGCTAGAATTACTAAGAATATCTTACATCCCTTCTTGATAAGAACATCTATGCTACAATAAAAGAAATCAGTTCATTGTAAGTAAGACCAGCATAAAATTACATTTGAGCCTTCACTTATCATAATGAAATAAAAGAAAGTTAATCTAGAGTAAAATTCATTTTAAAAGAACTGAATTAGACACTTAAGAAATCCACTATAAGCAATGCTGAGTATGATGCCACATGCCTATACTCCCAGGTCTGGAGTGACTGAGAAAGGAAGACTGGGAATTCAAAACAGCCTCAGCTACAAAAGTTCAAGGTAAGGCTGGAGTGCATGAGAACATGTCTCAAACAGCCAATAGCAAAAAAGAAAGTCGCAGAGTGGTAAGACTGAAATCAATCACAGGCATTTCTACACACACTACAAGCTCACCCACCCACTTTATGAAGTGTTTTCACAGGCTACTGTAGCAGGAAATTACCTGTTCACTGTAGTGTCTGACAACACTCCACATGAGCTGATCTCTCTTGTAAAACTGATAGCGAATTTCAAAATAGGCAAGTCTGAGGGAGACAAGGGAACGAGTTAAGACTCCTACATGATACTTCCATTGTCAGATCAGTCCAGCAACACTTAATTTGTACTTGGTATCCTAATAGTATGGTAACAAAATTGTTACAGAAACAGTAATTCTCATGTAAGACTTTTACAAATAAATAAAGAGGAAAACAGATTTTAAAAGTCAGCCATAGTGCTGGAGATGTAGCACAGTGTTAGAGTGTTCGTCTGGCATGTATGAAGTCCTGGTTCTATCCTCAGTAGGAAGTGTGTGCACGCAGGCACGCACTCACATGCGCGCGCACACACACACACACACACACACACACACACACACACACACACACACACACCACGAAATAAAAATAAAATGACATGGTAAATTTTTGAACTTTTTCTTATTGCTTCCCATTTTTGGTTCTTTCTTTCCTTTCTATGTAGGCAGAAAACTTAAAACATTCTGGATGTCTCTTTTAAACTCAACATTATGAATTATGAATTTATATTTCTAATTTTTTTCAAAATTTCATAAGCATTTGAATAAATATGTAGCATTCCATCACAGAGTAGAGTCACAGAGAAAAACCCCTGCTTTCAGCTATGCCCAAGGTTGTTATAAAAAGGGTGTTACCAGGTACACAGTGGGGATACCTCGTTGGTTGCAATACAGGATCACTTAATAACTGAATCCCTCGCCACACACATGCCCAAAAATTACTGAGTGGTTGACAACAAAAACCTTAAAGGCATCTATGTGTATATATCTGCTTATGTGTATCTATGATATGTATGTATGTACACACATATAAAGTTTCCATTCATAAAATTAGCATTTTAAAAGTACCCATTTCTTAAATTCAGCCCTCTCTAATATTAATTATCCATGTTCTGAACTCTTCATTTGTATGCGTATCTGATAATAATGGTGGTCATCTCTCACTCCTGCCTGCCACTTCCATTTTCTCTCTGTGACGCCTCCACACAGTCTGTGGCTGCTCTGTCCCCGGCTCTCGCTATCAGTGTTTAACCCTGAGACTAGAGACATCGCCCTGTCCTGTCCGCCACCCTACTCCAGAGCTCGGTTTTGAGAACAGTGTCTGGGGTGGTTGTTTTCTTTCCAGCTGAGGAGATTAAATTCAGCATCTTGTCCACCCTTTGCCCCGCCCCCACACACACATGAGCTCTCCCCCCCACACACACACATAAGCTCTACCACTGTACTATACTTTCAGTGCAAATATTTAACTTTTACATAGTCAAACCTATCTTTATTTTCCACTAGGATTTTCTCACTGCCAAAAACAAACAAACAAACAAAACAAAACAAATGAAAAGGACAACTCTGCTCAAAGATTCGATAGCAACTTCTTTTCCTTATATGTTCATGAGTATATGAATGCTTGGGGATGCTCCTGTGAGTCTGGGTACACATGCAAGTATGTGTACAAGCACGTGGAGCCAGAAGTCAACTTTGTATAATACCCCAAAGTGTTGTCTGCCATTTTTTTTTGAGACAGGCTCTCACACTGGTCTGGAAAAGGCCAAGTAGACCAGACTTGCTGGACAGTGAGACCCAGGGACCCACCTGCCTCCCTCTCCCGTGCACTGGGACTTCAAGCACACGCCACCACACCTGCATTTGGTGTGGGCTCTGGGGACTGAACTCAGGGCTCAAGCACTTCACCAGCAGAGCTTTCTCCCAGCCCCTAACTTTTCAAGCCTTTCAGCTTGAATTTCATATTCTTCTCATTTTCTCTGAAACTTGGCACACGTGTGGGATGTGAATAACTTAAAAGGGCTTTTGCTCTCTGGTAACTGCTTATTCCAATACCACCGTGGGCTGTTCCACTCAGCAGACAGCTACGGAGTGCAGATGGAGCTGACATGTACACACAGCCTCTTCCGGAGTGCAACGAGGGGCTTCCATTGCACTTTGCTACATGTCACAATGGAATCTCACCCCTGCTGCGTGTTTCTAAATAGAACTCAGTACTAAAACAGTCCATTTATAACATACACTTCCGAGTCATTCAGTTTTTATTAAATATTCACCAGTAACCGAAAATACTGCTCGTTGTCCTAAAGCCCTGAGAGTAACTAGATACAGACCACACTCTTCAAGTGAAGAGCAGGAGACTCATTCTGTCTCTAAGTTAACACTGCACTAACAGAGAGAACCAATACCCTGAAGCACCTCAGGTAGGGATAGCTCCCAACACATGCTTTAACAGGCTCTTACTTGAATATGAGGTCATCCACGTCAGTCAGAGTGGCACCTATGCTTTTCAACAGCAGGTTCACAGAATGAATTGCAATCATTTCCTGTTTCTCTTTGTCAGATTCCTCACCTCCAGAACCCAAAGACAGACTCAAATGCAACTGAAAGAAAAATAGCATTCAATACATGAAAATCCCAAACAAAGCTACGTAGACACAGGACTAGATCTTCTGGCACCACCAAAGGTATACTGGAGAAGCCTCCTACATCCTATTCACATACAACAGAACAGACATAGGGCAGGTACATTTAATCCCTGCTGATCTAAAATATAAATCAGTCTGATCCAAGATTAAAGTTCCATTCCTAATGTGAATAAACACCTTTGTATCTGGATGGAGAAGCCCAGAATCCTTTGCAAAATGGAATAACTGTCTTAAGAGTAAAACTTGCCAACTGGCACACAAGCAATTCACCAGGCAAAACAATGGCTAAGCATCTATTTCTATCTAATTAAGGCGAATAATTTTTGACAACAATTAACAATAACAACGGTAACCCCAACAATAATTGATCTTCACTGGTTAATGAGAATGAAACTATATACAATCTATTGCATAACTATATAATCTAATACATAAAATGATTACATAAAGTGATTTTAAATTTAAAATTCTGGAAATGCCTGTTATCTCCAAACTAATACAACAGTTTAGAGTACCAACTCTGTTTTATACATCCCATTAGCTGAATAAACTGGTGAATATAACTGAATCTATGGTGCTGTGGACAGTTTCTGAGAATGCAAAGAATCATCTATATTGTAAAGCATCACTTAATTGTAAATATGGACCATTACACAAGTTCAGCACGTAATAGTTGATGGCATCTGTGAATTTACTAAGAAGTCATCGTCCCTTGTACGAGCTGAAAAGAGCAACAAAGGGAAAAGGGAAATGGGTTCATAAAGTACAGTCAGGGAAGTGAAAGGTATTCAATTTTCCACTCCCTTAGGTACAATCACACTTGGGAAGGAGTAAAAGCACCATGTCAACAGCATAATACCTACTTCAGCATTTTCACATGCCAGCAAACAGTGCCCATCACAGCTCTGTTTAGACAGTGGTAGTTGCTACAAAATGCAGCCGAAACATTAAACACCGCTGAACACTCCACACTTAATTAAGAAATGCCACTGTCAGCTTCTTCCGTTAGTATAGGGACTATTAATTCAACCCCAGAGAACATGTTCCAGTGGCACCATTGTAGGAATGACGGCTGCACATATGTCACAGAGGACTGTCTTAATTGTCACCATTAGTCAAATTAAACACCATCAAATACCTGATGTAACAAATGAAGCTACACTGGTTGGTATACAGACTCTTCACAAGTTCTGAGGCAATCACACCCATAGTCTAGTAACACACCTTAACAGGAGATATATGGAAATGTTCAAAGAAACTCAGGACCAACCATAGTCTAGTAACACACCTTAACAGGAGATATATGGAAATGTTCAAAGAAACTCAGGACCAACCATAGTCTAGTAACACACCTTAACAGGAGATATATGGAAATGTTCAAAGAAACTCAGGACCGACATGTCAGTCATTGAAGACTCCATTAACTCTGTGTTGAGAGCATCGATATCTTGTTGGATTAACTTTGTCTGAAAAAATTTTTAAATAGTTAATTTTTTTCTCACTATAAGAATTAGCTCAAAAGTGGCTAATTTAACTTCTTTATTTTATGTTTGGCTCAAGAAATAAAATTGTTACCCGTTTCCTTTCAGCTTCAGGGGCAGTTGTTGGGGTAAACAGTGCAATAACAGCTCCAAGAAACCCCTGGTCAACCTTTAAGGCCATTTCCTGGATGAGAACCATAAAATACCTGTGGGAAAATACATATAACACTTTAAGCTAAGAGTAGTAGTGCACATGTTTGAGTCTAGAGTCCAGAAGGCAAGGGCAGATGGAGTTCTATGAGTCTGAGAACAACCAGGGCTACATAGTGAGACACTGTGTCAAAAAAAATTTTTTTTAAGCATGGTCATAACTGATTTTTTTTACCCCAAAACTATAGTAAGTTCTAACTTCTTTATGCCTTAACATTATGCTAATACAATCAAAGTCTCCTTAGGCTGAGAATTATTAGTTTAGGGAAAGCCACAATCAAAGTAATACTGCTGTGTTAGCACTTACGACCAAAAGTCCCAAATGCCCACATTTATCATGTCACGGGAGAGATGATAAATGAGAAAACATAGTACAGACCACATGATTCCTAAGTTCAAGGCAGCGCCTGCTTTAAAGAACACAACTCACAGACGGAACTAGAAATAGTTAAAGGAATTCTGAATTTTAAAAGATGTGCAGACCACTTTAAAATATGCTTAAGTATTAAAAAATTCACAAGTCCCGAACTAAATCAATAGATTCACTGGGAAAAGAATTTCCTTACAGAAGCCACTCTCAAGCAAACAACAAAAGGACAACAAAATTTATTTTCAAAATGGATCCTTGTTTTAACTCCTAGATGGGAACAATGGAGCTCTACTCACTTGAACTGCAAGACTTGACTGTACTCATTGAACCTTGTGACCACACTCACGTCAATGAAAGGTTTGGGCTCTAAAGAAACACGCATAAGGGAGCAAAGTCAGCCTCTCTGCTAGTCAAACTGGTACCTTCTAAAGCAAAGTGCGTTGCTAGTTCTCTCTCTGCTTTCCTTACCCGAATCTAAAGCAATGGACTTGGGAGGAGCCACGGGATGAAATGCCACTGGGAACATGGTGCCCGGTAACTGATTGTCAACCTGGAAGCACAAAACATTTGTTCAGGTTTCAGTAAGACAGACATAAACACTCACCTTCAGAGACGGTAATTAAGACTCTGTGCGCACAAGAGGTGCCATTAGCAGCTCTCCTACATGCAAAACGTGATGTGTCCCAGCGAGGCTATGCCTTCATTGAAAAGGATAAATGGAAACCCTCTTAACTGCACTGACCTTGTGCAGCACAATCACCAATGACACATCAAGGCAGATGTCTGTACTTCATAATGTAAGATTCTGACTCTGTGCACTCAAATAAAATGCAAAGTGAATATAAAATTAAAGAAAGTAGAAAGAGAAAAAAAGTAAGCTAAATATAACTTGGTAGAGGTGGAAGGGCATTAAAGGGAGGGTGGGGGAGAAGAGGAGAAGGAGGGTGGAGAAGGGAGGACTAGCAAAGAAATCACCCCCAAACATGGTTCAGTATAGCCCTGCTCTTTGCCATGAGAAAGCCCATTAACTGGAGTTCTCATGACAGACTGAAAGGAATGTTTAAGAACAACATAATAGTGTAAGAAAACACCCTTGGCAGGCCAATGGTCTCACTCAGAGTCTCAACAGCATACAGTGCTTTGGGCTGGGATGGTGAGCAACTGAATCCACAGGCTGAGTGAGAGCAGGGGAAAAAACACACACACACACACACACACACACGCACGCACGCACGCACGCACTAATAATAACAAATAAAATGCCAATTTACTTTTACAACTTTACTCTGAGGACTGGCCTAGGGGTCTCATGCCCGCAATGCCTACTCTTCGCAATCTACACCCCAGAAGATAATAATTTAACACAAATCACAGCTTTCTAAGAATTAAATGAAGGTTCATTTCCATGTGTGGCTAAATGGTCACAGAGATCTATTTAGCTGAGAGTGGCAATGTTACCTGGAGCCAGTATAACCGGGCCCTTAAGCTTCTCTGGTGAGGAGATTGCTTAAATTCAACCTGAATCCCTGATAAGAAGTCCCGTTTAATAGGGCACCGGATAGGAAGTCGCATTTCCATTGGAACTTTGTCAAAATTGACCTGTAAGAAACAAAAGCACTGTTGTGATGAGCTGGTGTGACCCAGCAGCTACTTAACAGCATTTAAAACACCAGGTCACTCATGATGTTGCATAAGCAGGGCACGTTCATCTCTCTGTCTCACCAAGGTAGCTTGCTTTATTCTGTTCCCTTAGTTCTCCTTTGAGGCCAGGCCTCACTTTATAGCTTAGGCTGTCCTTCAACTCACAGCAATCCTCCTGCCTCAGTCTCCCTACTTCTGACATTACATACATGAGCCACCGCACCCAACCAGAAATGCTCTGAGAGTCATCGGCAGCCACAGCTTCTGCAGCAGAAGCACTGCTTTCTAATACTTCCTAGGAAACTAGGAATTCTGGATGCTTCAACTTATAGAAACTGTACTTAAAATTCTTTATAGAAAAAAATCATTAGCAATCGAGAATTCCAGGCAATTCTTTTTTTATAGGTTTAATTTATTATGTTATGTATGTGAGTGTTTTGCATGCATGCATGTGTTATATGTGCCACAGGCATGAGGTGCCTGTGGAGGCCAGAAGAGGGCATCAAATCCCCTGGAACTTGAGTTAATGGAGGTTGTCAGCTGCCACTGGGTGATAGAAATTGAACCTCAGTCCTCTGCAAGAGCAGCCAGATCTTAAGTGCTGGGCCATCTCTCCATCCCAGATCCAGGCAATCCTTTGGCAAAATGGGTTAAATTTCCATCTAACCTACAAACACTGATGGGTACAGGTAGAGCACATGACTAGGGGAGACATCATACAGCAAAGAGGACTTCATGCTTTGGCTCTGTGTGACCCATGAGGAGCACACATTCACTTGTGGGTGCCTATCCACATCCAGTAATCATTCGTACTGAATGAAATAATACAGCAAAGTCTATGTACAGTTGTCATCAATGAAATATGTAACAACACAATCTGTATGCATCAAAATGAAATGTGTTACTCAAAATGCGACAAACTGTATCCACAATCCTAATATCGCCATAATCTTACTGAAAGCAAGTTCCATGGAAATGATCAGCAAGTAGAACACATGATAAACATAGAGAAGAAAACCAGAGTTAAATAGTTTCATAACTACGTTTTGGTTAAGTATATTGACAATCTTCCTAGTAAATCAGGTTTATGTACTTTTAAGTTAGTTTCTGTACATTAAAAGTTTACTTATTCCTGGTACCATTTCCTAGAACAAAGGACCTACAAAACTGTAGAATCACAAACCACAAAGCCATAATACAACACTTTGGTATACCTCAAAATTGCTATCCAGTTTGATCCAGCCCCGGTCTTTTGATGTGAGATGCTTCTGATAGGACTGCTCCAGGGACATTATCTGCTTCTGACTAAATGGCTTCCATCTCTGTTTTGGCTTCATCTCCCAAACAACACCTGAACTAAAATAATTCACAGATGAAATTAAATTACAAGCATATATCCTCATGGGATTGTTACTAACACTAAATACATCTAGCTATCAATTTCCTATGAAAGCTACATTGATACAAGAGATGATTTAGAATAGAAGAGATTCTTTTAAAACAGGGAATGAATTTCGCCTGCCTAAAAAGATGCCCAAAGAGCAAGGCGAGGGGAAAATATCTTTCATGGCAACGCAATCAAGCAACTATTTCTGTTTATTTTTACAAGGCCACAGACATTGTATGCTGACAATGTCAAGGGAAGGAAAAAAACCTTCCATAAAATTTTTAACTAACAGAAATTTAAAATATAAAAATAACTAGACATAATTTTTAGAAAAAAATTAATCTACAAAATATTCTTGGGGATATATCAACATTTTACATAATTGTTGTTCCTAATTACCCAAATCAAGTACAAGTGATCAACTGTTCAAGTGGATTTTTAAAGATATTTATTGTTTATTTATGTGACTGTGTGAGGGTATGCCCCCATGTGCAAAGCCCATAAAGGGCAGAAGAGGGCACCAGATCTCTGGAGCAGAACTTCAAGGTTTTTGTGAGTCACGCACCCAGGTGCTGGGAATGTACTTTGGGTTCTTTCCAAGACCAGTAAGTACTCTTAACCTCTGATCCTTCTCTCCAGCCCCATATTCATGCTGTTTTATAACACACATCTTACTAACCATTTCACAGTTACTTCCAAGTACTGACATCAACCTATGAGAACACTGTAACTATTTTATTCTTTATTGATTACCAGGCAGGGATTTATAAAATTCTTAAAAATTCTTATGCTGATACTTGACTTTTAGCCTATGAATACATTGCAGATAGTCACTTGCAATGACACATTACAAGGAAGTTCCACAATTGGACAGGTGGGTTTGGAAATATGAACATTTCCTTCACATATATATTAAGGCCTGAAAAAATATGTCCTCTCCAATCACATGGGGATTGGAGACTTTTTAACTTAAGACAGCACAGGAGATGCACACCAACATATTGACGTGTCTTATGATTTAAACATTACCTGTCTTAAAATGAGCTATGACAACATACAATTTACATAGAGTGTTATTTGGCTTTCTAATTGTCAATTAAAGTTCATGTGGAAACAGTCAATTCCTTAGCAAAAGATGATTTCCGGTTCTAGTTAGAGTGCAAGAACAGTACAGGAGGGTAATTCTTTCCTTTCAGAAACATTTTACTCTTGATTCAGAATTTAAAGAGTTTAGCGAGAGGCTTCCATGGCTAAGCCCTTCAACTGCTGTGTGGTTAGCACAGGACAATGAGCTTCTGTTGCCATCAAAACATCACAGAACTCATGGTGGTTAAGCCAGTGAGGCTGAGTTTGACAACAAACAACAGGTTCAGGTATTTCCCATATATCTGCTGACACATAATACAAAGAACAGAAGGCATAAAATGCTTCACATCTCAAAGTTTTATGAACTTGTACAACTAAGATTCTGTTCCCAGTTGTAATGCATTTCAGACTTCAGCTGAGTCAAGCAGAATTCATCTTTCACCTGTTTGAAAATATTCTCAGCTATACTTAAAAGCTAATCAGTCATTTTGGGCTCTGCAATGACTTCCCGGGCGCACAGTTACTGAGTGCAAAGAGCATAAGGCAACTCCTCAAAGCCAAGGAGTCATGTGCACCACTGGCCTTTTGTAATTGACCGATGCTGTTCTGAATGTCCTCAACTCCTTATACAACTGTCCTCACCAAAACACTAATGGCCTTAGGTAAGTTATCATCTCTGCTCACATCTCTTTAGTCACTGCAATCAGAAGGACTCACCTAGCTCATGACCAACTACAAAAGGCTTTCCCTTTGTAGTCACTTGGCAAGTGAGTTCCCCGGGAGCTGACTTTGCCTATAGCCTCATTCATGCTTGTCTTGTGAAAACCTGTGCGGTGGTGAGATGTTCTGTCTCAACAGTTTCCAACTTTTCCAGTCACTATTCATCTGCAAACATGCTTAGTTCAGGAGTGTCAATGTATTCCACCTTCTTCTGGCACAGCATTAATGGCATTACACAATAAATAATGTTTTGTCAGAGATAATGTTCATTCTGCTGTGTCCTAAAGAGGGGCATTCAAAGTCTGCTCTTCTCATTTCACATGATGGGTATCAGCAAGAAGAATAAATAAACAAGAATATAGTAAGACAATGTTCACGGTGATGGGAGTGCACAGGACAACAGGGAGAAAGCAGTTAAGATGCTAAACATGTAAGACAATAAACAGGGCTGTGCTCCCAAAAGCCACTCATGGGCTGCACATTGTGAATCCACATAATTTCACTTCCTATAAAGTATTATTTAGGGTTTTCCCATCTTTTCAGTATTAAAAACTTTGGTTTGAAATCAAAAGCTATACACAAACAGGCAGTGGGTTAGATGTGGCTTATAATTCGCACTTTGCTGAGGCATATTAAAGAATATCCTTAAAGTAAATATGTATCTAAAATACTTTAATTTACTTAGCTTACTGATACTAGTCATTGACAATGTTAGCTATGTACTACATAAATGCAACAGCTCTTCCTGATAAAACCAAGAAACCTAGGAAAATGTCCTCATGGATGAGAAGCATCTAAACAGACTGTTTCATTGTGGAAAACCGTCCTCCAAATATGACCTTCCCTGAACTCCATGTGATTACAGGAGACAAGTGTTTCCTCAGCAGAAGCAGAACCAGAGGAAATAAGTGGTGACAAAAGTTCTAAATAACTAACCATAGGACAGAATGCAGAGCAGACTGCTGCTCAGGCCACAGTAAACCTGACATGCCCCTCCCACATGCTGGCAGGCAAGTGGGAAAGGACTGGGTGCAGTGAATCTCTCCCTAGCAAACTTACAGCCAGAGTTCTCACTGGGGAAGCCAGCTTACAAGGTTCTGACATTTCACAGGGCCACCTGTAGTTACTGGTGCCCACACACTCCCTTCCCTACCCTCTCCAGGCTGTCGGCTAGGGGCATCAGAACACTTAGCTGCTGCCCATGTTGGAAAACCTACCCCCTTCCTCAGAGTTCTGTGACAAGGGACCCAGACTCTGCCACACAGGCCACACTCCACTCTAGAGTCACTAAAATGCTATCATGGATGCTGGGGGCTGAACTCTCGTAGGAGTGTACCTACCCTCACCATGCTGTTGTCTGTAAACTTTTAACGCTCAGCAATCCATCTTAGTGTCCTTGAAACCCACACCCCACACCTTTCACTACATTATCACAGCATATACTGCTTCCCTTACGAACCGTTTTTCTAACACTTCTAGTGATCTCTCCCAAGGCATGCTAGTTCCCCAAATTCCACTGCACAAAATGAAGTATGTCCACTGCAGAAGCAGGTACTATCTTCAGCTTTTCACAATGTCTTTGTAAATCTTTTTTTTTTTTTAACAAAAAAGGAAGGGAGGGAGGGAGGGAAGGGGGGGAAGGAGAAAAGGAGGGAGGGAGGGAGGAATGGCTTTCTTTCCTGCCAACTGACATGGGTACTGTGAAGGCACAGCAGTGTATGTGTCTCTGGGTCTCTCAGCAGACAATTGGAAGAGTTACTTAGTAAATATGTCACAGTGAGAACAAGGATCTGTTTATACTCTCACTAACTGGGTATTATGGACTCTGGACCTTTTAAACACTCCTGGCTTCTTATCTCCCTTTGTATATACCTGGTGATCCCAACATATGAGACTTCCTGCTTGTTTTCATTGTTAACCAGAGAGAGTCCAAGGCTGTGGAGAGACAAGGAGACTTCATGGTCAGCCTGTTCCATTTCTTCTGCCTGGAGCGCTTTGGAAACCAAAGCAACGTCATCCGTGAAAAGGAGAATCCTCTGGCGCCCATCAAGGAAGGACACCCAATGTATCTGGATGTTTGCATCGTATGGAAACTGTCCACACTCATCCTGAAGAAAGAAAGACTTTGAGTTAAACATGAATGGAATTTTCATACTTAAAACTGGTAATGGTTAGACAAGCTTTAAAAGAATCACTATAAAATAGAAAAATCCAGTTCAAATTGACATGAAGTCAACATTTATATAATAATAACAGTAACACTCGCCAGGTCTGGGGATATGGCTCAGTGGATAAAGCAGAGCTCTGCAATCAAGATCTAAAGTTTCAAGCTCTAGAACCCAAGTAAAAGCTAAGTGGGCAGGGTGTTCGTCTATAATCCCAGCACTTGGGAGGCAGAGGCAGAGGATTCTGGGGCAAACTGGATACTTTGACTAGCCACACTGAGAAACCCTGTCTTGACAAAGTGGGAAAAGACTGAGGAAGACCCTAGAAATCAACTTTGGGGTTCTACATGCATAAGCATATTACTCACACACTCATACATGTGCCAACACCCATATGAGCATATATACACATATTCAAAACCATCCATTTTCCTACAATTGACAGAGTAGCCCTTGGTTTGAGTCTCTAGCTAGTGCTGACAGGGCACTAAGCAACCTTTATGCACACCAGTACTGTCTCCAGGCTGGAGAATAGTTCCTAAAAGGAGGCCCCTAAGACGTCATTGTAAGAAGCTGTGGGGGTGACCACTAAGTTGCAGTGGAAATCCCAGGATGTTTGAGATGCCAGAACCATGGGACATCTGTGAGGAAAACTTCCAGGTGTGGAGGGGAGTTGCTTCAGAGAGAGGTAATGTCTGTTGTTGGCTGCAGAGCTGGCCAGGAAGGGCTGCATAGGCCTCTGGATCTCAGGTGATTCCTCTACAAGCCCCAGATGCTAGACACAGAAATGCAGGATTTTACCTGCTCCCTGTTGGGTTCCCTCTTGTATGGGTGTGATCATTCCATGCTTTGCCTCCATCCCCTAGCTTTAGAATAGGAATATGTACTATATGCCGTTGTATGTTGGAAATATGTAACTTCTTCACGATGGTCCGGCAGTGGGTGGGGGTGTCACAGTTAAGAGACAGTCTGAGTTTCAGAAGAGATTGCACTTACACTTCTGAACAGTGTTGAGAATGTTAAAGACCCGAGGGGCTTGCGAAGGTAGACTGAATGCATTTTACATTATTAAATAGTCACAGGATGGGATCAAGGAATAGGAGGCTAATATAAAAAGTTGTTGGGTATCAGTTGACCAGGGGTGAGCCTGTGACTATTTATACCAATTGTCAACTTGATAGGATCTAGAATCATTTTGGAGACAAATCTCTGGACATACCTGTGAAGGATTTTCTAAATAAAGCTAATAGAAGTGGGTAGATACACCTAAATGTGTTCCAGGAGTTGCAGTCCTAGGTTGCATAAAAAGGGAAAACATGCCAAGTACTAGCATTCATCTCTCTCTGCCCCCTCACTTCTGATGTAGCATAACCTGCTGCTCACCTTCCCTAGGCCTAATGGACTGTGTTCCCATGAACTACAAAGGTCCAAACAGTCATCTTCCTCATTAAAGATGTCTTGGCAGTATTTTATCAGAGCAATCAGAAAAACAACTAATACAACTTATTTTCAATAAAAAGCACAAGACTAACTTTCTACAAACATTTCAATTCACTTTTGTCCCGTGAAGACTGCACTTCCATATTAAACAGTACCTTTAGGAGATCATGCTCCCCAAAGTTGGACGCATAGCTCCATGTGAGTTTCCTGGTGCCAGTGGGATCTGCCCAGGCAAACAATCGAGTTTCTCTTGGCAGCAATACAAATTCCTCCTGGGACCCACTGAAATGATTGGCAGAGGGAAGATTAGCACACCTTGGCCTTGAGAATCACAAAGGTCTTAGGAACTTGCTTAGTTAATAAAATACAACTCAACCTCCGTGTGTGTGTGTGTGTGTGTGTGTGTGTGTGTGTGTGTGTGTGTGTGTGTGTGTGTGTGATGTGTGGTGTGTGTGTGGTATTGATGATTAAGCTCATGGTTGTACTAGTCAGGCAAGTGCTCTATCACTGAGCTGTATCCCTGGTCCTTTTTGCATGCAGTATTTTCAGACAGGACCTCACCAAGTCATCTCAGCTGGCTTTTAACTTGCAATTTTCTTGCCTTAATCTCCTGAAGAGCTAAAATTACAGACCTGAGTGAGCCATGGGCTTGGTATAAACTATTTTTCACACCCTTAAATAATGACATCATCCAAATGACAACAAAGGGCAAAAACAATAAGATTCCTATCGCCCATGGTATAGATACAGTATCACAACTCACATCACCTTTAACCTTTATTGACCCTACCTCAAACTGGAGATGCATTTACAGGGAGAGGTGCACTTACCATTACCATGTTACAAAAGGAGAGATAATGTCTAATAAATAACTTCATGGTCATTTGTCAGCATTCTGAAATGGCTGTGAAGCCATTTGGCGTAAAGACCCATTTGAACTGACTGAGACCTTTCATACCATCTCTTTTACTCAGGTTCACATGGTACATATAAATTTTGCTGTAGAAACTTAAATGTTTTGGTGAATGAATACCATGTGAAGACTTGCCAGTATATCAGGAATAAATACCACATGCTCCTCATCACCATTGTAAAGTCTGAAGACATCAGGATGTGAAACTCCAATATTTCTCAGAAGAGACCATAGACCAATGACAGCCAAGTCAGTTTCTAATCCTGCCTTTTCTCATACCTCTGTTTATAGGTGAGGACGTCCCACTGTGTATGGTTCATTATCAGGGCAGGTGCAGATCCCTCGTGGTAATCAGAGAAGGTTATGACAGTTGAGTGTTCAGCAGTGTTTATATCCACCAAGATACCTCCATTCTGTCTCAGGGGGAAAAGCACGTTCAATGTACTGACTGAATCTCAATCAGCTATACAAACTGCTTACTTTCTGAAGTTCTTACTGGCTTTTATTCTTACAAACATATGTTGGCATTAGACATGCACACAGAAGGCCTACAAATAATTACCAGATCTCTACAGCACAGCTTATAGAAATATGTTCTAGCAAGTTTTAAAAGTCAGAGACACAGTGTTTTACAATATGAAGACTTACCAAATCTTCTAAGCTCAGTAAAGTGCCATTGTCTTGCCGGTTGTAAAAGAATGGCTTGGAGGATCCTTCATAGCCCACCACTCTCACACAAAGTTTGCCAGACAAATTTTCAGGCCAAAATGGAATGCACTGAAAACACAAATATAATGCCAGTTTTAAACTGTGCTGTGACATAAGATACTGCCTTGTTAAGCACACAGGGTAACCCAGTTTTCAAATCTAAAGCTGGACAAAATGTCATCACAGTTTTTTTAAATACTGACAAGTTAGGTGTAGTGGTATACTCAGAAGCTGAAGCAGGAGGATCCCCAGTTCAAGGCCAGCCTGGGAGACACGAATCTATTAAAAACAAACAAAACACTATTGAAATAACTATGCAACCAAAGTGCATTCATCAGAATGAAACTCTATACATAGTTGTACCAATTACATGATAAGCATACTGATTCTGTGCACTTTCCATAGCACATATTTCAATTTTAGTTATATGGGAAAAACTAGAGAATGACTGCTAGCAATCTAGACAGGGCTACTAATAAATATTACCAATAATTTTCTACTTTCAAACAGGATAAGAAACTCAAGAGCTTATTGATTAAGAATGCCTTCATATCCTGAATCCTTAAAATCTATAGTCTTCATTGCAATTGCTTTTGTGCCTTGCCAAATTCACCAAATTCACTTCGAGAACACACAAAGAAATTTTTCACAGAATTATCTTCTTTACACAAACCAGAAAGCCAAAAGCAGGCATGGAAGAGGCTACCACAGAGCAGGCTCCAAGTCCAGACCCAGGAGCAGATGTCCCTTTAATCTTGTCTCTCCATCCATAAAGGGTGAATCTTAGTTCTTAATCTAACACAGAATGTGGTTCTATTATAGAACGCCCAATAAATTCTGTTTCTGAATCAATATACTACCATGGCAAACTCACACCAACAAAAAGAAGACAAGCAATTTTACACAGCACACTGGTTCTGTACACTTTCCATAGCACATGGTTTAATTTTAGCTATATGGGAAAAACTAGAGAATGACTGCTAGCAATCTAGACAGGGCTACTAGTAAATATTACCAATAATTTTCTACTTTCAAACAGGATAAAATAAAGATCTTCCGAAGCTGCTGCCGTACTTAACACAAATATGTATGAGATGGTGTAATAAAGTATCTATGCAATTCACATTTCCATGTCCCTGTACATTTTAGGACTCAGTCACATCTTAGGGAAATTTACCTCTGAAGAAGCGACATAGTGCCATTTGTTGGTCGGTATGGAGCCATCAGAGGCAATCTCTCCAATTTCCAGCTCTAAGGAGGACTTGTTTGCAATGGTACAGAAGGGAGTCAGAGTAACTATTCGTGAGAGGTTGAAACTGCTCATTTTGATGCTAACCCCGACCTGAGGGAAGGAAACAAGTTAGCTCATTCTCACTCTCTTTATTCAGTGTCAGAAATGAAGACATATGTCACACACATGTAACTAAAAATACCTAAAGTAGGAATTCTTAAATAAAGTAATGAATAAGAGCTGTATTATTCTACCACCGTCTCTCACAGTAAGGTCTTTTATATTAATTATATCAGCTTTACCAGACATCAACTGCAGAAAACAGATCACTAATTCAAAGACAACTTGTAATGACAGACTTACTGTCTAGTGTTTTATTTTACTTATTAATAATAATCCAAATGTTATTTTTTATAACCAGTGGGCTCAAATTTTATTGTTTTGTCTGTTACCAATAAAGTTAGAATTCTGAAGCAGTAGTAAACAAGTCATGTGGCACCACACTACTCAAATTTTCAAAGGAGTTACACTTAAGATTTAAGAAATAATTGACAGGCTATTTGGAAGGAAGATTTTATTATATCCTGAATATTAACCAAGTTGCCCACTCCAATGGATTCAACTTCCTGCTTAGATTTTGACAAATTGAAATTCTGCTCTGATACAGTAATCATAGAAAATCTGCAGACAGTCATCCACAGAATAATTTGATTTGTGATTTCTGTACACTTTAGAAGCCAGCTTGAATACTGAAGTGCAGAAAAGTAAATGAAGCCAAGGGTAATAAAGCAGACGCTCTTACCAGGTATTCCATATTGGGGGCAGGGCACTTCACACACCCGTAACTTCCCACGGTATCCAATGAGAAACCATTGGACCATGCACTAGTTGAAATTTTTAACTGTACCTACACCAGAGAACACATAACATCATATAAGAAACTTAAAAGATGATATTAATTTTACTTCATAGAAAAAAATCACTAAACTTCTGGAAATTTCTTCACTACCTTGAAACACAAAAAAAATATGATCACAACCATATGGAATGGTTCCAGACTACCAAAGAGCAGAATATCTCTGACCTTCGCACTCACCATGAATATAATGAATTTAAACATGTTATGTTGTTTTTAAAAAGGATCACAATACTAAATACTCCAATGCTATATTTATGACAGAGATAAAAAAAAAATCCCCAAAAGTGTTAGCAAATAAAAGAGAACTTTCACATCACTCAGCAGGTAATAAAAGACAGACACTGTGAAAGATTAGAGCAGGACATGGCGGTCTTCCTCAGTGAGCACTGAACTCCACCCAGATAAAAGCAAGCACATGCTATCGATTATGACACCACCCACAACACAGTGGGCAAGAGGACAGTGGATCCCGGCTGGCTCTGGCATTTAGAGAGAAGTCCTCCAGAGAGACTGACCTGTGCCTCTGCAGTTAAGCTCACCCCTCTGCACCACCAAGACCACAAAAAACATGAGGTCAACCAGAAGTCACACAAAGGGGCAATTCTAATGTCATGTGTTGATCCAAACCCTGAACATTCATCCCCAGACAACAGCATCACCTGGGATTCTGTTATAGATATAGATGCTCAGGCTCTGTCAAGAAAGACTTTTTACTACAGTAAGCCCAGGGACAGGACTCAGCAAACAATTCTAAAGCCATTTGGGTGACAATGCTGTACACTGAAGTCTGAGAGCCAAGACTCCAAGTAACATGACTCGGATATAGAATGTCACCGTAAACAGAAAATCTTCAATACATCAGTGATGAGCACAGTATCTAAGGATGAACAGCAGATAAGACAAGATGGGGGAGTGGGGGGTGGTAGAGTAGAAGAGATCAGCAATCTGTGTGGAAGGCACAGCATACATAAAAGCCTAGGGGTGAGCGCTGACCATACTTGGACAATGGGTTAGGAGCACAGGAAGGCCCAACTGCCAACTGGTACAGGCCAATCCAACTGCTCTGAGTTTCACATGCCACATCAGCACTGCAACAGTGAATACAATAAAGCTATTCCACCTGACGGGACTTGAGTAACAGCAATGATCCTACAGCCCCCGAAGAATGGGGAGCCCTGCTTCAGCTGATTACCGCTGCAAGTTCCTAACATCCAGCTGGGCTCTGCAGTCTTTAGAGTCTCCATGAACTTAATTTATACCAAGGGCACCGCACACACAACCAAACATGCTTTGAGATTCCCGTCTCTAGATTTAGTAGCTTTCCGACTAACTTTCTAGAGCATACCTTATTTTTACTAAAAATGTTCTTCTTCTTGAAAGAGAATAAAATAATGTCCCTGAAATCGGCCGGATGTTTCACATGTATCTCCTCAGAGCAATACTGGAGAACCCGAGAAGTTTTGTTGATCAGCCAATAGGGACTAAAGACAGACAGCTCCATCCGACAGCCAACTCGTCTGACATGTACTGACAAGTCAACTGTCATGACTTCGGCGGTGTCTGAGGAAAAGCACACGAGGAAGAACTCGGGAAGGGTGTCGGCAATGCGGAAGTGTCCGTTCCAGTTCTTGCCCAGGTATTTCACCAGGACTAACTCCATGATCTCGCCACTGATTCGTGAGTGGAGTACATCGGCAGCGCTGCCTTCTGCCAGCTCATGGGTTTCTGCAGTTCCCTAAAAGCGATCACATAAAACCAGCTTCCTTAACACCAAAATCCGTATTTTATACAGTACTAAATATCCTGACCACCAAGCCTAACCTCGCTTCTATGTTAGAAATTCCCAGCAATTACTAAGGACTCCAAAGGAAACCCTGTGTCACAGCCGCAGTCAGCGCCTTCTGACTACTGGTACGGAAACCACCCTAAGCTTTGAGGAAAACCTGTATCTATACCAAGAATCAAAGGCTGGATCTGGGGCCCCAACTGTTCCATTAGAGCTGGGTCAGAAAATGAGCCACTTCCCCGAATGTGCATCTGTTTCATCTTTATCCCCATAGCATGGATCGTGGCTGCTGTGTGTACAGAACCAGGAAAGTCATACCGAGCAAGGTAGAACTGCTTTAAAAATTAATGATGGGGCTGGGGAGATGGTTCAGAAATTAAGAAATGCACTGCTCTTTCAGTGGACCTGAGTTCAGCTCCCAGCACCCACATCCAGCGGCTTACAACCACCTATAACTCCCAACTCCAAGAAATCAGGCCTTCCTCTAGACTGCCTGGACACTGCACTCACACATGTACACATACACACTTAAAAACAAAAGATAAGTATTTTAAAAATAGAAATCAGGCTCCCTTACTGCAGTCTTCTTTTGTACAGATGCTATTTGGTTCTTTTAATTAACTCTTGTCTCCATAACTCAGGAAGGGAATCTTTGACAAAGAAAAGGAGTCATTTAGGTTCCAGATGCTTCCTAAGGCTGTTGAATTTTAAGACATCATAGAATGTACAAATTTAATCATATTCATAATATCCCGTGTATCAGCATAAACTTTAAGGTAAAAATAAGGATGAAATATTTCCATTTGCATCTTTCTCTCCTTTAGGTAATATGACTTAACATAATGAAGAGACCTTTAATTTACAACAAACACAGCAAAAAAAAAGAAGCAGGAATTGGGAAGCTGAACTGCCTAGGTTTACATCCCAGCTTCACCACTGTCCAGCAGTAGGACCTTGGATCAGTCATTGATCCCTCTGTGACTCAGGAAAAGGGCCAAAAGGTCTGTACCCACTACAGAGGCCACTGTGAGGACTGAGCGTTGCTAATACACAGAAAGCACATAGTAGAAGGCCTAAGCAGCAAAGCTGCGCCAGACTAGCTATAATAAATGCAACTTAAAAACATGAAACACTGCCTCAAAGTGGCACATGAAACAGAATGAGAATTTACTTTGTACAATAATAGTATAAGAGCAAAAGTACATGAAGCATACCTCAAGCAAGTATCTTAGCGAATACGGGAGAAGGTTCCGCAAGGTGAGAGGAGGGTAAAGGTGGATAACATAGGCTGGGTCCCAGTCTTCCCCGTGGGCACCGATGTAGCTCAGCTCATCAGGCAGGGCGACCGTGTTCACGATGAGAGGTAAGAAGTTGACCTCCACTGCAGGGCACTGCAGCATACACCTGACCTCCGTGCTACGATGAAGCTCTTCCTTCCAGGAAATGTACGTGGTGGACTGTGTGTACTGCTGCTCTAGGCTGCCTGCCGGCTGAAGGTACAGCTGACATCTGCAGAGGGTTCCACAGAAGGTAAAGAGAAGAACCTCAGGTTCTTCACGGTAACTCGATAAGGTGGGCACTGATATCCTTACAAATGCAGAAGCCACTGCTAAGGAAGTTCAGAACATGCCCAAAGCGACAGAGCTGCCCCACAGAGGAAGGACAACTTAAAATATTTTCATTTTGACTATAAAAGCAAGCTAATAAAATATATAATCTTAAAATATTATAAAGCATCAAATATCTGATGAAGACTTTATATTGTAAATTCAATAATCACATGTATATTTCTGCTCAAAAGAATAAACTCTTATGTGACCTAAAAATGGCTGTTGCATGGCTAGGACAGTAAAAATCTGAGGCTGCTCTCGCTAAAATATATAGATCCTATTCATAAAGCTAAGGATATACAAATTTGTTTTCTTTTATAACATTTGTTTATTTTTCTACAACCCACATTAATTGTACAAATCAGCAGGTTTTGCTATGCTATTTCCACACGCCCTATGCTAACTGTGTACACTCACCCTTCTGCACTCCACCCCAACACCCCCAAGATCCTAAATTTTCCTCAGCAGTGCTGCCCATTCATCCCCAGCTCTGATGATCACCATCCTATTTGGAAGCTTAATACATGCACAGATGTGCGCACCTGTAAGAATCCAAAGGGACATGGAACTCCTCCTCAGGTCTGGCTATTCCAATGCGCTCCAACAGCTTAACATTCTTGACAAATTTGTAGATGATAAATGCTATCGAGAAGTGGTTCTTAATCTGTTGGAATGGACATATAAATGTTTTTTAAAAGTGATACATAAGTTAAAAAGAAAGCATCCGCAATGCACAGATTTACTATAGATCTAAAAAGCTTCAACGCAATATTGAAAGGTATTTCCATGGGCTAACAACAATATTTATGTCTTTAAGTATTACATGTAAACACTAAACTTAATGTTGAAGTGACAGTTGCAAGTCGACATTGCCACACCATACATCTACATAGTACATGTACATTGTTAGTCTTTGCCACCATTAAGGATGCACCACCCTTGAAGATTTCAGCCATGCTTTCTCCATTACAACCTCCCATTAACACACCATGGGACACAGAAGTGAGCAAAGCCATGGAGCTCCTTTCCTGACTGCCCTGTGGTGAGAGTTGCATCTAACAATGACCTAAGAAGTAACAGGGTCCAAACGGTAAATTAGTTCCAATCTGCATGTATGCATTAGGCAGGGAGAAATGTTCTTTACATTGAGACATACGTTAAGCCTGCAGTAATGCTGGAAAGACTAAAAGGTTTGGTATAATCCTAAAAGTAGAAAGGAAAATGTTTATACAGATTAAAATGCCTCTCTTTTTTATATGAGAGTAGGGCATTCCAAACACCTCACACACATCTGAAAAATACAATCTCAAGTGTTGGTATACTAAGAGAACAGAAGGCTATCCTATTTGATAATCAACTATAATCACAGTATCTCAGTTCCAAATTCCTAAAAGAACCTAACAAAGTTTAGATGTGTAAGTGTTCCAAATCTCTAAAGGAACACAAAGTTGCTTATGGGTTTGTGGGCAGTAAATAAATAAAACTGCTTTTCAAGCCATTTAAAATAAAGCATAGTAAAAGACCAGGTAGGAGCAGAGGCTGCTTCACTTAGCCATTCATTTATAAATCATCAGACGTGCTCAGGAAGTTTTACTGCACCTGTCAAGCCCAGCTAAATGAGTGAATTCTGCGTGGCACATCCAAAGGGACACAGGCTGTCATAGGCTTACCTGCAGAGGCGATCGGAGAGTGATGACCTTATTCCCTTCTGCTGCATCAATCTGCACCAACACAGAATCAGAACGGCTGGCACCAGGATTCCGTACATTATACAACCGCCGGCCAGGCCTGGCAACAGGGACACTGCCCACTTCTGTATAGCCATGTGGTACTAAATCAGAGCACAGGGGAAGAAAATTAAAAATATTCATGTTTTAATAATAACCAATCCTGGACCTAGAGGGATGGCTCAGAAGTTAAAGTACTTGTTGCCCTTGCAGAGGACCTGCATTCAATTCCCAGCACCCATATGACACATCACAACCATCTGTAATACCAGTTCTAGGAGATCTGCAGTCTCCTTCTGGCCTCCAAGGGCACCAGGCACGTACATGGTACGCAGACATACATGTAATCAAAACACCCATAAAATAAATAACTTAAGCAAAATATAACATCATGATAATAACAAGGGTATGCTTGCTCATCATTAGAAAATTTTTCTAAGATTCTGAGATTAAAAAAGATAAACTAATAATATAAAATTGTTGCTACACAAATAAATATACTAAAAACAAATAAAATCCAAACTAATTTTTTTATTCTCTCAACTAGGTAACAATCCCCTTGTCTTTGTAATGGTTTCATTACCATCAATATTCTAGATTTCTGACTATGACCACTTTTCTCCCTTAACTGAATGCTTATCCTTTTTGAAACATAATACTTATTATTTAGGGCATAGTAATAATCAAGTTTTATAGGATACTCATTAATTAAGGTCAATTTTATGTTTAGGAGAAACCCAGAGATGAATTATTGCAATCTCTGACAAATGTCTCACAGGATATCCTCAGCAAAATTGAATTGGATGATTTATCAAAACTTAGCTGCCATAATTCCTGCGATGCTCTGAAAACACAGAAAACGCAGCATACCGAAGGTCAGCGTGAAGAAGGAACTCTCCTGCCGGCTCAGAATCGACAGCTTTCCTTGACACAAAGGTTCTGGGCTGGCATATTCCAGCTCCAAATGCTGACCAGCATCCACATCATAAATGTCACTCTTTTCCAGGGAACCCATCATCCTGAGGTTACAATTGGGCTGCACCTTCATGGGAACACCTAGGGCATTTTTGACTGTAAAAGGAGCCCTGTCTTTTAGAGAGTAGTCAAAAGTAGAAGCAGCTCCCTCCGAGAAACCCTGCAAAGGAATGCAGCATGGTGAAACCCCAGAAGTATACTTCTTACAAGCATTTTACCATGACGACATGTTTTCTGAAATTTATTTTGATAATAACAAAAAAAAATCCATACATGCTTCATTCTAAGATCCTACATGAAATGTTCCAAATCAGAACCACACATACTTTTGCTAAATTGTTGAAAACATTAAGACAGCTTTTGGATATTGTGATATTCATCGTAGCTTCTGAAGAAACATGAACTGCCATTTGTGGCTCAGGAATAAAATCATCTCCTGGCATCAAACTTTTATCCTGGATCGGGTTCTTCTTCACCTAGGAAGATAAACACCACACTTAAGTTGTCAGTCAAGTAACCAACGGTAGCTCTCTTAAAAGCTCAACATTGAGGGATTCAGCTGAACTGGTTAGTATACACTATGGCTCCTCAAGAACTCATATTCACTCATACACAGCATCCCTGTGATTCTGAGAAGATCAGCAGCACTTAGGCCATGGACAAGGAAATGCTCAACATGATGCTGAGAAGGAAGCATGAGGACTCTTTGCACTGTCAAGCAAGCTAGCTCCTCAGCATGTGTGATGGGTTCTAACTTCCTCAGCAAATGAGGGTGACTCCAAAGTCTGATTCTGGCTAGAGGTGTCATCTGGAAGTAAGATGGTTTTTTTCCTACTACTTTTTTGGTAAGTAATATAAATATGGTAAGTTTTTGGATTAAATTTATTGCAAGTAACATTCACATTTTCACTCAAATAGCATTTCAAAACCTTTGTTAAATATTCTCTTTCAGTCTCATTGTGCCAAAGAGATGTAGACCAGATACTGTCTCTGCTTTAGGAGGAGTAGGGATACAAGGTAAGTGAGTGGTCATCTCTAAAAAAGAATTTGCTATTGCAGTTTCTATATGTGAGACCCCTCCATCAGTGACCACAGCAAGGCAAGTGGTGATGGTCTGTTAATAGCACACATCTCATATTCCTGCATATCTAGAAAATCGTATGTTGACATCAAGGAATCTGAAATACTAAGGAATGTCAAAACCAGAGAGTTTATAATAATATTAATTCTCAATTTGGAGGGAGCACTCATCCCTAAAACTCACTGGAAAATTAAAAAGGTTCCATTCATGAGTTTTATCTACCAATATGGAGTATATTAGAAATGAAAACTGAGAACACTTTTAATAGTTAAAACTAAAAATTATGTTTCAACATTTTAATGGAAAAACCATCTTAAAATGTAAAGATGAAGTGAGGCTTTGACAAGTGTCTTGAATGCCTGTAGTAAGAGATGGATTCTCATTTCTGCTACACATTCAGCCTGCCGAACTTCCATAGTCAGTCTCTCAAAAGCTGTACAATCATGAGAAACAGGAATAACAATTATATATGATTGCATTATTACTGAGAAAGGAGTTATCACCTCAAGAACTTTTTAAGGGGTTTCACAGGCCCTGGACCAAATCTGGAAATCACTGAACTAAAACCTACTAAGGACAATGCCTGGCATCATGCTGTGAAAAGCACCAGCTTCCTTACATTAAGCTTTAAGCTCCATGGTATTTTCCCCTCCACTCTTTCAATCAGTGGCTCCCAGACAGCATGGATTTCGTTATAATAGTGAACCTGAAAAGGTAAGGTGCAGAGTTTCAATTACTTGGTTGTTCAACATTAATCATATAATTACATAATCAGTAGAAAAAGTATATTAAGCTACTGTTTTATATCAAAAACCATTTTAAAACCCTACCTAAAGAGACGCATACAAAATACAATATAGTTCCCCCTTTCTAATGCTCTACTGTCATAAATTACTTAGCAAGAGATTTGTTAAGAATAATTATCACATGTAATTCTACACCATCACATTAAACATTAGACTATGCTATCTGTTCCCATGGAGACTTGCTACAGTCATACATCGTACTTCTGCAATGGTACTTTATAGCTATGCTCTGGAGGTGCCAATGTGGCCATACCTCTAGTGTCATGTCAGCAGAAGCAGCCATTAGAGAAGTCCAGTTTTTAACATTTCCAGAAAACTTAGACTCTGCCAATAACAGAGGCACGGTGCGATGGCCAAGGCCACATTCTAAGGTGACTTGAACTGACTCCACAGCAACCACACAGTTTTCCTCTATTGGTGGATGTTCAAAGTCTCTGAAATTTTCTGTTACTTCTGTTGCCATGTCAACACCAAGAAACCAAGAGTTATAATCAGTAATAGATTTGACGCCCCAGAGATTGTCCATCTCCTTGGTAGTGTCTTTTGATTCATCTTCTTTGGCCTTTGGAGACATAGCTGCCAAGATTGTCATCACAGTATTAAGGATTATAGGTGAAATCTTTAAAAAGGAAAGCAGAAAAATATTTAGAATAGATTCCTTCCCAAATGAGAATTAAAATACATGACTTCAAAAGTTAAAATTAAATAACTTAAATTTAAATATATTAAGTTGTGAACACAGGAACCTTTAGCCAAAGATATGTTTGAGAGGCACCAACCTTAATTACAAACTCCTTCACCATGATATTTATGTTTTGTTTTCCTGAAGCCCATGTGCACTTTTCCATAAATAAAGAGCAGGGTTGTAACACCTAGAAACAGAAAAGTGTAAGTCACATTTCCACAGTAATGGATCCATTGTGTATCATACCTTGTAAGAACTGGCCCAGCTTTACTACAAGCAAAGGCACATTAGTTGAGGCTCTTGGTGTCCCTCCTACACCAGAGCAAAACTGGCACAGTTCAAGGACTCCTAAGTAGTTCTGAAAAGGACCTTAATACCAAATCCAAAAAAGAAGGAATGGGGATGTGGGTTTAATATCCCAAAATATTCCCTTCTTGCTAAAACACCTTTTAAATGATGCGCTGCATAAAATGTACCTTTGAGGTAACTATAAAAATGAGCTAACATCTAGGGTGCAGTGAGCACGTGACACTTCATGAGGACTAACGGGTTATGAATACCACAGATGGTCCTTCTGTGAACAAAACTCAACCCTTCAAACTTGATGACCAAACTATGAAGCCTGGAATCCTACATATATCATTAAAGATATAAGGTAGCTTTGCCCCTTAATGAATGAGGCCATGACAACAGCAAGTGGTTTTTTTTTTTTTTTTTTGGTTTTACAAGACAGGATTTCTCTGTATTGTTTTGGAGGCTGTTGGTCCAGCCTGGCCTCGAACTCAGAGATCTGCCTGCCTCAGCCTCCCGAGTACTGGGATTAAAGGCGTGCGCCACCACTGCCGGCCTCAGCAGGTGGTTTTAAATCAGAACCTGTCTTCAATGAAGTGACTATTATCATTTTCTGAGACATGAAAAAGATGACATGTTGAAGAACAATTCATGATCAAGAACAGACACTCGGGCTTCACTTCTCTGTGCTCATAGCATAGCTCAAAAATTCCTCAAATTTAAAACAATGCAGTAAATGAGTCAGGCAATGTAAGACTCTCTTAGCATAAAGTTAGAGATATGACACTAAAAATAATTGGTATAAGTAAGGTAGTTGACTAAAATCACAAATTTCAATAATGCTGCAAAGTATAATTTAAATTAATTTTTAACAACAGAATACAACCCTTTCTTTTAGTGACATGATTCTACAATTAAATTTTTCATGCCAAGATTATTTCCTCATTCACTCACTAGTTGCACTCCAGAGAACAAGGAGAAAGCTGGAACAAAAACTCTGGGTCCTGATAAAATTAAAAATTTATCCAATAGAAATGCAACAATAAAGAATTTATCTGAAGGCACCCTATTTCTGTCACTGGTGGCCATGACTAAGCCTCCTAACACTGTCCAACCTCAAGGTCATTCCGTAAAGCCCAAGTCTGTGATGTCCAGTAGAGCTCTCCCTAGCTTCACCACCAGTGTCCATGGTCTTTCTCACCGTGGTGACGCTCTTCCCTCTCCTTTCTCTCAAGAAGGGGCAGGCAAGCACTTTCAGATCTCTCACAGAAGCTTCCATCATCTGCTCGAGTTTGGACGTTGACATGGAGAGTTTACACTGGAATGAGGCTGTCAGAGCAGGAGCATCAGCCCTTGTCAGGTTGGCAACAAACACTACTTCTGGGTCTGTGATCATGGCCTTCAAGGTCATATTTGGCCTCACAGAATCATCTGAAGAGAACAGCAGGGGCAGAAAAGTTTTAATGTAAATCTTCACAACAGGTCATCTATCCATTGCTGATTCCATATTTTAAAAACATTTAATTAGAAATCTAGCTGATGATGGTCATTGCTACTTGGAGCCTTTAGAAACGACATGGTTTGGGTGGTTCCTGGGGACAGAATGCAGGTGTGTGCACATATAAACAAACACACAATGTGTTAAGTAGTGCTGCAGGGCAAGGAGCAGAAAACAGACAGCTACGAGGAGAAGAATCAGATGACGGAGACTAACCGCTGTCACTAGTTCACTGCAGTTTACCCAAAAGCTACTCTCCATGCCATATGATCTACAGTTTGAACTTTTAGAAATGAACATGGCATATCAGGTATGACCATTATTGAAAACATCACAGCAAATGGAAAACTATATTCCAATCTTGCCAATGCATACTCAATTTGTGACTTTGCCAGGTTTTACATTAGGAAACAAAATAAAACACAACACCTGACCTTAAGACAATTTAAAATTTAATATAGAAAATCATCAATATGCTTGATAAAGCTGGGATATAGAAACTTATAAACTACCGAATGGAAAATGACTTCCACCATTCTCCTAGGCCAGGCATTCTCAGTCTTTCTAGAAACTAAAGGGGGCTCTGGGTCAGTCATGCTGTGTCTCTCCTGTCCGCACCACCTCCTTCTAGCGTGTCTGTTGCCCTTCAGTGCACTGTGATTCTTCCAAGTATTTTGTTTGAATAAATGACTCCCTTTTATAAAACAGGTAGCCACTGGTTAACTACCTCTGTTTCTGAATGAAGAAAACTCTGACTGAAACCACAGCAGTTACCATACTATCACAGAATATATCTATTTTACCTCATTTAAAAACACTTACTTACTGGAGTGTTACAAAGAATGTGCTTAAACCAAAAAGCCTAATTTTACTTCCTCAAATTCTCCACCTCTGAGTTCTGTTTCTAATTTTTGTTAAAATGCAAGTCTCTTAATGCAGGACAGATGGGCAAGTTCTCCTAACCTTTTTCCATCTTGACTCTCTCCATGGCAGTCTGTCTTGATGGAATCTGTATTTCTTTTGCTATGTTTTCTGGATTCTGAGGCATAGCTTTGATGAAGAAATCAGCCACAGTCATCAGAAACTCCACGCTGGCACACACGTACAGTTTGTCAAGAACAGCATCAATCTGACTTCCATTTTTATCTTGTCTATAACTTATATCAATCATAGAATTGTTGCTATCCTGGTCATTCTTTTTGTCAATCATCCTGAAAAACAAGCATACCATTCATTATTTTACTCCTGTTTCTCCTGCTAAGATAACAAAGGAACGAAAATTCCCCCTTGCATTTTAATCATCTTTCTTTCCCCCTTCAGTTTGTAATTTGAATAGAAAATATAACGGTGTTAATTGGAACAGAATCACCCAATTAGCAACCAAGACATGGCTGCCTAATCTCCAAAAAAAGATTGATGTCATTAAGCAATTATGGAATATTCTGTAATTATAATGCAATACCAGAGAAACTGATGATGCCGGAAATGATATTGAGCAATTAGCAATGCATGAATGCAGTCCCTCAAAATACAACACAACCTTTTTATTCTACTAAATAAAAATTCCCTGAAATATTTTATCTATATAATTTTATTACCATATAGAATTTATTCCCATGGTGCTCAATGAAACCCAAATTAACAAGTGTTTATCAGTACCTACAATGGTTTCTGGACACCCTCACATGTGCTGGAGAGACTAAGGCTACCACGAGACTAAGGCTACCAAACAAGGTGATTTCATCAATCAATCACTATTTCCTAAAGAGCTATGGACAGCTACCCTGGCCATGAAATTTGTAACTAGAAAAGCTGGTTACACATAGTACACTGCCCTTGTTTGTTCTTTTCTCTGAAAAACACAGGGTTCAGAAGAATCCAGTAAATAGACAACGCTGTTCAAGTTTAAATAGCAACATAGTCTTTTACACAAAAAAGTACAATATGACACATTTCATTCTGTGAGAAAGTAATAAATACACAATTAAGCTACTTGGTTACATTTTTCCTTATTTTATACCAGACTGCTACAAGTTAATCTTTCAAAATGGGTTGGTAAAGTGACAATGCTACAGAGTATACTCCTACTAAGACTCAAAGAAATTCTGTATAATTGTTTTGAAAGACAAAGTAAACAAGGAAAAAATGGAATTTTAGGATTCTAAAAAATATTCATTCTGCCTACTGGCAATAATCCGGAAAAACACATCACCAACCCATGTGGATGTAGCCATTAGAACTCTTAAGTCCTCTAGTTCTCATTGTTAAGGTGGAAGTTGGCTTTACTAGTAAATTCCCCTTTCATTTAAAGTGTGAAGCAAAGTGTTCAGAGAGGACCATTTCACCTCCTCACCACTCAATTCTGAAAATATGACCATTTTTAAATGACAGATCTGCTGAGGATCCACACCTCAATATGGCAGGCTGACACCTGCCTGAAACACTGCATGGCAAACCCTGATCTCACAAACCTGGATGTTGCTCTCTCAATTCCTTCTCGGAGATCATCAAGAGTGCATGTCTTCAGTTTAAGGCTGACATCCACAGATCCATCCTTGAACATCTTCCCTGCAGAAGCCATCAGGTGTAGTCTGAGCTCACCAAGACGGAAACTGTCATTATGAAATGAAAGTCTGGGCTCCTGTAGTACATTTTTCAAGCAAAAGAATACGTGACTTTTTAATATTACGAGTCCATTTCAGCACATTTTGTAATTCTAAACTCAAATGCAAACCCCACGTACTATGAACACAGGTGAGTACATGGGTGCATTCATGCATCTGTGTGTACCCTTGGCATACTGGTCACTACGCAACATGCTCACTAATTTCAGACAGTACAGTGACTGCAAGGAGGTAAGAATGACAGTATAAATGGAAAAGAGAATGCTTTTATCTTATAAACACAGACATACTCTACAAACTTGTAGATTTGACAGGAATGACCTGTTACACAGCTGATGCCTGTAATACACATTCATTTCCAATCAATCCCTGATGCAGACTGTCTGGAGTACGTGGATTTTAGATACGGCAAGGCTCAGGTTTCTCAGCAAAATAAAAAGCTCCAAGTGGCTCCATGAAAATCACTAAGGACACAAACTGTACCACTGCCTAGTAGATATAAAAGAAGCCACTGCACTAAAAGTGTGAGCGAAGAAGAGTCACAAATAAAAGAGTGAGAAGTAGCAGGGGGGAAAATTAAAAGGAAAACAAGGATATGCACCAAAAGAAAAGTGACAGTATGTCTAAATTAGTAAGGTTAAAGAAAGAGGCCGAGACAGCAGCAGCATTTTAAGGCTGGAGACCAACAGACACCGGGCCTTCAATGTGCAGAACTTGCACTTTCAGTAAAGGCAGTTGCTGAGATGTGTACAAACACCAAACACTAGAACTTCTGGTGGTTCATTGCACAAACAACAGATATTATCACAAAGCTCAACTGGAGAAATGTATGAATATTGTATAACTTCAAGAAAATAGCAAATAGCACATGAAATGCCTATGAACACAGGCATAAACTCTACAATAGATACAGACATATCATGGGCATTAACATATGACATAACTAATTCATAAAATAAAAATATTCATTACAAGATACTATGCAGTACAAATGGCTTTCTAAAGTACTATTGACCTACTATATTCTTGCTTATCTATTACTGACTGAGGCATGATCATAAAAGACTCCAAAGACAGTATTATTCTTCTTAAATAGTGATGACTACTGACGCATAAAATTAAACATATGGCCAGTCAGTCATATAGAAACCTCCTCTATTAGTGATGGATAAAATGCATTTTGGTGCTGTGTTACTGGAAACAGGGAAACCCTGAACACCTCTCCCTGGCCTAGTAAGATTAAAAACCTAGGGTGAAAGGCTGAGCTTATGGAGCCATGAACATTTTTCAAGCCAAACAGTGATTTGTAGATGCACTGAATTTTATTAATAGCTACAACAAATAAATGCCAGCATACAAAAACTGGATACTCTTAAGAGCAAAGGATTTATCTCCAGCAACGGAAAAAAATGTCCTACTTACCTGATGGCTGTCACTGTTGTACAGGATGATGGATAGTGAGTCAAAGTGAAAGTCAAACTGAAGAGTGACAGTCTGATCCACGGAGGGCTTTGGGTCTGTCAAATGTTCTTCTGACGGTTCAAACATTAATAAGAAAAACCACAGAGCTCTTAAGTAGGTACATGATTTTAGACATTTTTAAGCTGGGAAGATAAATTAATATTCTAAATTTATAAAATACTTTCTATCACATTTAACTCACCAGACAATTAACAAAAATGGCAACTGATCACTACATAGTTAGCAAAGGACAAAATGGCAGGTAGATGTACGGAAAAAAGATCTTACAAATAATATCAAGGTGACTTTTTGAAATGTCCCTTCAAAGTACAGTCTGTCATTACCACAGTATATTTTCCCTACCTAGCTGGTCACCCTTAAAACATTATGAAACTGAACATACAGTGAAGTCAAACACTGCCTAGACTGGGTAACTGGCAAACACCTTCTGCAGGAGAGAACACTTTCCGGAGAGAGCTGGAGGGTATGGTGACTAAGAGAAAACTTGCTCACTAGCAGAGCTGGAGGGCACTGTGACAGGAAAGCCCTTGGAATACTGACATGAGAAGACCTTAGAAGTAATTCCAATTTCCTTCCCATCTTCAGACAGATAGGATATGCAGCACAGATCCTGATAAAGCAAGTCTACATCCTTCTGGAGACTCGGGTCCTTCTTTAGGAAAATTACTAGAAAAGCAAGGCTTTGCCAGGCTGAAAAACCCTGGGGCTTTTGCTCCATGTTTTCAGGAAATAATTTCTGTTCCAACCTTCACTGTATTTGCAGTTTGCATCTGAACACATTCACATTGCCAGGTGTCACATTAACCATAAAGTGATAACCAGAAAGACAAATACAATCGCAGCTAAATTCAACGAGACCATTCATCACCAATGTTTGTTCATCTCCACAGTGTCCCTGCAGAAGCCATCAGGTGTAGTCTGCCTACTTATATAGCATTTGTCTACACCCAATGCAAACCCAAACTCAAAGGAAGACCCTGGTCTCAGCTATTTAAACCAGAAATCCCAAAGCATGCCCAGCTTAATTACAGAAACAATGTTGATACCATAAAAGTAATTGCTAATGGCAGCTTCATCAGTGAAGCACAAGGAGCAGTATGGAGGGGTTCATGGGAGCAAAGGGTCCTTTTTCTTGCTTTATTTGTGTAAATGTCACCTATTGACTGTCTCAGAAAAACATCTACTATCCACATCAATGACTTTAAACAATGGACGACGCAAAGCAGGGCACAGTGGGGCACACCTGTGACTCCAGCACCCAGGAAATAAATCAGCAGAACCATCACAGGTTTGAGGCCAGCATGGCCTACAAGGTGAGAGTGTTCCTCAAAAACAATTAGAAAGGAAAGAAAACTAACTGAAATTATATCCCATGTACCACTTAAAACGCCTGAATGTAAAGGGCCACAGTACTCTTAAAACGTTTAATCTTAATAGCCTAGAAGTTTCCTGACACAATTCAGAGCATCATTCTTCACTTAAGCCAGGTATAGAGCTATTACTACAAGAGAATACCTTCCTTCCTCATGATTCAGTCAACACATCACGGTTCTTTTCTCTAAATGATTCTGACATCTTACTAGATCACCTGCCTGCTTTGCATTTCCTCTCAACACAGAGACCACCTCAGTGCCTAGTGAATTCAGCAAATATAGTTGCCACACGCCAAGGGCAAATACTCACTATGGAGGCAAGAACAACTGAGTCTCCCTTGTCGTAGATAATGCATGCACCCTCCTCTAGGAGCTCCAATAGGAGCCCCAACTCCAGCAGACCTCCCATAGTAAACACTATGAACATTAAATCCTTTCACAGCACCGTGCTGCAGAGCTCATAGAACACTGTGTGATGCTGCTAATTTTTCAGTACCAACACACTACTCTCACTGGCTTTTACCTTTAAGGTAATCAGGCCCGCTCCGAGTATCTCTCTTCACTCTTGTAGCCTCCTGTGCAGACTGGGCAGGGCTTGGCTGTGACGAAGCTTCCCCAAGGTTTTCCAGCAAAATTTTCATTAAAACTGTCAAGTCATCTTGACTGAGAGCAACCTGAAAACCACCAATAATTTATTTACATGATGTATGAAAACAATAGAATATTATGCCTTTATAACTTCATGAATGAACCTATTTGAGAGAGAGAGAACACATGTGCCAAGACTACAACATCTAGGATGACACTTTCCACAAGCGCCTTTGGAACCCAATACCCTTTCTGCCGACCTGAGACCATACCACCCTATTCCACGGCCTCACTCCAGTCTCCACTCTGCCCGTCCCTCATCTCATCCAGCACTAGCTCCTTTGCAATCACTTGCTTCACTTTAAGTTCAATATAGGGAGTGGCTCAGTTTCTGGTTTCTATCAGAATTGAGATGGTCTCTTGCTCTGTAGCTCTGTTCTCAGTACAGACACAACTGGATATATACAAAATATCTGTTTAGCTTGGCAACCAACTAACAAGCACTTTCTAAGCCATCATGCATACCAGGAAAGCAGTATCTCCCTCTGTAATTTACAAAAGGGCATGTGAGATTAAAAAAAAAGCTCTTGAGACAGATCAGTATCAGTTCTATGCCTTTAAGCTATGTGAGCCAAGTTTCTCAGCTTCTTTAACACAAGTCTTTATCTTTAGGACATGAATAATAGCATCTTACAGTGGAGAGCTGAAAAACATGAAGCAGCTAGACTGAAGGAAACTGCCACAGGCTATTAAGATCCATTAACTCAGGCTTCACTTTGAAGCTTCTCATGCTTCCCCTTGTACAACCCTCCCTCCCCTGGCACACACAGCAGTCCTCCAAGCTTGTATAAGCACTTGCAATTAACTTCACACAAAACACACCCATGCATCTTCTTCAAGCACTGTCTAGATTCCTGCCTATATGATGATGCGGGAACATGAAGCACCAGGTAAGAGACAAGGACAATTTGCTTATCCCAAACCCTGTCTTCTGATTGGTGTGGCATCAACTTTAAAACTTCCTACTTGTGATATAATCCTAGGCAGCAGCTAACTTGAGAAACTGCATCAACTATTAGGTGGCCCTTTCATACCTCTGGAGCACAATGCTGAGAGTGTGGTCCCTGGTTTCTAATTGTTGACCGTGGTCTCCTGGAAACATGTTGCTGGGGTCATTCATCCACTAGTATCCTTCCTGGTGTCACCCTTGACCTCAGAAACCTAGACAGACCCAAACTGTGCCATTGAAAATACTACTGCCTCCCAAATAAATGTATATGGCTGCTCAAATAACTATTTCTAAATAAAAGAGGGTCCCTATACAGTGTAATACTAGTCAAGCTGTTATATTTTAATACATGCAAATGATGCATCAATAAAACATCCCTAAACTAGAAAGAATACTTTAGTTTTGGATGTTGTATCTAAACATTACCTTGAATTCTGATAATTTTACTACATTAAGAATTTAATTGAATTTTTCAAAATAAAAAAAAGATTTTCATTAGATCCCCACAGGCTTCATCTCAGGCTTCATCCTCACTTTGCCAAATGTCTAACTAAAGTGAACTAAAGAACAGTGTGAATCACAGACCTCACTATTGGTTTTCACACACCAGAAACTGCACTGTGAACAAAGCAAGCCTACCCAGTACTTTCTACAATTTACATACTCACTTGCATAGGCTTAAGTTTTCCTTTTATCTCCATGCCTGGAATCTGTGTGTACCACGATGCTGACAGATTCCGCTGTATGGACAAAAGCATGTTCACTGGTTTTAAGATTTCAATGTCATGTTGAGGCGAGTCAGACTCTAAAACAGTTCTGAAAGAATAACAAGGATTTCTTATAAATATCCACATACTTTACATTTATATCTGAAAATGAGAACAGCCATATTTTGTATGCTTTTATAACACTTTCCTAAACACTCAAAAGCTGTGATGAGGGTTATTTTAAAATGTGTATTTTCATATATCAGCCCATCAGAATAAATCAGGTTTACATGCATAGCTATCTGAAAAAATAAACTCAGATAAACTTTGAATCAGGTCTAACGAATGTGTCTACTGTCACCAGGACTGGCTGATGGTATAATACTATGTAAGCAAAAGTCATACCTTTCCAAATGGAATCATTAAGAAAGTCACTGTGTATTTAGCCTTAATATGGCATTATTTCTTCAATTCAAGGAGAAAAACATCAAATCTATAAGTTAAATGAATATAGAACACCAGCTGTTTCTAGCTTGTCTTCCAATAACTGTTTATATAACCGAGTTAAGTATTGCTGTTCAATAAAGTCATGGCTTTCATGTTTTGAGTTAAGGACTCATGGATGCTTCACTGAAAACCCCTAAATGTAACAAGGTTTGGGAGTGAACATCTTAAATCACACTACAACTCAGGAAGGACTCTCTATCAAACAAAAATAAATAGCTATGTGGAACTAAAAAGAACAAAATAAATGTTAGTAAGTATAGAGCTCTTTTTCTACCTTGAGATTGGGTGTCGCTATGTTGCCCAAGCTCACCTCAAACTCGTGAGCTCATCACTGTCCCACCTCAACATCCTGAATAGGTGGGACTAGAGGCATGTGTCCTACCCCGTCCTCATTACGAAACTTTAATTCTATAATCATTTTTAAAGAATGGAAAAAAATAACTATACTATGAAATTTTAAAGATCAAACGCAGCCCTACAAAGCATACTACCATTAACTACTGGCCAGAAAGCAGCCGTCGGTTTCTTAATTGGAATAAACACAAAGTGAGAATTATGAATCATCACAGTGATTACAGAAGGTGAAAATAAAGTTATGGGAATGCACAGAAAGCAGCAAACAGCTAGATGATGCACACACACCTGGAGAGCTGCAGCTGAGTAAGCTGGATGCTCATCTTATCAGCCACCGGGGGAAGAGAGTAGTGCTCCATGGGAACCAAGCTAAATTTGTTCTCAACTCGGATTAAGCCAAGATCTGCTATAACAGCATTAGGAGACACAGAAGACTGGGGAATAGTAATGACGGGCGCCTTCAAATCGATGTCCATCAGAAGCCGGAAGCTCTTCTGGGCCAGGTCCTTCACGCTGGATGCAGCTCTTTCTGCAGCCTGGACTGTGGCAGAGCTCAAGGCTTCTTTGGCAGTTTGAAAATTGTTGAGGAAGCTCTGTTAGGAGAGAACAGCAGGTAAGCACAGTTCCCCAAGGAAACCCTAAAGAAGTGTTTACTCTGAATGAAAGCTCAATTCAGAGGGCATGTGAGAGAAATGTTATTCATGACTTAAGCACCCACTTTTCCTCAGAATAACCAGGCATCCTACAGTGGAATTTAAATGAAAAGGATGTTAGACACCACTCTATCCCAAAGCAGGCTCCACTCTGTGCTTTCAGGATGTGAGAATAAGAGATGTGCAAATATGGTTAATTGTCTACCATCTTGTAATCATTAACAGGAATCAAAAGTTATTTGTAGTAAGATATACTTCACCTTGATTTCAACTGAAAATAATTTTCCAAATGAAAAATCTAAAAACAATATTCTTAATGTGCATCCATTAATCATACAGGAGTAACTTCGTCTCTTTCACTACCCCAAGATATACACATTCTAGAACATAAGCAGGATGATTTAGGTAGAAATGGAGGACCAGTAAGCTTTTAAATTGGCAGATTTATACTCTTCAGCCCAAGATATTTGCAAGGACCCAGTAAATCTAAGAATATCATGGCCTGGTTCATCACACATATAATTAAAACTATAAGTTTCAATATTTGTTCTTCAACTACATGATGACCTTTGGGCATTTTACCAAACGACTAATATTGAAAGGCCCTAAATTACAATATCAAATAATACAAACAATAAAATACATAAAAATAATAGCTGGGTGTGGTAGTACCAATACTTAGGAGGTAGAGGCAGGAGGATCAGAAATGCAAGGTCATCCTGAGCTATACAGTGAACTTGAGGCCAGTCTGAGCTATATGGGATCCTGTGTATAAAAAACAAGTATTAAAAAGCAAACAATGCATACATGTGCATGTATACATACCTAAACAAAAGAAAATACCAACAGTACTTTAAAATGTAACTATGAAAATGTCAGAGAATGATAGCTTTTATTTTGTTTTGTTTTTGTGGTTTTTCAAGACAGAGTTTCTCCGTATATCCTGGAACTCGCTCTGCAGACCAGTCTGGCCTCAAACTCACAGAGATCCACCTGCCTCTGTCTTTCAAGTGCTGGGATTAAAGGCATGTACCACCACCTCCCAGCTGAGAGTGGTACTTTTTATGTTTAAAACAAGGATTAAAGCTTCCATTTGGGGGCCAGCAACGTGACTCAACTGGTTAAGGCACTTACTGCCCAAGCCTGGCAACCTGAGTTGATCCCTGGAAACCATGAAAGGTAGGAGAAAACCGACTCCACAACATTATCCTCTGATCTGCAAACGGTATGCTGTGGCATGCATGCCCAACACATGATCATACACATACATATACACATGTACACATACGGTAATTTTTTTTTAATTTTCTATTTGGTTTACCATCATTTAAAATGTTTACTTAATTAGAACATTCTGTTCAAAGTTTGGGTGTTTATTATATAGCCCTTCATTCTGGTCCCAATACTAATTGTTCACCAAAGAGTCTGTGCTGAAGACTGGACTACCAGGCTGTGACACTACTGATGCACCATGACTTTTAGAGTAGGGACTGATGGAAGGAAGTGCAGTCACTGGGGGCATGCTCTTTCCGGGGACACTGGGACCTGGAACCCATCTCTCCCTTCTGTTCCCCAGCAGCCATGAAGTTGACAGCCCTGGACTAACATACACCCTCCATCAGAATGATTTCCCTCATCGTAACTCCAAAGCAAGAGAGCCAAGCAATCATGGACAAAAACCTACTGATTTGGGGGTTCAAATAAGTCTTTTTTTCTTTAAGCTGTTTATCGCAGGTATTTTGTCACAGTGATAGAAGGCTAACAAACATACCCTATTAATAAAGATTTTAACTGTCTATATTCAGATACATGGCCACAACATTTAGACCTCAGGGAGAAATGAGGACAACTAAAAATAAACTTACCAAAAGAGACATGAAGAATTTATGAACATAGACAATCTGAATACAGCCCACTTTGAGACTAAGTTTGCCATCCACTTTAGACATATCAGCATAGGCCTCGCCTGCTGTCGCATCTGGATACAAAGTCATCTGGAACCTGAAGACTTCATCTCCCAAAATAGAGACGGCCTGACATTACAAGACAATTGGTTATTGCAGCAGAGCTACAGAATCCTGGCCACTAGACCCTCAGTACTCATCCTGATTCACAAGGGCCTGACAGGTGAAAAACAACATGGAAGCTCAACCTTCAACAAGCACCAATGTTTTCCTCTTCTATAAACATCACTTCATTAATAAAATACCTACCCATCCTAAACTTTCCAGAAATCACTTTTTCAAATTGTTATATAGCAGAATTTACAACCTGAAATATATCTTCCATTTACATCTCTAGCCCTAATAAGCCCAACACATGTCAGACAAATAACAAACATACAGCAAAGAAATAAATAGTGGCCTCTGGTCCCCAAACAACACACTCCAACACAGAAATTGGTTTTGTAATTACCTTTTTGTGAATGGACAGTGAATCAACATTCATAACTACAATATTCTCAAGTCTGGCAAAAACATCAGTCTGCTTTGGCTTCACAGAAATAGAGGCATCCATTCCTACAGGAATCACATTAGTTACAGATATTGCCTTTTTGTAAGCAAGCTTAAGTGTGCTAACATACTACCAAGATACAGGGTAAATAAGAATTACTATCAGACAAACAATCACCTCCCATACATGAGATATCTAAAAAAGGTTGTACCATGTTTAAGTCAGCATACACCTTATCCATAAAAGTTGAGAAAATTTAAAAAATAAAAGCCACTGAGTTTTAAGTAAATTAATGTTACATCTCTGAAAACAATATCCTACGCATTGGTGAAATTGGAGTCACTCACTTGGGGAGACAGTATTTTCCAATGTACTTCACAGATACATGTTATTAGGACTGAAATAAGCATCATCTTATAGCTAAGAATTATTTCTACGATAATTTATATCTATAGTGTAATCTCCTAAACTTTAAAAAGTTTGCCATGCTTATGATATCAAAGGCATAAGGATTTGAAAAGGATTCCTCCTCATGGGAGACTGCCAACAGCTAAGACCTGGTAGTGTTTGCTGAATGTTACTGATTTATCAACCTTCTAAAACTGCATACATTGTATTACACACTTATCCACACACATAAATGTATATATTTATAAATGTGCACATTTATAAATGTCACCCTCACAACAACCATGTCTCCACTTAATGGGGGAAGTAAGGTACAGAAAGTTAAACTTATTTGTTCAACATTGGCTAGTGGTTAGCTTCAAGATCTGGGCCATTGCAGGCTTTCTGGAATCTACTGTATAACCTGAGGCTCAAGTCTCGACTCGTGCTGATGACAGGAAAAGTTTAAAATATCTTCCACAAATGTATTTTGCTATACTATGTATGCTCAAAATACAAGGGAAATAAGGTAGTGACTTTTTTTTTACACTGTGAGTTACTATGATACTCACCTGAGCTTAAAATTATCTTATTCTGAAAATGTAATCAAAATAAAACCGTAAGCCTTAGATGTATTCTAAAATTATTTAAATGTGTAAGGAATATCTCAAGTCAGCAATGAATCATAACAAGTTTACCTCTATCATTTCAAAGTATATTTGTTCAAAGCTTGCATACATTTTCAATATAAATCCATTCAACTTTCCAAAATACTATGGAAGGATAGTTACTTACCATGTATTTTAATATCTGCTATGTGACTCTTCTGATCACAAACAAAGATGTTAAAGGCATTTAATTCGGCTGTGACTTTCATATCAAACACATCACCTTCAGAAGTGCTGGGCACTGAAAAGTAGTGGAAATCAGTGATTAGTGGTGTGCAAAGATGGTAAAACACAATGTTAAGTTCACTAATAAAAACACATAATATGCAAAATGAACCATTAAAGTCTCTCTTAAGATAATACAAATATGGATTTTGCCACTGAGATAAAACCCAGCATGTTGGCCTTCAGTTATGGATAGAGACAACCACAACACCTAGAGGGTGCTACTCATTAGGCAGACATGATTTTTGGTTTTTGGTTGTTTTTGCTTTTGTTTTTCTCCTAGGAAAAGAAAGAAAATCCTCTAAATTAGATTCTAGAATTTGATTAGTACAAAAATGTTAACTAGTCACATCTCATATTATATAGTAATTCATGAAAATTGAAACAGTAATGAACAGTCAATGAAATTCATTTTATTTACTATGTCCTTTATATGTACTTTAAAAAACCAACCCATTTCTCTAGATCATATGCTATGGGCCCATCAGTGATTCTATAATTGAGTCACTAAGAAAAGTGTATAATATACTGGAGTTTAAGAAATTATCAAGAAATGCATATGTAAGAATGTAGTCAAGCTAAGTGTGGTAGCAATCCTTCATTCAAGAGACTAAGGTGGAAGGATTGCCTGAGTTTGAGGCTAACCTGAGCTACACAGTGAGTTCAAGCTCAGCCTGGGCTATATAGCAAGATGTTATCTTGAAACAATCAAACAATTTTTTAAAAAATCACAACTGAATGGGTTTAAATTTTTTGTGCAAGTCCTGACTGACACTTTCCCATCACTCCATCTTACATGTGCAAAACAGAAGTTACCTATAAACAAAAAGCATGGGGCTCTCAATTCTTAACCCTTACATGACAGGTGTTTTCTTTCTCAACATTTGGTGCAGGATAAATAAACAATAAACTCAACTTGTGCAGCAGAATTAGAGAACAGTTCAGTTGGATTAAGGCTGCCTCAACAGTGACCTTCCATTCCTCAGATGTGCCAAGAATGGCATATTTTACAAAGAGATGATATTTCTAAGAACACACTCTCCAAAAGATATTAACACGTTAACGTTATGTGTGGTGGCCACATGTAGAAAGCTCTCTCACTTGGGAGGCTGAGGCAAGAAGATCAAGAGTTTGAGGCCAGCCTGAGATACACATCAAAATAACAAAGAAGGGGAAATCCTACTTCTAACATTATTGCCCCATAATTTTAAAAGTTGAAATCCTCGTATAAATCAAATAGTAAAACTCATATACTTAAGATGTCAATAAAACAGATATAATTCAAGCTGGGAATAATCAGAAATTTGTCATATGATTTTTAAAATAAGTAACCATTTTTTTACTTAAATTAGAAACAAACTTGCTTCACATGTCATTCACATGTCAATCCCAGCTCCCCCTCTCTCCCCTAAAACAAGTAAACATTGTAATTAAAAGTCAGGCACAAGTTCTTTATTCACTTGGGCTTTTATACCCAATATTTCAGAATATAAGCCATGTACCTGGTCAACATAGATCAAATTCTATGTGTGAATGAAACAGGGATGAGACTAGAGGTCAGGTGACTCTGTCCCTTCTGTGAAATCGGCCTCAGTGCCCAAAAGGAACTCACAACTGCTGCACACAGCAACAGAGTGAAGTGGGCCTTTGTGGCTAAGCATGATTGTCACCATCTTGTGACTTCTTACCTTCTCACTTTTACTGGACAGAAGACCACAAAGATATGTCAACCTAAAGAACCTACAAATTCTATTTTACATAAAGAGCCAGAGAGTAAAACCCACTGGAAGTAGATGATTACTATTAACATTTATTCAAATTCTTCAATAAAATGCCATGTAATCCTATAAGAGTAGAACCTGTTTCCTTCAGATCCACCCTTATCTGTTAGACACAGTGAACATTTATACTAGCTTTATATATAAGTGATTCTATGACAGCTTATTGGAAAGACTGATACCAGCTTTGATGGCAAGACTTTTGGATTCCCCGACAAGTGGCTTCAGCTCAGATTCCTTCTCAGAGGAGGAAGAGTCAGAAGACGGCACAGCAGATGACAAAAAATCCATAAGGGAAAGTAAAGCTTCCAAATGAAGCACCAAGTCCAAAGATGAAAATGAAACCTAAGACAATGAACATCAGAGAGGAGGGTTTCAGGAACAGTCACACCATTGTGAGGACAGTCACACCACTGGGGAAATGACGGTCATACCACTAGGGGATGGCCATGTCACTGAGGTCACAGTCACACCATTGGGTTGAGTTTGTATGCAACTAACACAAGAATGGCTCAACTGAGGACGCTCTAAATAATTAAGAATAAATTACTAATTTCATTTTAATCCTTTTTATTACTATCATATTGTCAGCCCTTACCAGACAACAAACCAATGCTCTGCCCACTCCTAGTGCAGACCTTAGTTCTAACTTCAACACAGCTTGATGACTCTTAAAGATACAGTAGTATTCCTACACTGACTACATATGCAAAAATGGACTGGGTGGGTGTGTCTGTCATAGGCCATTTCTATCCTTTCCTTCATCTTCTTCAAGTCCTAAAGCAAATGTTCAATGCTGCCAACATCAGGCCAAATACCTACAGTAGGCTAAAGTGAACAAAATTCCCTCAAAAATAAAAAATTTTTGTATAGTCCACAAACAATAATTAATTCACATTTTAAAACCATGTTTTCAGAAACAAGTTTGAGCAAGACTTTTATTTCAATTCCATGTGCACTAATTTTAGATCTACTTCTACTGCCCCCATTCTAACTTTAGATCTTGTGTCTTACAACTGAAAGTGGCTATCAAGCTACATTTAATCAATAATCCAGTCTTACAATGAAATACAAAATGCTTACCTTCAGTTTCTGTTTGGTGCTATCATGAACAGTTTTAAATTCTGGTCCATCACTGTCTGCCTATAAGAAGTTGACAATTAAACCACTGAGTTGCAAACACTAGAATTTCACACACTGAAAACATATGCATTTTACATCTTAAAGTATGCTATTCAGAGACAGAAAACATGTTTCTCTTCATTTTTTATTTTTTAAGAATTTTCTTTAAAAATCTGATTTTGACAAGCTTTTATAGCCCATTTTACAGAACCCATTTCATCACATAACCAATAAATATTACTTATAAACATACAACTGGATTTATACAACCTTTTTGAAATAAGATCTGCATGTTAACTGGTAGGTAATTTTCCCAGTCCCTCACCTAGAGTCTGAATGGTTAAGTTAATCCCCACAGAAGTGGGCACTTAGTGACTCTAGGAGTGGACTGTCCAGTACACACACTGCAGGTGTCAGAGAACATGAAGCATTTTGATTCTGAGGGAATGAAACAGGAACCCTGACTTCTGGGATATTAGCTACTTCTTATTGCTGCAACTTATTGTATGCTGGGGTCATTTCATTTTGAAAAACATAGACTTTTTTCCTTACTGTTATTTAACTTTAAAAAAAAAGACTGAAAAAGACTGTCTTTGTTCTTTAACCCTCAGAGGACTGATACATTTAGGCAAGTAACAAAAAAAAATTCAGAACATGAATGAACATGTTTCTTATAAGCAAATAAGAATATGTCCCCCAAACTGACCACATAAACATGCTCTACATTCTATAGATGCAAAATCTCAAATTCCTTATTCCACTTTGGGTCCATCCAAAAGTGGAAAAGGCTGCTATCTACTTTATAACACACTTTTCAAGACATGGGACAGCTTTGAGTGTTCACTCCCATTTATTCAATAGAAGCTTGTTAAGTTAGTGGAGAATAAAGGACTCTGACATGGTCCCATAATCCATCATCAACCAACTTAGACTGAAGAAAACGGGCAGGGTTAGAATCCACATATAAATATGAGGGGAATATAAATAACTTCTCATACTCCAATATTAACCCCAGACATGAGGCACTGTGATGCTTAGCTTTAACTGTCAACCCCCCAAAACCCAGAATCATCGGGAAAACAAGTCTCAGTGAGGGCTGCCTACTATTAAGCTGGCCTGTGGGCATGTCTGTATAGGACTGTCCTTAGTGAACTGAGAGGGGAAGACACCGCCCACTGTGGGCAGCACCAGTCCTGAGCAAGGGGCCTTTGACTGAGCTGAGCACAAACACGCAGGCAACATGTATGTGCTCATTTCTCTCTGCTCTTGTCTGTGAGTGTGTGATGCCACCGGGTGTTTGAAGTTCCTGTCCTGATTTACCCACGATGATATAAACTGTGACCTGAAATTATAAGGTAAAACAAATCTTTTCTCCACTAAACTGCCTTTCTGTCAGGGAATTTATCACAGCAACAGAACTGAACTAGAACAGGTACCTTAATGAACAGCATTTTCAGGAGGGTCCCATCAGACACATTAGAGGAGTTGACAATGTACAGAGGCTCGCCTTTGGGATCTAAAAGGAAAAAGAAAATCTATCCCTTCAATACTTCACACATCTTATAAAACAGAACCAACCAGCTACACAGAGAAATACTTATGAGAAAGCTGTACCCAAAGCAGGCAAATGCATTACACTGTCTATAAACTGTATCTCAGGAAGCCTAGCTTTGAAAAACTGGAAAGAAAAAGTGAAAGACTGAAAATTAACAACCAAACAGCGCTAGTCAATAACAGCTGTCATACTCCACGTATGAACAAACCCTAAAATGAGAAACGGCAGCTATAAAACACAAGAAGCATTTATCTTCTCATAGATGATCCACAGAATTCTTAGAAAGTTTAAACAAATGGAGACTATAAAACTCAGAGAGCTGTAAATTTCAACAGTGAACTTTAAGAGGTCCAGGGTACCCACTAAACAACAGCAATTTCACAGTCACTGGGGAGGAAGTGAGAGGAGCAGATGAGGCTAAGTGTCTCCTTCTATAGACTTACGTTTTGTTTAACATTTACTTTTTACAAGCACATACTAATGTAATTTAAAACAGACCTTAACATTCATGTAATTTGCAAGTAAAGCAATTTAAAGTTAGGCTTCCTAGTAAGTTAACTTTTCAAAAGGGGTCTTTGAGCTCTGTACCTGGGATTTGACTTTTTCATGTCACTATACACATGAAGGTGACATTTATCACACCATCACCAACACTCTGTGTATATAAGGAATACACACAGTAAGTAGAAAGATGCAGAAGGAGGCCCTGCGTTTATCCTGGTTATCTGCACTGCCTTTCCACAGACGGGCCTGAACACTCACCAGGAAAATCAAAACACTGCATAGTGATTTTTCTCAGGTAAGCCTCAGCAGTCATGTCATGGGCTTTTACTCTAGCCTCCATCCCAAGATGCAGGATCTTCAGTTCATGTAAGGGTGTTCCTTTCTTTTCTGCTTTTTTCATCAGAGTAACCACAACCTAAAAGGAGGAGGTTAGATTACCACAAACGCTTCACTATTACACCGTGACAATAAGGACTCAGTAATTACATGTAGTGATATGAAGAAATTCACACAAGGAAAAGACATTCTGAACCGGCAAATTCCCTGTAGTTAATTACCTTCTATACATTTGTTCAGATTTTGAGACATCACCACTAATTTCTAGAAGGTGAAACACCAAAGGGAGGATGGGCATGAGAGCGTGGCCTGAAGGGAGGCAGGTAGTAGTCCAATCTTAGAAGTCCTACCTTATCAACAGCTTCTGTCTGAAACTCTGTTGAAAGCTAAGATTTACCCAAATCCTCAGGCAAGGCCTCTCATGCTTGGCGTGCTATCCTGAGCATAGGTCATTCACAGCACTCCTGCCTCTACCCACTAGGTGGCAGCCTCCTTGTATATATGACAGTATGATGCCAAATATCCACCTAGCAAGCACAAATCCCTTCCCTCCAGCCCAACCAGGTTCACAGGGATAGAACTGTCTCAGGTATATAATAAATTATAGGAAAAGAGCCTACTTATTCCATGTCCACCCCTTCCTACATAGCCTTGGCCCTTTCTTCACTCCATTTTCTCAAATTATTTATTCCTTTTCTTTACAAACTCTACTCAAATGTCACTTCCTCCCAGAAGCCTTTCCTAACCCTCTCAGACTACTAGGATGCCCAGTCACTACATCTACAACACAGACCCTGAAAGTAGCCTACCCTGAGCATATTTTTAATGGAAATACAAAACTATATTTCTAAACTATATTTTTTCTAATGTATCCTTAGAAAGAACAAAGTCCATACTGAATAAGCATTTTTTTTTTTTTTTGGTTTTTACGAGACAGGGTTTCTCTGTATTTATTCGGAGGCCATCGATCCAGCCCGGCCTCGAACTCACAGGGATCCGCCTGCCTCTGCCTCCCAAGTGCTGGGATTAAAGGCGTGCACCACCACCGCCCGGCGAATACAGCATTTTTTAATGTGACTGATCTGTGATTTATTCTCCAGAGAGTTTCTACCATTTATTTGCAAAAGATTTTTCTATTTCCCTCCCTTGTCTTTCTTACATGAAAATCCAAAGCATACAACATTCCAGCATCCTATCATGACTAAAAAGAAAGTTACAGAAAATGCTTCCATTCTCTAAAAATACTGGATCCCTACACTCTAACTAGTCCGTAGTAAATTCTCAAATTTTAAAGTGCACAATCACATCAATAGTCTAAGGTTTTTCTCACACATATCAATTATCTACAACTATCCATAACCTAATCGCCTCATGCTGTAAAAAGTGATGAAAATTACACACCTCTTTAATTTCAAAGTTTAACAGTACATTAATGACATCAATGGATCTGGTCTCTTCCACTCTGGCTGGTGATACATCTTGTGTGGTGTGTACATCCTGTGGCACAGCGACTTCTTGGCATGCTTTCATTTCACCTAAAGATGGTAAACAGAAATGTGTTCATTTCTTCACAGACACTTACTGGAAACATGTATGAGCACTCTTAAGATCCACAAATCCTTAACAGTTCTCAGCCTTAGAAAGCTTATGGTTTAGTAAAGGGGCACGCACACACACACACACACACACACACACACACACACACACACACACTGAAAGCCAAGTGGAAAAATCAAGCCATACCTATTCACAGGAAGCAGCCAAGTATTAATGGGCTGAACATACAATGCACAAAGAGAAGTCGAGGAGGTAAAGAAAATATGAACTCAGATGAATCACCCACACAGAGCAGGAGCTCCTTCACAAAAAAGACAGTCCACCTTTTTAAAAGTAAAAAATTATGGGAAACCACAGAGATGGCACATGACAGGGTCTGCAAACAGAACAGACAGCAGTATGGCTAAGCCCTGAGGTGGGCAACCAGAGATAAGCAAAGAAAGGAAAAGGGGCCGAGTACGCCAGTCTAGGAAGGAAAAGAAAGGCTCCATGGCTATGATGCTGTTCTGAAACACTATGAAGTGCAATACACCTGTTTTCTAACTTATAACACACAAAAATCTTAAAGCTATCCTTTGATATATGTGTGCCCTAACAAATACGGTTCCAGACACTGAACAACAATCTGTGCATGGACTGTCCAGCTGAAGTCTTAAAATGTCCCTCTGGAGAAAGAACTTCACTGCCCCCATCCCACAAATGAACACATTAATTTTTAGACAAATTTGGCACCTTGTCTAATACCATATGCAAATGCTAGAGTCTAAGTTCATCAGGTTGACTTGACAGCCTTCACTATCAAGTACATAACTCTTGTCACTACATTATTGCAATAATTGTAATCATTTTGACCACTAATTCAACATCCCACAGCCCTGCAGTATAACCTATACTAGAAACCCACATGGAAAAACAATGCTACTCATAAATACCTTTAAGAAGGCAATGCAGAGAGCAAAGTTTCATCTATCACATTATTCCCGAATTGCTTCAAATAAAAGTAATTTAACAGGTTGATCAGTCACAAAAGAAGATATTCCCAGTAAGGGGCTGCAGGACTGGCTCAATGACTAAGGCACTTGCTGTGAAAGCCAAGGACTGAAGTTTGGGTCCCCAGGAACTAAATAAGAAGCCAAGTAGTGTGATAGCTCACCTGTAATTCCATCCTCTTAAGGCAGAGACAGGAAAAACCACTACTGCATCGTAAAAAAAAGGAAGCCAAACAAAGTGCAAATTTTTCATGGCTCCATTTATATAAAATTCACCAATAATAAAATTAAGATACCAACAGGGTCACAAGTCAGAATAGCAGTGACCTCTAAGTAGATTATGAAGCCAGCAGGGTATGTCCTAACTGAGAGGACACAGGGAAGAGTACTGAGGAATGTGGGACATCTTGCTCAGGTGATTACACAGACAATTTTGGGGTAAACAATTGGAAGTATATGCTTAGATTTGTATACAATAAAAAATGAAAACATACAGTGAAATACTTTTCACTCAGTCAATGGGCAAAAGTTTCAACAAATTTAATAAAACTTTACGTTCCTGTAAAGCTATCAAACTTTAAATTGATCAAAACACTTTCTATTCATGTATGAAACTCTCAAGCAATAAAGTTTTAGTTAAATTCAATTATTAAAACCTAGTTAAACTTAAATGACATTAATAAAATTACATGTCCTTCCATTAGTGTGGTCCTACACATGAAAAGCAGGTATAAGGACATTTCAGTGTGACATGGCTAACACTGAAAAACTCAACCTGAAACAGACAAAAATTATGATACTCCAACAGAATCTAATGCAAGGAAGCCATTTTAAAAATGGCAGGAATTGGACATGGTAGTGCATGACTTTAATCTCAGCACTTGGGAAGCAGAAGCAGGCAGATCTCTGTAAATTCAAGGTCAGCCTGATCTACTGAATAAGATCCAGGATGGCCAGGGCTGTTACACAGAGAAACCCTGTCTAGAAAAACTACACAAACACACACTCACACACACAAGGATAGAGGTCAAGACACAACACATACACAAGTATGAAATATATAGAACTACAAGGAAAACATCAGCAAAGCACAGTGAGCAAATACACACACACATACACACACACACACACATACATACAAACACACACGCCAATAATTGATTAAAAAAATAAAGACACATCTTGTGTGCATAATATATTCATTATGTATGTATTACTCGATAACAAAGCAAACCTCAACAGATACAAAAAAAATCGGAATAAACCCCTGTATCCTATCATATCACCACAGCTTAAAGTTAGAATTCAACAGCAACATTTATTTCAGAAAGTCCATAAACACATGGAAATTGAACAATGATCAACTGAACCACCACTGGGTCAAGGAAGAAATAAAGAAAGAAATAAAAGACTTCCTAAAATTGAATGAAAATGACCTCACAACATACCCAAACTTATGGGACACAATGAAAGCAGTGCTGAAAGGAAAGTTCATACCACTAAATGCCTATATAAAGAAGCTGGAAAAATCACACAGTAGTGAATTAACAGAACAACTGAAAGCGCTAGAAAAAAAAGAAGCAAATTCACCCAGAAGGAACAGACAGCAAGAAATAGTCAAATTATGGGCTGAAATCAGTAAAATAGAAACAATGGAAAGAACCAATGAGATAAAGAGATGGTTCTTTGAGAAATTCAACAAACTAGACAAACTAACAAAAAGACAGAGAGAGAATATCCAAATTAACAAAATCAGAAATGAAAAGGAAGACATAACAACAGACACTGAGGAAATCCAGAGAATCATCAGGTGATACTTCAAAAACCTGTACTCCACAAAATTGGATAACTTTAAGGAGATGGACAATTTTCTAGATAAGTACCACATACCAAAATTAAATCAAGAACAGATAAACAACTTAAATAAAAACAGGTATCAATAGTCTCCCAACCAAAAAAAGCCCAGGCCCAAATTAATTCATTGCAGAATTCAACCAGAAATTCAAAGAGATAATACCAACACTCCTCATTATGTACGTATGCTATTCATACATACATACATACATACATATATAAACTTTAAAATATTACAACTTTTGACTGACCCAGACCCCCTGAATGTGGGTGTCAGTGAGGAGGCCCAGGTAATCTATGGGGCCTTGGGTAGTAATTATCCCTGGCGTACAAATAGACTTTGAATGCCCATGCCACAATATGGGAGGCTCTCTCAGCCGGGACTCTTGGGGGAGGGCCTAGGCCCTGCCCTGGATGAAATGACAGTTACTGGAGCTCCACCATGGAGGGCCTCACCCTCCCTGGGGATCTGAGTAGAGATTGGGTAGGGGACCTGGTGGGGAGGGTGGGGGAGGAGAGGGGGGAGAGGGAGCTGGGATTGACATGTGAAACAAGGTTGTTTCTACCCTAAATAAAATAATAAAAAAGAAAAAAAGTATTACAACTTTTTAAGTAAAATGGCCATAATTTTTATTTAATTATTAACTAATTATGTAAAATTTCTGCTATTTTTATTTTAACATACTATACTTACCACTTTGGGGGTGATAATTTATTAATAATAATTTAAATGCTTATACTTTACCACTAAGTCTTATTTAAATATCAGGTAGAATATGATGCCACAACCTAGAGTTCTAAATTTTTTTAATATACAATTAATACTTTTTACAGAAATCCACCACTAGTTAATGGCCAGTCTCCCTAATGGTCTTCTCTAAGCTCAAGCAGTTTGGAAAACATGTTAACTGGCAACTGTCTGTTTGGTTAAAAAGAGACAATAAGTTCCAGTCACACTCTAATTATTATTTTTTGGGGGGTAAAACAAGTCACAATTTGTAAATATGTATTTATTTACTTCATGTCTGTTGTGTTTCAGGCTGCAGATATAACTCAATAGTATAGTGTGTGCCTCAGCAATGTGCAAAACCCTGGTTAAATCCCTACTATGTTTTTTTAAAAAAAGTTTCTGAATGGAAAACAATGTTCAGTGGCTACTGGAGTACCTGTGCACTTGTCAGCTGCCATCAGCCTCTTACCTATCTCTTGTATTCTAGGCTGCCCTTTATCCAAGTCTTCAGGGGCCTCACCAAGATTTTCTGCCAGGATTCTAAACAGAAGATTAACATCCTCTTGATTTAGACTAACCTGTGAAATAGATGATGAATAAAATATTCATTTTAAAATAAAACAACTATGATACAGAAAGCAATTCTCAGCAATAAGAGAATAATCCTGAAAGTAACTGAGAAGTGACAAAATCACCACCACGGATTTTACTAATTGCTTCATCTTTTGTGATTTTAAATGTTAAAACATATAAATAATAAAATGTGTGAATCAACTTTAACACTATTGGCTGGTTTTTACTTAAATTGTACTTAAAGAAATCTAATCCATTTTAAAAATAGCAAGTACTAGAAACTCGTGCATTTCACTCCTTAAAGAGTACTGTAGTTACCTTAGGCATACTTTGATCTCCTCAAAAACAAATGTGTAAATAATATATACTATGAGAGAGAATATAACAATAAATAATTTGTGTGCAGATTATTGCAATGGGTATGCTGCAGATTTAAGAGTTAGTAATACTTAACTGAAGATTAAATCCTACTGGAAAGATTAATGGCCTTGTTGGACAAAGTTTCACCAAAAATGTTTCTTTTACCACTCAGTAAAATCTGCATTCCCTTTGGGTGCATAAGAGAAGGCTTTCAGAGTTGAAATTTCAACAGTCAAGATACTTTCATTCATGTACTTACATTCACAGAATCAAGACACCCTTTAATTTCTACAACAGGCATCTTATGGTACCAACTTGCAGCTAGATTCCGATTAACAAAAAACTCCAAGTTAATGGGGTGCAACAGCTGAATATCAGGATGGGAGACGCCTGGCTGGATTGCTGTCCTAGTAAAAGGGAGAGAGTACACCATCACAGGCCATCACAGAGAGCAATGAACAATACCATCAAGAAGCGTGCCAAGCATGACCTGCTGCTCTAGACCAAGTTGAGTTAGTAACTAATCTATAATCCACTAGCAAAGGCAGATTAAAATAAACATTGAGTCGTTTAGAAAAGTTTTTTTTTCCTTTGCTTTTTGAGACAGGGTTTCTCTGTGTAGTCCTGGCTACACTAGAACTCACTCTGTAGACCAGGCTGGCCTCGAAGTCAGAAGCCTGCCTCTGCCTCCTTAGTGCTGGATTTAAAGGGATATGCCATCATGCCCCAAGAAAACACTTTTTCTTAAAACTGTAGAGAGGAGAAGAACTGAGTTAAAGGTTTGGTTTTGGTTTTGACTTTTAATTCACAATGCTGCAGATATATAAGACATAATCAAATACATTAATCTAGGGATAATATAGTTTGTGTCACACTATGGTCCTTCACTCAATGATGGGCCACATCTACCTGAGTGTTCTGCTAGGACAAAGGAGGAGAAAGGTCCTATAGCTTGGGGACCACACACTTTTCACAAAGTCAACTGAAATGCATTTACTTCTGTGTTTGTGGAGAAATTGGTGTAGATGACCTACCAGATAACCCATCATATCGATAATATACAGCAATTTTACCCATCATACATATAACATTCAGGCAATTATGTGCAGTAGGTAATGTTCCACAAGATGGCATGAGGGGTTTCCTCATTAACTATATTTTCTACAATTTTAGAATCTACTCTTCTACTAATAAGAATAATTCACCATTTAATGAATGGCATCTTCCATTTGCAGCAAACTTGTTCATGTCGCATTTATTGTGTCTTGACTGACACACATGAAAAGACTAATACAGGCTTGATTACAACCACACTGTGATGCTCTCACAATGATACAATCACTGACAGTGCCTTCCACAGAGTGCATGCTTGTGGTTAATCAGAGAACAGCAGTGTTTGTCGGTGATGAGACTAGACAAAACAACAGAGAGGGAGCAGCAACAAACTGAATCCAAAAATCAGATGGCGCAGCTGTCACTAAGGCATTTCAGAAAGCTCCCACTGGGGTTATCTTCTTCACTTAGCCTATAATTGTCATTTTACACTTTTTTATAATTAAATTGCCTTTGACGATTACGAAAATTATTTTTAAATCTCCATGTATTGTTGCTTTTGTCCCACTGTGCTGTCCCTTGGGGGAGACGGCAAGCAGGCGCAGGGTCAAAGGTACAGACCCCAGGAGACCTGCTGGGTGTAGCAAGTTTATACCATGGGTGATATTAGGATAAAAGTCTTTGCTTTTGAGAGACACTGGCCAAGACATTAGGGACAAAGGATCAAGATATGGTTTTTTTTGTTGTTGTTGTTGTTATTGTTTTGGTTTGGTTTTTTGGTTTTGGTGGGGTTTTTTGTTGTTTTTGTTTTGTTTTGTTTTGTTTTGAGATAGTATCTCACTGTGTAGCTCTGACTATCAGGAACTCAATATGTAGACCAGGTTGGCCTTGAACTCACAGAGATACACATGTTTCTGCCTCCCAAATGCTTGAATTAAAGGTATGCACCACTACACCTGGCTAAGATGTCTGTTCTCAAACAGTTAGCAACCACTGTTTTAAACAATAATATATAGATATTAAAGAAAATGTTAACAAGTTGCTGGCTCTACATACACTCCAGCTGATCAGAAAACAGTTCTTTGTAAAAGAAGCAGAGTATAAAAATATCATGAGAATTAACATATACTTCAGACTACAGCTACTGAACATGCTCACCTAGAGAGTTTCAGTTTCGTAAGCTGCACCTCCATTTTGTCGATCACTGGAGGACTTACGGTGTCTTCACCAGACACCAGACTGAACTGATTGTGAACTCTAATTAATCCAAGATCTACCACGACAGCACTGGTGGAAACGGAGGACTGTGGAATGACAATGACTGGTGCTTTCAAGTCAATATTGACAGAAACACGAAAACTCCTCTGGGCAAGATCTTTCACACTCGTGGCAGCCTTTTCTGCAGCCTGGGCAGTGGCGGCACTCAGTGCCTCTTTGGCCACCTGGAAATTGTTCAGGAAGCTCTGCAGACAAAATGTAAAAGGAGAAATTCAGAAACAGGAACATCTGTAAATGGGCCTATCTTCTGCTAGCACATACGCAATTTCCTCCAACAGAGTCCTTCAGGTTGAGGCCTGCTTTTCTAGTGAAAGGAAGGAATCAACGGAATCCATCCTCATTCATGAGCTGCCCAGCTTTGACTAGTAAGTAGGGGGTGGAAAGGGAACGCATTTTCAACACTCTGGCACTCAGGTAGGGACTACTATGGGCTCTTGGAAACTAACTTCAATCACAGACAAAACTCATTCCATGACTTAGATTTCAAGTGTTAAAGAGGGCTTTCTGCTGCTACTTTTCATATATACACATAGGCAGACATAATTAAAATATCCCAAAACTCAAAGTTTACAACATATGCAATCGTAACACTTATGGCTTCTAATGTGAGATGTGAACATATAAATGGCAACTTTACCAGCAATGACATAAGGAATTTATGCAGGTAGACAATCTGAATACAGCCAACGTGCAATGCCATCACACCATCCACAGTGGACATGTCAGTGTAGGAATCCCCTTCAGTGGCATCTGGATACAAATCCAGGTTAAAACGAAAAACTTCATTGCCAACTATGGATACAGCCTGAAAAAAAAAGAAATGTGAACGTACTCTACCCAGAAAAGCAATTACAAAATAAAGCCCCAGGTAGAAAAGGCCAGAAATTATAATCTTTATAGAAACACATTTAATTTTTAAAATAAGATATTTTAAAATAAAATCTCTATACAATAATAGTAACTATCTTCTTAGTGTTACCTACTTTCTTATGAACTGTTTTGGGGTCAACATCTGTAACAACAATGTTCTCCAGCCTGGCAAAAAGTGACTGCTTTTTTGACTGAAGTGAAAGGGAAGAATCAAGCCCTGAAGAAGAAAACAAAAATTAATCATTATAATTTATTTTGATATAAACACTTGTTTTCATTATTTTATTTGATTTGAAGATATACAGAATGTATGAACTCACAATTAGTAAATTTCATGTTAAATATTTTTAGGTTTCCAAACATCAAACTTTTATATTGGTTAAAAACCTAATTACATGAGCTCTATCCCTTCCTGAAGAACAGTTGATAGCAGTTTGTTGAGAAAGAATCATTCCTCTTCGGGAATGTGGCCACTGGGAGGTTACCCATGCTCCAGTGTGTGGCCCCACGTCCATGCGTATCTGGGCATCACTAATGGGATTTGGTAGGTTACTAAGTAAAACACGGGTACATGAAGTTTGGAGGGGAGCCTAGTGGGAGGGGCTGAGAGGAGCTGCAGTGGGGAAATGGCAGTAGCTATGATCATCTTTCACTGCATACATGTATGAAATTCTCAAAGAATAAAATAGGAAAATATACTAAGTATACAATTTTTCATACTACACTGAAAAGACTATCCTGGGTGTGCAATAAAGACTATTAAAAAACAAAAAAATAAGTGCATAAATATTCAATCTCCCAAGGTTAAAAAAAATCTAGTGAAAGATGTCAATTCATAATAAGCAAAAATAAAGTAAAATGTATACTTTATAGATACTAAGCTATTTACATGGAAACTGCGGTGCCTAGTTTTATGGCTACTTGACACAAGGTAAAATCACTTGGGAAGAGGAATTCTTAACTGAGAAAAACGTGTCCATGAGACTGAGCTGTAAGTAAGTCTATAATGCACTGCCTTAATTAATGACTGATGTGGGTGACCACAGCACATGGCATGTGGTGCCACCCCTGGGATAGTGGTCCTGGGTTGTAAAATAAAGCAGGCTGAGCAAGCCATGAGGGACAAGCTAGCAAGCAGCATTCTTCTATGGCTTCTGCTTCGGTTCCTTCCTCCCAGTTGCTGCCCTGTCTTCTTCCATGTTGGACTATGATATGGAACTGTAAGCTGAAATCAACCCTTTCCTCCCCAGGTTGTGCTAGTTTTCATCACAACAGTCGATGACCTGCCTGACAGAGGCTACAACAGTTTTGTGAACAAAGTTTAGATAAGGAGGTGTATTACCAATTTGGAAAGGACAGGATAAAAAAAAAAAAACCTACACTAGCCAGAATTTGGCCACTATAAATCCTAGGAAGAAAGCACCTAATTCAGGCATACCCTGCCAATTGTTTGCAGTTCAGAGACCTCTTTGTGTATATTCTCTAACATTGAAATAAAGACAAAGGGAGCAGAGGGAAGAAGACAAAGTGTTTATTGTTAAATACTGTGACACTTTACCTTGTATCTTGATTTCAGCAATATTGCTCTTCTCATCACAGACAGTGACACAGAAAGCATTCAATTTGGCAAATAACCTAAAGCCAATAATGTCACTATCTCTAGAGGGCACCATCGCTAAAAATAAAACAACAGAATTTAGTAAGCTAAACTCTATAGAATTTCTTCATATATTTTACATAATATATGAATATAGAATAATATTTAAATACATATAAAACACACATATAAAAATAAAAAGTCTAAAGTAAATAGAACATGCAATTCAAAATCAAAAAGTAATGTGCCTAAAATCACACAGTTTAAGTAATATAGTCAGAATATGAACTAGGTTCTTTTGGATCCAAATTCTAGATTATCAGCCAATAAGATGCAATCACTGGCGTGCTGAAGAAATGGTTCAGAGAACCTGGGATTCCAGCAACCACCTAGTGATTCAAAACCATCCATCACTCCAGTTCCAGAAGATCCAATGCCCACTTCTGGACTCTACCAGAACTGCACATATGCTGTACACAGACATACATGCAGACAGAACACCCAACACATAAAAACAAAAAAGGTTCTTTGTTTTTTTTTTTTTTTAAGATGCAGTTAGTCCCTGTCTTCATGTCTCTGTGCCTCTTTTCTCAAAGACTAATTATCTGGGGAGCCCTTCCAGAGCCACTATAATGAGAAGAAGGACTAGGTACACACCCAGGTTTTCCTAGTAACTCTGCAAAGGCAATCCCCAGATGCAAAATAAAAACAAAGTTTCTTGAAACAATAGTATTGCTGCTGAGGAACAATCTTTGTACACTGTAAATATTTGTTGCTCTCATTGTTAATAAAAAACTGATTGGCCAATAGCTAGACATGACTTTCAGGGCAGAAAGAATACTGGCAAGAGGAGCAGAGTCTGGAGTGTCAAGCCAAACAAGGAAGAAGCATGGAAAGTTCATAGATAAAATAAACAAGCCTTGGGGCAGCACATAGATTAAATTTAAGTTGTAAAAGCTGGCTAAGCTATCAGCTGAGCATTTATAATTAATAATTAGTTTCTGAATGGTTATTTGGGTAGGACAGAAAAGTACCTACAAATGGTACCTAATGTCTGAGGCCATGTACATGCACAAAAAGCCTAAAAAAATGTTTAAAAAAAGTTCAGAACACAGAGTCAAAGGTGGCTTCCTGATGACCATCTTTTCTCGGGGAGGCTCGGTGCTAGTGAGCAAAGAGGCCCTGATTTTGAGCAATCATATGGGGTTTATGAGCAGTAGGCAGCATGCTACTTGATAGCATGAGACTGGGTAGAAATGCCTACAGCAATATGGACCCATCTGTCTACCTCCTATCCACCAGTCTCTACCATATGCTTCACTACCATGCTCTTCCTGGCAACACGAGGCTCAGAAGCAACAGAGCCAAGTGTTTGTGGACTGACACCTACGAAACAGAAAGCAAAACAAATCTTTGTTCCTTCAATTTGTTTTTCTCCAGGTGTTAGTCATGGAGAACACTGATAACTCACATACTTTTCTGCAGGGGAGAGTTCTTTTGTTTCTCAGTTGTAGACTGCGCCTCCTTGACAACACCGGTGTTCTCACCATCTGATGGGATGATGGTTGTCAAGTAGTTAAGGGAAGACAGAAGAGCTTGTGTTTGTAGCAACAGATTCAAAGATGAAAAAGCCACCTGAAAGTGTTTTGCAAAAAATATTAGTTCTTTCCCAGTTACTACCTGTGATCTCAGTAAAGGCTGCTTCCACCCCAGCAAAGAAGAGTGAGACAAAAGTCCATGACTCCCTGATGTATGGGTATAGAGAAGGCAAATAGTGCCTATATAGTCAAGGACACAGGAGAGCATCATAATAACTACTCCATTCCCAAGCAAAATGGTCATGGAACCAACTGTCTCTCCTGGCCATCCACACAGCCAACACATGTGGTTTCCCGGATCTTCAATAGGCTCTTGTGACCATAAAAAATGCTGTCTTGGTACAAAGTTCCAGAATCACCATGTGCTACCACATCTAGAAGCAATTCCAAATGTGGCATCCATGACATTTAAACTTAGGGAGCAGAACTGTGAACATGAACATGGTCTCAAGTAGGGAATGACCTTCTACAACATGGTAATGGTCTTGGCATTTAAAATCAGCACAGCATGTCTGACTACCAGAGGAAAGATCACACTTAAGAAATGACTCCCAAGAACTAACATAGAACACAAATTGTTTCTACAGGTCTGTGGTATTATGAAAGCAAGCTAAAACAAAAATTTGCTTATAAAAAAAAACTAAGTAACAAAAAAAGGAAAGTCCCCAATATCATAGAGGACGATGTCAGGGCTGGAAAAATGGCTCAGCAGTTAAGAGCACTGGCTGCTCTTCCAGAGGACCTGAGTTCAATTCCCAGCTACTACATGGTGACTCCCAACCATCTACAATGGGATCTGATGATCTCTTCTGTCTGCCATGCAGCCATACATTCAAATAGAGCATTCATGTATATAAATAAAGAAATCTTTAAAAAAAACAAAAGATGATGTTCATCTCTTCCAAATATGAGCTAGAGCTCATCTCTCTAGTTTTTCCACCACTTATTTATTTCACGTGGTAGTTGAGGGGTATGCAGACCACTGTGTGCTTGTAGAGACCAGAGGAAAACTTTGGGAGTAGGTTGGTTCTCACCTTCTACCATGTGAGCCCTGGAGACTGAACTCAGATGGTCAGGCTTGGCAGGAAGCTACTAAGTCATCCCACTGAAGGGTAAGCGGGGTGGGGCAGGGGTCTCATTTACTTTTTAATATAACTCATAAATACTTTCTGACTCCTCTTCCTCTGTATTTTTATTCAAATCATAATGGCTGCAGAAGCACTTAGCATCTGCACTTACGCTTTACACCATCTCTCACTCCTGTATTGCTAGATGGAATTAACTTGGTTTCTTTAGGATCCTGTTAGTTATTTATAATCAAATGATCTGTCATGGCATTTCCTTATATGGGAACAACATTGGGGCTCTTTAAAGCATAGAATGTGATATGGTATTACTTTCTAAGCTGGATCACAGTCAGAGACCATGGCAACATCTATGGTGCTAATTTATAATTTCAGTTGGTTTTAATCACATTGTTTTATCAAACAATGCCCTCCAAAGAACCTTGGAGATTTCCAGAGATTTCCAGACAGGATATGCCATCTTAATAAAACTTCTTACCTTAATTGTTTGCTCAGTTTTTTCAAAGGTAGTTTGAAAACTAGGTCCATTCTTATCAACCTGAAAAAAAAAGTTCTAAAGAATTAATTAAGACCAAGGTAAACAAATATTGTTATAAGCTCTGTGTGTGTATATAAGTGTGTATAGAGATGGAATGGGAGGGAGAGGGAGAGATAAGAGAGCACATACTTTGGTGGTTTGAATGAGAACTGCCCCCATACGACATGTTTTAATACTTGGACCCCAGTTGGGAAAACTATTTGGGAGGGAATAGGGGGTGTGGCCCTGTTGAAAGGAGTCTATCACAGGGGCAGGCTTTGAGGTTTCAAATCTCACACAAGTCTCAGTTTGCTCCTTGCCTCCAAATTGCAGATAAGGATGTCAGCTCCCAGCTAATGCTCCTGCATCGTGCATATACTGTCCTGCCCTCAACCATGATGGTCACGGACTCTAACTCTTGAGAATTGTGAGCCCCAAATTAAGTGCTTTCTTTTATAAGTTTCCTGAGTCATGGTGTCTTACAGTAGCAATAAGTACCTAAGACAACCATATATTATTTTGTCATATTTAAAATTATATATAAACACTATTTTTCATATCATTTTAAAGTGCTCTTGTTAAGCATGGGGGAACATTTATTCCCTCGGGGACACTGAGTGTCAGAAAGATAAGGTTTGAGGTGAGAAGGTGAAAAGGTCATCTCACCCGCCCATCATCTGATGCTTACACCACTCTACAAAGTTCAGTGCAATCTCCAATGAGAGAAACATCAGTTCTTCACAAATGGAATCTCCTGAGAAAGCGCTGTTTTAATGGGGTCTTTGTCCAAGTCAAAAAAAAATCTATCTCTCATCATAACCACTCACTGGACTCAGCTCTATCCATTGCACAAAGAGGAACTGTGAACTCTGAAGACCCCTCCCATGAGCAGCTTTCTGCCCTGGTTTCCTTCCCTGCCTCTCCATATCCACTCTGCTCTGTGCTTTCTCTTAGAAAAGCAGTCACTGTATTTTCAGTTAGTCAGGATTACATTTTAGTTGTTCGCTTGCATGTCCTTTCTCTTCTAACTTAAAGTTAGTTTAACAACAGGGAGAAACAACTTATACTTCAAACCACAGCAAAGACATTCATGAAGACATAACAAAGAGTCAGGAATCAACAAGAACGAAGGCAAACAGCATCACTTCCCACAGCCCCATTCATGGGGAACATTCTGCAGTCCATCCCCAGCCCTACCAGCTCTCTTCTGAACTCAATGCAATCCTGTTTTCCTTTTGCAATGTAATATACTCAACTAGATGTCACCCATTTTTACAAGGGGTGCACTGGTGTGAATATGCCCCGAGACAGACGGGCACCCACTTCCCCCTGGGTTCCACCTCTGGGGTTAGCAACCTGGCAGCTTTGTGATATCCTATTCTCAGCAAAAGCAGAAGCCCGAGGGCAAGTGACTGTCCTGTGACCTCACCTGAATACACACCCAGAGCCACTGCAGAAACACAGTCTTCTCTGCCACCTTCCCCTGGCCTTACCTTAATGTACTCCACTTTTAAAAGATCTAATCCAGGTTTGTCTGAAGAACTAATCAAGTGAAGAGGCTTCTTTTTGGATCCTAGATTGAATAAAAGGAGAGAAAGGGTTTGCAGGTAACTTGCTTTTATGACACGTTAGAATATTCTATACTTGTCTAGTGGTGCTTTAAACGCATATCAGTATACATTTTCACGTATCTATGTACAATTTCATAGGTATGAAGCAACCAACCTATTACTGGTAGGAAAATATGCCAGCTTAAATCTTTACTTTAAACTTTACCTTAAGCTTACTAAAAACATTCACCTTTCGCTTGCTTTTATCCTGTGCTCAAAAAGAGTCAAAACTTCTCAAGATATTCTTAAGGCCGCCTATGTATTTATAGGGCCATGGAATATATTCCACTAAGGGTGGAAGAATGTGAAAATGTGAATTCTAATCCAACTCTGGCCTTACCCAATGCTATTTAACTTTCTCATCTACAAAACTGGATTGAGAAAATCTCTAATATGCAGTTGGATTCTAAAATTGTACAAAAATGTTTTATTTATATTAGACTCAAATCATTTAAATCATTCCTCTGCTTAGACCTAGGTGAAAAAGGATATAGAAAGCCTTCTTTTTTAACAGACAATAACTGTTAAAAATTTCTCCTAAGCAGGCTGTGGTGGTTGATAGCTGTAATCCTAGCCCTTGGGAGATAGAGAAAGGAGGATCATTGTAGTACAAGGCCAGCCTGGGTAACACTGTGAATCTAAGGACTGCCTGGGCTACTTGGTTTCAAAACCTAAACAAACACCTCTTTTGAGCTCAAAACTATGTTGTCTGTGCAGACACAAAGAGAAAGTGGCTCCCAAAACCTCATAGGGAGAGCTCGCTCGTCACCCATTGAATCATGCCCATGCTTTACTCTCCAGTCTGTAATTCCTGTTTCTGGAACAACTAGAAAGTTCTCCCTGGTCTCTGGCCTTTCCCCTTTATACACTGCTTTTTAAGATTCATTTATTTTACTTTTTGTTTATGACTATTTAACTATATGCACCATGGTTGTGCCTGGTGCTCTAGGAATTCAGAAGGGTCAGATCTCCTGGACCTGGAGTTATAACAGATATGAGTTACCATAAATTCTATAAATGCTGGAAATCAAGCCCAAGTCCTCTGAAAGAGCATTAAGTGTGTGCAACTGCTGAGCCATCTCTCCAGTCTTAACTGACAAAAAGAAGAAACAGCCTAGAAAATGTATTGTTTACATTCATTACTAGTGTATGCAATATAAATTCTATCATAATGTAGTACTTAAGGAAATTTGTAACATAAGAAACATAATTTTTCTCCCAAACTAGAATTTATTTTAGTTTCAACTATTTTCTAAAAATCATAAAATGTCTTAATATTTGACTAAAGTATTGGGTAGATCGCTGAAGAATTTTAATTGCTACAGACTAACTCATGCCTGAGCTCAGAAGATATACATTGAAATGATGAACTATGAGGTTCACAAGAGGGAAGGTGGGCTTCTTCCCCCTTTATTTCTATCAAAGTACTTCTGTGCCATGTGAACACTGTAACACAATGGTTCTCAACCTGTGGGTAGGAACCCTTTCACAGGAGTCAACCTAAGACCATAACAAAACACAAAATTTTACATTGCAATTCATAGCAGTAGCAACATACAGTTGAAACAGCAATGTAATAATGTTATGGTTGGGAATCACCACACATGAGGAACTATATTAAAGGATCACAGCATTAGGAAGGTTGAGAATCACTGCTCTAGACTTCAGTATCCTAAGTTCAGGTCTGAATACTAAAATCTATCTGAACAAGACACAGGTGTAAAAAAGTTATTTTGTGTTCTTTAGCCTTTCTTTCTGTGAAATCGGAATGATACTCCCTAATATCAGTGCACTTTCCTGGACTCTAAAGTGATAGACCACAGTGTTTGAGGCTGCCAGACCCCCAGTGCCGGGCTTCCAATGTTTCAGCCAGGGTTCTGTCATTACAGTTCTTTGAAGCTGAGTGAATAATCATCTACATGTCAGTTACATGTGAACTGATAACAGTAACATGGATGCAACATAGCCAGTGTTCTAGAATGGAGTTAGTATTCATAAAGTGTTAAAACAGTATGGTTATTATACCCATTATAATAAAATGAAATATTTCATTATAAATGAAACTATTCCAGACACACACAGGTGTTATTTTTACTCCTGTGTGCTGTTTCTATTTTCATGGCTATTACCTTTAATTTCATGGTAATCCAAGCTGATTTTCCTCAAATAGGACACTGCAGTCAAATCAAATGCCCTCATTGTTGCTTCTGTTCCTAACTGAGTGACATTAAATACCAGAATTGTCTCTTCTTCTTTCTGTTGTTTAGTGAGTTCCAAAATCACCTAAAAAAATTCATGGGGCAGTGGAAAGTGAGTCCGTCATCCATAAAGACACAGAAACAAAGTCCTTCCCCACACACAGCACTGCAAGAGTGAAGACTCTAATCACGCCCTCACACCAAACTCAAAGACTGGGATTATCCTGTATCAGGACAGTAGGCACACATAAGGTTCTTAATGTCTGGTTTTTTTTGTTTGTTTGTTTGTTTGTTTAACTTAGGAAAGGCAGATTCTTCTGACAGCAGCAGTTCCAGGAAAGCAAAAGGTTAGAGTATGCCTTCCCAAAGCATTCAAATTAATTTTGGAAATGACAGCCAAAATATTTAGTCAATAAAAAAATCAAAACAGGCCGGGCGTTGGTGGCGCACGCCTTTAATCCCAGCACTCGGGAGGCAGAGGCAGGCGGATCTCTGTGAGTTCGAGGACAGGCTGGACCGACAGCCTCCAAAACAGAGAAACCCTGTCTCGTAAAACAAAAAACAAAAAAAAAAATCAAAATAGGTGTGGCAATTTTTAAAAGACAGATAAGAAATGATGGTGGCTGGGGTGACACAGCAGTGTAAGAGAAGAGTGACCACCAGGAGGTGGTTGAAGCATGAAAAAAAAAAAAGAAAGAGAGAGAGAGACAAGTCAAAGCCAAGGGTAGGAAAGATACTAAGAAAATACCAATGACATTCAGTTGCATCAAATCTGACATGATGATTTAAGAAATGTTGTTATTCTGGAATATCAAAGTCAACCATGAACATCTCTATATTATTTTGCATTTTATTATTAAAGTGATAAGATTATTATAAAAACATGGGAAAGCAAAGGTAAAGGTAAAAACTGCAATTCCTCCAGCCTGGAGATGAACACTGTCATTTGTAAGAGAAAATGTATACGTGGAACTAAATGGAAACATGTGCCCGTGGCCCAAAATCTCTTTTACCCCCAAAATATGTTGTGACCATCTCATGCGGCTTTCTTTTTCTATGGGGCTACTCTAAAACAGGTCTCAGGACTGAAGCTAGGAATTCATAAGATCTAAGCAGCATGCCCTGCGCATCCCGCACCCACCTCTGTCTCCAGTCAATCCTACTGCCAAGCCTTCTTGGCCCCCCCCCTTTTGTTTTGCTTGCTATTTTGAAGCAGGGTCTTGTCAAATTGACCAGGATGACCTATATCTCCAGCAGAGCCTGAAGTTGTAATCCTCCTGCCTCACCCTTCTGAATAACTGGAGTACAGGCCCATGTCATCACGCATGGCTTTTTACATGACTTTTAAAGGCAAAACAAAAGTTTGGAAGTTTAGTTTGCTAACATTTTCCACGTTACACATGCAGGACAATGGCCAGCACTATTTAGCTCAAGGGGAGGTCATCCTGCATGTGGCAGCACACACCTATAATCTCAGCAATCAAGGGGAATGCTGGAGCAGAAGGAATGTCACATGTTCAAAGAAAGCCTAGACTACACAGTGAGATAGTGAGTTCAAAGTCAGCCTGGAATATACAACAAAACACAAAATACACAAAAAAAATTATAACAGCTGGGGCTGGGGAAGGTGATATATACATCCACACACAAAAACAGAAATTTTATGTAGAAATGCAAATCCTAATTAAGAGACCTGAGCTTTTCCAGAAGAGATGACGCACGCACTGATCCCCCTTAAACCATTTTTTAAAATAATCTTCATGGTGTGTACCTTTGTGTAGAAAAGAAACTAGAATGTCACGTTTTTAATGCCCTTGAAGTTGAGGTTAGCTCCCAGGGCAGAAGACCAACAGGAATGTGTCCGTGAACAGAAAACACATACCTCTTTAATCTCAAACTTGAGCAGAAGATTAACCAGCTCCTCATTTGGAACCTCAGAGACTTTTTTCAGTTCTGAGGCTTTCACAGTTCTGGCAGTCTGCACGTCTCCTTCCTCAGCATCAAAATATTCATCATCAGACTCTAAAGCAAAGAGTCACACATTAACCCAGACAATAGCCTCTGAGAACCCACATGGGCACGAAGCCTAGACCTAACAAACTCCATTCATGCACAGAATCTTCATTCAGACAAAATACTTGCAATATTTCAAGTCCCAAAGTGACTCGAACCAACATGTAATAAAACTTAAACCAAATAGTCGTCTACTATCTTTTCAGAAGTGACTTGTTTTTCACATTAGTTCATTCATTCAACATTCAGTAAAATAATATTGGGCATCATCTACCATGTATAAGGATGCAACCGCCACAATGGACACCAGAGTGGCCAGGCCTTTACCTGGTTAGATGTGGCCTTGTCTCTACAAAGTATATTTTCTATATTCTAATTTGAAATTGTAAGACCTTACTTAGCCCTGGTTAGATAAAAGTATGAGAGTAAAAACCCTGTCTCGAAAAACCAAAAAAGAAAAAAAAAGTATCACAGTAAAATACAATAACTTATTTAAATATTTAGAAAACATTGTCAAATCTATCACCCTCACTTTAAAAAAAAAAACATTTTATCCAACAATGAGGCATGAGTATTGGTGCTTTTAGGAACCCCTATTTTCTTAAAACACTCTTACTACATAATCATGTTTCAGTTTGCCTTCATAGAGAAACAGTGTTTCCTGGTTTTCACCTGAATCCACTCCATCGAGCAACAGTGAAGTGCCGAGAAGACCTTTGGTTCCACCTGAAAGAACAGGAATCGAGGCTACCTAGCAAAGAACACAAAATGGCTTTTTAATACATGCTAACAACAAGGACTAAATACTACAAGATGAGATCTCTCTAGATAACGAAAATCAATAGAGGACAGAGGAAGATGGAAAGATATGTAGACATGCATCACAAGAAACTAATACAATCAAATAGGGGTCAGCTGGAATTTACAAAGTATTAGAATCACTACATCTATTTATAAAGATAAAATTGTGCACAAATCAAATAAGTAAGTCTGTGTCCTCATCCTCATGAAGCTTTTAGTTGCTATGAGTAACAATATGAAAGTACATATTTATCATAGGGCCCTTGATAATGGTATCATTATCAGTTAATTTTCTCAAACTTCTTTTCTAAGTAAGGGGAAATCCAGCATTTATTTTAAGCTATAAAGACTATTCCAATTAAAGTGACCTAAAAAATTTAAGACTCACCAAAAAAAAAAAAAGACAATTGGTATTTTATTTGCAAATTTATTTTAAAGCTTTATATTTCTAGGTCTATGTAAGGAATACTTAACAAATGTAAATAGTATTTTCCTTTCATATCTGTTGGTTTTTTCTTTGTTTGTTTGTTTGTTTGTTTGTTTGTTTAGAGACAGAGTCTCACTATATAGCGCTACCTGGCAGCAACTTGCTATGTAGAACAGGATGGCCTTGAAATCAGAGCCCTCCTGTCTCTGTGCAGGACCCATTTCTGCATTTTAGATCCTTTTGGTTAGAAAACCTGTCCTTAAACAATCATCACTACTCTGAAAGTGTGGTTTTCTAGAAATCGACTTGGCATGTCTACTACAATCTCTTACTCACCTGTCTCTCTGGAGACTGTGTGGATGACTTCTGTGGCAAGGGTATACTATTAATCAAACACAGTGTATCTTTTATCTTCTGGTCAGAAATCCTCACATGCATCAAAGGCAGTCCTCCTGACACTTTAAATCTAAAAATACAATTGACTGTGAGGTCTCAGGAAGGGGAAGCAAATAGGGAGGAGATGACGTGGTGAGGTCAATGGTTGGCCAGCCATGTTTCAATCCATCACCCATAGATGCACTCTTACAGAACAGACGTTCTCCGGGAGCCAATTTTCCAGACCATCCACATCTATCTTTCCTACTCAGTAAGCCTTTTTCAATGAACTTTTTGAAAAACAGGGTGTCACTATGTAGCCCCAGCTGGCCTGGAACTTGCTATACAGATCAGGCCAACCTCAACTCACAGACTCTCTGCCTCCTAGGTGCTATGATTAGGGAGGTACACTAACACACACAGCCTAAAACTATGTAATGCATTGTAAAACTTCTTTTGAACACAACCTTCTACTATTAAAAACCCAAACCACGTTATGTGTTTTACTTCGTGGCATCTAAGATTTCTTTCTACTAATACCAGAGTGTCTGCCCCATCAATCTCTATCACATTGTCTTGTTCTGCTGTTTAGCTGTTTAGCTTGGCAGCACCTGGTATGTGACAGGTGAACTTATTTCCTGTCCCTTTGGATTAAAATGCAAGCTCCCTGAGGTCATCTGTTTTGCTGCTGAGTATCCAGCCTGCTATTGTCATTCATTTGCCTTTTGGTAGTTGCTTTATCATCTTCCATAAAAAAAAAAAAAGATGTCTTGACCACAGCCTGCTCACAAGCCTGCTTGGCTTACCCTCTCAGCTTCCTAGCTAAACTGTGAACAGCTCAAGCTGGCAGATACCTAACTCTTAAATGGGTTCCTGGCTGGTATTCAATACAACAGTTTTTAAGTAAAATTCTTAGTACTAATTGTCACTATTAAAAAGAAAGGTCTCTAATTAATGACCTTCTTCTAGGAAATTAGAATGAAACACAGACAATGTGCAGAAAAAAACTGTAATAAACCTAGAGTGAAAGTTATGAAGATTAAAGATAGAAACAAATAAAGAAATAATTGAGCCCAAAAGCTGGCTCTTTCAGAAGAAAACTAACTGAGAAACTCTATTCTGACTAACCAAGAAAAAAGAGAAGCAAAGGCACTAACTGCTTATAACCAGAACAAGAAAGCAAACATCTAAAGATCATTCTCAATGTTTTAGAAAGTAACAAAGAATATGAGCACATTTTACAACTCAACATGAGGCTGATCAAATTCAAAACATGCAATGTTTACCTAGAAACTTCAAACACAGAAAAAATCATTAAAAATTGCTTCCACAAGTTTTTAAATTCTCTCTAAAAGAAAATTGTAGGCCTAGAACACGTTAAGCCTGTGAAGGATCTATTGACGTAACACTTAAGCAACCACATGAGGGATCTTATCATAGTGGAAGAATCCAAATCAAAAAGTTAAAACTCTATGGTTGCATTCGCAGAAAATTCCAGAAAAGTCTACCAAATATTCACATCAAGGAACAGACCAATATTTTCCAAGGAATGAAGTAGGAACAGAAAAAAAAGGGAATGCAGGGCTCAAGGAATCTTCTGTAGATGATGAATGTTATCTCAATTGCAATGATGATCTCATGAAGACATACATGCCACAACCACAAAACCTGGTTTAGAAAGACACTGTTTCATGATAATATACTAAAATAAAAATCTAGTTTCTATTTGTTTTATTCCTTTAGACTTTTCTTGGGATTTTATGTGGTTTCATGACCAAAAAAAAAAAAAAAACCTAATTTCCTTTGAGATTTTATTTCATTAATATTGAGTCTTGATTTTCACACATTCAGAATCTCAGATAACCAATTTTTATAGAATGTAAAAATCTAAATACGAAGTCTGAAGTAAGAGAGACAACATATGTCTTAGAGTTACTATTGCTGTGATCAGACAACATGATCAAAAGCAACTTGGGGATGGAAGGGTTTATTTGACTTACACTTCCTTCCATATCACTGTTCATCACTGAAGGAAACCAGGACATGAACTCAAATAGGGCAAGAAACCTAGAGGCAGGGGCTGATGCAGAGGTCATGAAGAGTGCTGCTTACTGGCTTGCTCCTCCTGGCTTCCTCAGTCTGATTTCTTACAGAACCCAACCATTAGCCCAGGGATGGTTCCATTCACAGTGGGCTGGGTCCTCCCCAACCAATTACTAATTAAGAAAATATCCTACAAGCTTTGCCTACAGGCAAATCTTATGGAGGAATTATCTCAATTAAGGTTCCCTCCTCTGAGATGACTCTAGCTTGTGTCAAGTTGACATAAAACTAGCCGGCACAGAACACTATATAAATAATATTTTCTTTAAATGTACTTGTGTCCTAAGATAGAATAATAGGTGTTATTTTCCCTCCCACATATATACATCGCTGTTTCCTTAAATGTCAGTAGTTAAACAGATGAAACTCCCTTGTTGATTTCTAATACAAAAGACTACTCATACATACCTGGCCATTCTAACATCCTTCTCGACCATTGCCTTGGCCAGCTCAACATGAATATCCATGGGTTGCAATACATGCACAGTTGATGGATGTTGGAATCTACACTTTTTCCAGTTTTCCTCTTTAAAAATAAAAATTTAAATACTAAATAACTTTTAAAAATTATCAGATATTCTATGCAAAACCAGTTTACATAGCCAGAAAATACTTAACAAATTTAATGAACATTTTTACTTCCTTCAGCATACAGATTAAATAATCTGTATTTTAATTCAGATAGGTAGAAGACAAAAAAATTATCAAGAATGACTGCATGTGTAATAACGACTATTTCTCCAAAAGGAATATTCTGAAGGCAGATTTCCCATGTGGCTAACATAGTCCCGTGCAGGCCTTTTTATTTTTTAATAAAGAAAAACATTTAATTGGGGGCGGTATACATTTTCAGAGGTTTAGTCCATTATCATCATAGTGGGACATGGTAACATGCAGGGAGACATGTTCTGGAGAAGTAGTTGAGTGTCTCACATCTTCCCGTGCAAACTTTTATCCATGCCAGGGACTAGAGAACTCATTGTTCAAATAATTATTTGTAAGGGAAGGCAATGTTTATGGTCTATGTAAATACTCTCCTTTAAGAACCTCTGAGGCGCCGGGTGGTGGTGGCGCATGCCTTTAATCCCAGCACTCAGGAGGCAGAGGCAGGCAGATCTCCGTGAGTTCAAGGCCAGGCTGGACCGACAGCCTCCAAAACAATACAGAGAAACCCTGTCTTGTAAAACCAAAAAAAAAAAAAAAAAAAAAAAAAGAACCTCTGAGGCTCTTGACAGATACTATGCAGACACGTTAACTTAATGTTAATAGATCTCACTGTGCAGAGTAGAGCATGGCCGCTACATGAAGAGATTATATCATCAGGTGACTTTCCAGAAAATGGCATGCTCAAAGATATCTAATCAATATTTTTCTTCTAATAACTGAAGGGATGTGGTGGACCAAAAAGCTGTACTTAAGCAACAGAAAAAGCAAAGCTGTGAGAAAATAAACTAGTTTTCAGTTTTAAGGGTGTATCTTCAAGCTGGGTATCTATAATGAAAACATGGCAGAGCAGAGAAAATATTTCACATCTGAGAATACGTACGTATATATACTGAGATATCCTGGGGATGGGACCTAAGTCTGACCACAAAGTCCACCTGTGTTACATACACCTCCTATATGTAAATCAAGGGCCATTTGGCATCTGCAGGGCATGTGTGCTTTAAGTGCAACCCACACCTGAGATTACATTCAGAATTTTTCACTTGTGGCATCATATCAGCATTCAGAATGTTTCAGAGAGCTCACATTTACGATTTTGGGATCAACGAAGTTTGCTGTAGTGTTTTTAAGATGTGGTATTCTTTAGATATATGGTTCTCAGATGCCTATAAAGGAGTTTTAACAATGCAAAAATAAAGACTGGACCAAAATAGTATATATTTTCCAATAAAGGCAGCATGGAGAAGATGGAAACATCTCAAAACATTAAGACAGAAGAGCTTGAACCAACTGTAACTTCTGCTGTCTTCTGACAGCTCAGTCATGCTACAGACAGAGACCATGCACAAGCTTAGGTTCAAATGGTTCTGGGAACCCTAGGATTAATAGTCCAATGCAGCATTCTGCAGTGGGCCACTCCTGCTAGGTTTTCTGAAGTGATCAGCAGGACAAGTGTACAGGACAATGGCTGGGACAGATGCCCATGAGCAGACACATCCATGCACACACACTGCCAAACCTAATAATGCATGCAAGTACACCTCCAAAGCTACTGGAGCCAATCTGACTACCCTAAGAGCAGTGACTGACCTGCTTTTGCAAAAAGTAACTGCACACTCTTTATTTCCACATCAAATTTGTCATATGCCTTATCTATTATTTCTTCCAGAGATGAATTAGTCGTCTTCTGTGTACCTTGGTCTTTACTGTTGAGCTAAAATGTAGTGAAGAAAAAAAACTGAACATTTTACATGTAAGTATACACACACACATACATTACATGCATGCATACATACATACATACATACATACATACATATCAACACATTTTGATCAAATTTCAAAACTTCTACCTGAAGATAGGAGACTTTCTTGATAAGCGCATAGTCTGCCTAGTTTCCTAGTGATTTTGTAAGCAGTTTGTTAGGAGTATGAACTCAGATATCGGTTATGCTTGAGTAAGAGATGCTGAGCACATTTGCATTCACTGAGCCTACACAGCTGTCTCCTTCAAACGTCCTGTCCAGAAGGAAAGCGCCTTCCTGCCTGAGTCCTAAGAGGTAGGTACTGCCAACTATTGCTCAGTTCTCCTACTGCCCCCCTTGAGTCCTTCGCCTTCTGACACTACCATGGAAGAGGCTATTAAGACTCAGATCCAACCTACTTCCTTTTACACTTCCAAGATGGAATCAAGGCTCAATTCAGTTTAACCATTACCTTTGCCAAATGCTTAAGAGTCAATGAGATGCAAAAGCCAAAACCCTACTCTAGTCGCTTAGAGCAATCAAATATGCATTTATGATATATATATACATAATATGACATGTTTTATATATGCCATGTATTTTACATATTTATATATATATATATTACATGTATATATTGATAGGTAGATAATTTCCTGTCAAAAATATATGCCTCCCAAAAATGACACTGTAAAATTAAACTCTATAAACAATAAAGACTAAGATAGTTTCTCTCCTATTAAGAAAAGAGAAAAACCACCCATCTAGTCTTCAATGCCAAATTATTGCCATTACAGGAATATCTAGTGAAATTTCTTTGTTTGGGTAGCCATATAATATGTGAGAAATAAGTCTAGGGTTAATTTAAGTAAACTGAAGAAAAATAACAAGCTATCAGACATACAGTTACCAAACTTGTCAATGATAGAAAGAAAAAAGTACATATATACCTACCTGAAAAGTACCAAAATCTAAAATAAGAAGATTTGACTTTTTATGGTGAAAACCTGTCTGTGGAATTATTAGATAAGAAGGCTTTAGATTTATCCTTAAATCGAGGACTTTCCGAGTCTCAATAATATGTGTAAGTCCTAAAAGAAGGACAGGAAAAAAATGATATGGTCAAGCCGAACCACATGGTGATACTAGTACCAAAAAATAAGAATTTGCTACACAGAAAAACCTTGTCTTGCACACCTGCCCCCACAAAAAGGAGATAAGAAGTTTACTTGAAAAGTATTAAATAGTGTCAGTTCTATCAAAAAATTAGATTCTCAATCCATCATGTAAAGTAAAACCTGTATTAAGTTGATACAAATATCCCATAGCATACATACATATTACAGCAAATCCTATGTAACTAGTATTTTGTCTAGGCATAGAATGATTTGTTTCCTTGGTTAAGCAACCTGATGAAATAGTCTGCTGGCTTCCTTACAACTATGCATGCACAGCATGATGACTGGCTTGAAGACTAGAGATGGAGGACTGTTTCCACCTCAAGTTCATTACAAGGCGCAGGATCCTTAGATGTAAGGCAGAGAGAAGCATCTGCACCCTCCATTACTCAGGCAGCCTAGCAGGCTGTACAACTCTGAGTTAGCCATATAACACAGCCTAATTTCAAAACAGAAATAAAACAACCTAAACTACCTTAAACACAATGTTTCCATTACAATGGATGTGTTTCAAGTTTAGTCAGTGCAGAGAGACAAAGCTAAAGATTTCACCTGTAGCTGTTCTCTCCTTAATTTCTTCCAGCTTCATCAATGTAGCTGATGTAATTTGCTCAAGATCCAACCCCTTATTTGACTGAAAGAATTCCACTACAGCATTGATAGTTTTCTGTAAAAAGAATTTTAAAACACAAGAGTTAAATATTAAATGTATGTTATAAACCTTAAGGATTTGCCTCAGTTATAAACAGCCGTGGCTTTGAACTAAGGAATCCAAAGGCATTCTAAACTACTACATTCCCTTCAGGAGTGAGAAACAATGTGAGCGAGGACGGCCTAGTGAGCTTCCTGGAGAAAGGAAAACCTACACGTACCATGGCAGTGGCAAGAGGACTGAGCGGCTCATGGAAGTAGCAACTGACATGACCTCTAGTTTCAGCCTGCAGGTTGAGAATAAGTCCCATCCCTCAACACCGCATTTGAATTCTGCCATGCTTTGACATTTAGAGAAGAAACGGGGAAAGCTGTTCACTCTTACCTTCATATAAAACTTAAATATAAAAATGTCAGATTTTATATGACAAAGAAAGTTCTGAAGATCCATTGTACAGCAACTTAGTACAGTTGTGAATGTTGCTAAACAATTGAACCACGATCTTAAAATGTGTAAGATGGCAAGTCTTGTCATGTGTGTTCCACTACAATATAAAATGTTTTCAACTTTATCATTTGTATGAGTGCTTGTGCACACTCACACGCGTGCACAAACAAACACACACACACACACACACACACACACACACAGGTCAGAGCAGACGTATGGGGATCAGAGAACAGCTCTGTGGAGTTAGTTCTCTCCTATTGCCCTTACGTGGGTTCCAGCAATTGAACTCAGCTCATCAGGCTTGCATGGCAAGTGCCTTTACCCACTGAGCCATCCCTTCAAAAAAAGGAAAAAACTTTTTAAATTTGTGTGTGTGTGTGTGTGTGTGTGTGTCTATGGTATATGCATGTGTAATATATAATCATGTGCATGCAGATAAGTGCACCCATGCATATGTGCAGAGGCCAGAGAACATAGTGTCCTGTTCTGCCACTCTCTGCCTTCTTCACTTGACACAGGGCTTCTCACTGAACATGGAACTAGTCTGGCAGCCAGCAAGTCCCAGCAACCCTCCTGCCCACCTCCCACAGGGCTGGCTTATGGGCACATGCATGCCCATTCCAATGTTTTATTTGAATGCTAAGGGTTCAAACTCAGAGCCTTATGTTTGCATACCAAGTGCACTTACGTATTAAGCCACCTTCCCAACCCTGGAGGCAGCTTTAAAAGTCATCCTGCCTACACTTACAGCATCATAGATGACCTCCACAGGCTGTGACTGAACGATTAGAGTCTGGTCAGCAGGACTGTTCTCAGGGTTGGTTTCAAACTCAATTTTGAGCAAGGATGATGAAGTATCCCCAATGGAAGCAACCAGTGATGGCACAATGTCTTGTTGTCGCAAACCTGTGACGTACCAATGTTCTAATTTTGCTTCTATCCTATCCAATAAGGAAAAAGCAAGTGTGTAACAGATAAAACTATAGCAATTCCTTTGAAAACTCCTTTGAGAGCCAACCCTATGCCCAAAGTTACAGTTCATCTCCTTAGGCTGGTCTTCATTTACCTACAAAACCCACTTTTGTTGTTGTCAGTCACTGTCATATTAGCTATTTATCATCCACATAAAAACTACTTTAGTCAACCTCAGCGTGTGCCACATGTTCCGGTAACGATGTTTAGACACAGATAATGCCATCACCCTGTTTCCACACCACTCCCACATCCTCCTCCTGCTTCTTCTGGCATCCTTTCCTCCCAGCTGCCTACACCTCCTATTGTTTCAGTTACTCTTGCCTACAACTGAACTGTGCAATCTAACTGTAGGCATTTCACACCATGCACTACGATAAGTTGTCTAATGTGTTAAATAGTCTTGAATTAATTTTTTGCATATACTATTATCAAATATAATTTAAAAGTCCTGAAAATAGAAATGTAATGTACTATATACCCTGAACAGCTGCCACTGTGCAGACACTCTAACTGAAACCCTGCGTGATAAGCATATATATATACACACATATATACATGTATATATATATTTGGGGCCTAAAACCATAAATGTAAATGAAAATAAGTTCTTAAAAACTTACTTAAGTGCTTGTGCTCCTGGTCGCTGGGATACCTGGGTACCCAAGCCAATTATCTGAATTCTCAAGATTTCTGGAACATTTCTATTTTCTCTTATTGTAATAGAGGTGCTCACCAACTTCAGAGTCAGTATATGGGCCACATACTAAACAGAGGAATGAATGAAAATGGTTACCATGTGAATAAATTCTAGCTTTAATGGTTTTATCTTAATTAAATATGGTGAATTATGAAATGATTCTATAAAACTTACGGGTTCCAGAACACACATACCCTCAATGAAAGCCTACTGGGACACACAGCACACTTACAAATATGCCATTTGTTTAGTTTTAAAGAAACAGTGAGAAAACCTTTAGGGGCAGAAAATCTCCATTGAGAAGCTTTCACTCAAGCAAACTAAGCATGTAACCAATCCTCTAGCTGAAGGAAAGAAAAACTATAGACAAAAATAACTGCTGGATGGCTGTAGAAACTTACATGCATATTACACACACACACACACACACACACACATTATACACATACACACGCATGCATATGTGAGAATACTTCTAGACAAAAATGTACTTAGGACAGACAACACTGGAGAGATGATGTGAAATGTGGGGCTGTGTTTCCCCCTGAACTTTTACTAGCATGAAGACAGCCTGTGAAATGAGGCTCGCCAGGAAGATACTGGAAATCAGGTCCTCGCACAAGGCAGTGGCACTGATAGAGCAGCTTCCGGTCTGGTTGAGACCCAGGAACAAACAGCTAAAGAGAATTAGAGGAAAGCCTCCAAATGAAGAGGGAAAAGACTTAGACGTGCAGAGAGCTGAAAGGGGACAGAGGACACCACAAAGACACAGCCTACATCAGAAGTCCTGAAGGAGAAGGGAAGTATCAGTGTGACAGAAAGTCTTCACACTGATGAGACCTTTGACAGTCAAACTACATGAACAAAAGCAATTATAAATTTATACACAGTAAAATGCTGAAAACCTAGAGTTCAAAAAAACTTTCTCCAATGCATATTCCCATATGTACATGAACAACACTAATTGGATTTAGTGAGTTGTTACAAACAGGGAGGATGGTGGAGTAAAAGGAAGGGAAAAACATGGAGATATGAGAGAGGTAGAAGAGAGAAATAGAGGTGGATCTTATATGAAATTCTCAAGAATGAAGGAAAATTAGAAAATTACACTAAGAAAAGTTTAAATTAAAATGCCCTACACTGATTAAAAAAACATATAAAGGAAATAAGTGAGCACAAATGTCACAATGATACAGTACAGCTCACACCTGAACGTACTGACAAACAGTATAATCCAGACAGCATCAGAATTATGAACTCAAACTCTTTTTTAAAAAGGAATCAACAATCTAGAATTTTATATGCAAAAGTGGGAGGAATCTCCTTAAGACACATGGGAAAATAATAGCTATTTTCAGAAAAAACAAAAATTTAGAAAATAATTATAAGCAGATCTTCATTAGAGGGAAGAAAACAGCAGACATCACTCAAGAAAAGGGAAATAAGGGCAACGGTCAGAGACAGAGCAATGAGGGGACACAAGATGCAACTCCATGACACTCGCCATCTCCCCAAAATCATCTCTAAAGTCAACACAATCTCTAACAGTACAGCAGCTTTCCTGAAAGCACGAGATGATTCTAAAAGTTGTATACTAGTACAAAAGATACAAGACCCGTAAGTAAATCCACAAAGAGTCCCAGGAACAACAATGGAAGGACAACTCTTAAAGTGGACACTTACAAATGAACACAAAGGATGGCTAGGCAGCCATGGAAACATGCTCAACATCATTGTCAGGAAAAATATAACTTAAAATATTAATTAAAAATACAGTGGGATAGCATGCCTTCCCCTTAGAATGGCTAAAAGTAAACACATGAAGAACGGCCATCACAATGAGTGATATTTGGGGAACTTTTTTTTAATCTACATGCATCTACCCTATGACCCAAAAATTTCACTCCTAGGTACTTACTCAGTGGGAATGAAAACACACAGTTAAAGGGGGTGTGTGAACTAGAAATAAAGGCAACCCAAATGCTTTTTGGTAAAAGAACAGATAAGTAAGTTCTGGTACTTCAAATGATAGAACCCTATACAACAATGAAAATGAGAAAAATATATTAGGTGCAACAGTAAAGATGGCTCCACGGGAAAAGTCAGGCATGCTTTGTGCTTCGTTTACAGAAAGATGAAAAACTATACAGAACAAAATCCTGGTGCCTATAGCAAAACACAAAAGGAAATGAAAGAAGTGACTGTGGTAATAATCAGGACACTGGTTATCTCAAGAGAAGAGGGGAGGGGAGGCATAGGGGATTCTAGGATGGTTGCAATATTTTAACCCTTGACACTGGTGGTCACTGTAGTGGCTTTTCAGCCTGCCAAATATGGGGGATGCTTTTGATCTGTTCACTCTTGCTAGGAGTTAAACTTAACAATAAAAATGTCTTAAAGATTCAACTGCACACCCCAACAAGAACTTTCACCAGGTTCTTCCTTTATTCATTAAATCGAGCAGTCGTACACTTTTGACTTAATAAGGCCCCATAAAAACATTAGGCAAGCAAACTAAGGACAACACATTTTCAGTAGCTACTTACAACATCACTAATTTAACCCAACTCAAGATAACCCAGCAAGTGAATCAAGACACCCAACACCTACCTGCTTGGGCAAAGCCAAGTTGTAGGTGCTCTCACTGTAGCCAATGGCAGTGAAGAGCTTGTCTTTCTCCTCTGGAGTCATGAGGTCATCGATAGCTATGAGATAAGACTGTCATTTAGGAAATGAATGGCTTCAGGTTTAAAGATAATTTTTTAATAATCAACAAAAAATACACTGGGGGGAAAAAAGCCCACAGACATGAATGCTAAAGCAAAATCAGCCACCTAATTCCTTCTATCACACCAGTGTGGCTTAATTTTAAAAAACACCCTGTATTTGACTGTGTTAAGAAAATGAGAAAAGACACTCGCTGTTAAGGAAATTCAGTTCTCAGATATACACATTTTTAAATTCACTGAAAATTTCAAACCTTAATTTGTCATTAAAAACCATTTAAAAGTTAACAAAAAGGAACATAGAACACTGAGACGTCTAAGAAATGAACATGTTAAATTTCTCACAAGTCTTACTCCAGGCAGAAAAGTAAAGCAATTATATAGCCTGTCACATGTGCTCATGTGTTCCTCTGCTGGGCTTGTGAGACAATGTACACGGCTTTTCCTTGTCAGTGGTTGATGACTGCCTGCCGTGACACTTACTTTCAGGGATCAATGAGTCCTCATCTTTCTTCTTAGTCTCTCTCTTTCCCCAAAACCCACTAAACCAGCCACGTTTCTCGCCTGCTTCAGCAGACTTTTTTCTTAATTTCTGCCCAGAATGAATGATCTGAAAAATAAAAATTGAAGATTCATTCAGAAGAAAAACTCTGCTCACTGTCAAGTATAACTGTGGTCAATTTCATTTAATGCTTCAATAGACAGGAGAGGAGGCCAATTCTTTCTGAAATTATGCTCATAGTATGGCCTGGATAGTGTGGTCTATGGATAATCTACTCCCTGCACCTACTGATAGGATTTTAGGGGAGACACTCTATTCAGCTATAGCTAAGGAATCTGGAAATTTCCCTATGTACTGTAACGTGCAAGTGTCAAAAGAGACACTAGAATAACATTCTTATAAAATGAAAATGAGTCTTTAAAGGAAGATGCTTCTGTACCTGTAATGTATTCATCTAAAAAGCACACTTCAGAATTTACACACATTACCGGTTTGCAAACTAGTTCATGGTGGAAAGGAGAGACAGTGACAGAAATGGTCCTCAAATCCCATCTCAACCCTTGCCTAATATAAATCTCAGTGTGCTTCCTACTGCTCCTTCTCTTGGCCCATTTTTCAAAAACCAGAAGACAAGTATAAAGAAAAGGGTTAGGGTTATGGGTAAATGATTTAGACTCTACCTTCCCATTCCCTAATTTTAATTTTTAAGAGAATTTTCCATGGATAGTGAATCATTAACATACCTAAGTTTCCCATAGTAAAAAGTAAAAACAATCCAGAAGAGAAGTTAAAAGAAATAATTAAGTTCTATAACAAAAGAGGAGGTTTGATGACTGAATATAAAGCTAACCATGGGGAAAATATTCAGTGTTTGTCCTACCCTACCCATGAGTGAAAGCATTCAAGAGTGAAGACAGGAAAAGATATCAAGATGTATTAAACAGGGTATTTTCATTCTAGCATTAACATGCATGTGTATACACACACATTGTGCCTTTATATTATACACATTTATACAGATGTTTGTATGTAGTGTTTGTGTATAGACAGAATGAGCAGAAAGGAACAGACAGACAGAGACAGTCAGTCATCCAAAATGGAAAGAAGAAAGAAATATTATTTGAAAGCATTCCACACATGTAATTGTACAGCTCCGGTCTGAAGCTCAGCTGCTGTTCAGGTGCTTCTGTCACAGTTAGGCACAGGTGTTCAAGTCATTCTCCTGGATTTGGAGTTGTGTTAGCACAGCTCCTCCTTCAAATCCACAATGCCCCATGGTCACCTCTGAGTTGTTTCCCATCTCTCTGAGCATAACAACTAAGAGCAACTCTCCTCTAATTCTTTAGGTGACTTTATTCAACCTCACTGGTCTAACACACCCTGAATTGATACCTGCATCACAGACTTCTCTTCTGAGCTCTGAGTTCACATTCCTGCATCTGATGTGAACTCTGGATCTTCTCACACCATACCCAAGCTGTTCCACCCAATCTTCCCCATCTCATCTGATGACAGATCTACACTTTCAACTATCTATACCAAAGGAACCCAGGGTTTTTAACTCTCTTATATCTAACCTATATTCGGTAATATGGGCTCTGCCTTCGAAGCATCTAGACTCTGGCACTCAGTATCTATTCTACTGCAATCAATATCCATCAAGATCATGTCACCCATCCTCAAATCAGTTCAATACCAACTGGTCTCCCTATTTGTACCCTCATCCTCCTTCCTATAGCTGTTTGCAAAGCACCTAGGATGAGTTCTAAAGCATGCCCAATTATAACATCCTGTTTCTCAAAAGCAATATTAAAGAACTGACAATTCAGAATAAAAGTCAAAATCTGAGGCTGCTTACAAGACACTATACAACAAGGTGATCTCCCCAGTTCCCGGCAGCACCCTGCCACTTCACCCTGCCACTTCTTGTAAGTCACAGTGGCTGCCGCCCGCCCCCTCATAGATCTGGTTACAACACTCCCTAAATAAGCCAGATGAGCTCCCAGCCCCAAACCTTTAAACTGGTACCATTTATTCTTTCTTCCTGGTTCAGCTCTTCCCTTAGACATCGTTCTGGCTTCTCCCTCACCCTCCTTGGATCATTAGTACTCTCCCTTTCTGAGTGAAGCTTTCTCTGCTCTCCCATTTAAAACTGCAACCCCACTGTCTAGTCCCAGCACTCTGTTTATGCCCTGCCTATTTATGCTTAACTGTATGTTTATTATCCTTCTCTCCCACTGGAAGGGATCTGTTTTGCTCAATCTGTTATGCTAATATAAATGATAAAGAGGAAGAAGAAAAAAATCACTTACTTAATCATTCCTGAGGGCCAGGCCCCTAACAGTCCAAGTGCTTTATATGAACTATCACATAAATGAACTTATCCCCCACATTAAGAACATGACTCAGGTCCCATTATAAATGAGAAAAGCAAAGCACAAAGAAATTAAATAGCTAGCCCCAGGTCACAAAATCAAAAGCCTGCAAAAACTGGAACCATCTGACCTTCAAATTCATGCACTTAACCGTAATCTAGAATGACAGAAAATCATTAAGTTTCTGCTATGTAAATAAAGAAGTGCATGTGCCTTAGTCAAATTTTAAAATGAGCATGGACTGGAAGGAGAGCTGAATGATTGAGCAATGGACTCAGTCTCCAGCATCACAGAACAGGGGGTGGTATGCCTTTGAGATCTCTAGGAAGGACTTAAAAGGAAATGCAGGCAGCTGAGCGTTCAAGACAACATCTACATTTTCTAATGTTTCTATAAGCTCTACTTCATTTGCAATCCGTTTTTAGTCACTGAAAAGGAATAGAAATGACACAGAAAGAACAAGGTACATAATGTCCTGGTGAACAGGCAGAGAAAAAAACATTATAGACAAATTGGTCCTGATTTTGGAAAATAAGGACGAGAAAGACAGCGGAAGGGAAGAAAAAAGAGGGAAGAGAAAATGAGCAAGGAACAAATTAATTATGGTATGAGTAAATACAAAGCTGAAGTAAGTATGTTAAGGTCATAAGGAAAACCACTGCCTGATGCCAGATGTTAACTGCACAGTTAAGTTGCTAGAATGATGGAGAACCTAGATTTACAGGACTTTAAACCTCTCCCTTCTCATATTAGCAGGCTTTTTTTCCAGTTAGTTTTGTCTAGACACTAAATAAAGCAATAAGAACCTGATGTCTAATCTCATTTGGGTAAACCTCAGCAACTTCCCATAAAAACAGAGATTTCTTCATCCTGGGTTTAAAGTGGTGATGTAAACATGTTAGTAAAGCCTAAAGTCAGTTAACCAAAATGATTACCTCAACTTGTGCTTGTTGTCTCACTAAAATTATGTTAAAAACATCTAAACTCTTCTCCAAGTCCTGCAAAACAAGAGAAAAATGATTAGATCAAAAACATACTCGATGACTGATGGATTCACCCAGTCATTACCAATACTGATGGGGGTCTAATGAAGGCATGAGCTTTTAATCTTTTTAATTTTTATAGCAAGAAAAGTAAAAGTTTTATAAGAAATTTAATCCTAATTTTTATTTATTTTTAATTAAAAACAATCTTATTTTACATACCAATCCCAGTTCCCTCTCCCTCCCATCTTCCCACTCCCCTCAGCATGTCCCCATCCCACCCCCATCCACTCCTCAGAGAGGGTGAGGCCTCCCATGGGGAAATCATCAAAGTCTGTCACATTATTTGGGGCAAGACCCAAGCCTTCCACCCTGTATCTAGGCTGAGCAAAGGAGTTTGAAAATAACACTTTTTCTGTGAGACATACATAACTGCACATAAAAACAAGAATGGAGATGAAGAGATGGCTCAGTGGTCAAGACCACTGACTTCTCCAACAAAGGAACCAAGTTCAATTTCCAAAACCCACACGGGCACTCACAGCCATCTGTAGCAGGAGATCTGATGCCTTTTCTGACCTCCACAGGCACCAGGCACACATGGTGCACAGACATGCATACATGCCGGCAGAACACTCACACATATAAAATAAATAACATCTTTAAAAAGTTTTTTTTAAAAAAAGGAAGGGAAGTGGAGGGCTGAAGAGGTGTCTGGAAAACAGGCCTGGATTCCCTGCAGAGGAGTGGAGCTTAGTTCCCAGCACCCACTACCACCTATAACTCCAGCTCCAGGGCATCTGATGCCCCCTTCTTGCCTCCTGTACTTTGTTGTATATAAAAACCCACCCACAGACATGCATATACACATAATTTTAACACTGAAATTTAAAAATGATAAAAAAGGAGATTTGTTTTCAGGTAGTGTGTGTGTGTGTGTGTGTGTGTGTGTGTGTGTGTGTGTGTGTGTGTGAGAGAGAGAGAGAGAGAGAGATCCTTACGTTTTACTCTCCCCTATTCAGTATTATTTTATAGCATTTTATAGCAACTATATCATTACAAAGAAAATTAAAAAGGGAATGTAAATTAGTTGAGTCACCACATAGACTAAAGAAAAAAACTGAGACTCTAGCATTTACTGGATACCCGTATCTCAGGTAATTCATGTATTTCGTTTATACATCTCTTGGGACTGTAAGACAGATGTAGTTTTCACTTTATTCCTGAGGATAAAACAATATACTTGAGAAGCTGAGAAACCAGAGTCGGTGACCAGAACACCTGGTAAGCACGGGGCAACTGAGTCCCGATCTTCGGCTCCCACACCTATGTTCTTCCTGATGCGTCACAATGGTGACTATCATGATTCATAGGCACAAGAGTCCAGCCCAGTCTCACAGCCCGGACACCAGGACTCGATGGCAGCAGCCACCAGAAGCTAGAAAACTAATTCTGTATTCAGGGTACAAGTGAGACCCCAGGCCTTCCTCAAGGAAGAAAGCGGTTTTGTTTTGTTTATAAATAATACTTTAAGTTCTAAAAGGGAGAGAACACTACAGTATATATATGAAGAATTTTATGAATAAAACAAGATGCAACAAAAGAACATTTAAATGAGTCTGATGTCCATTTTTGAAACAATAGTAGAAAACCAAACACATTTTCCCAAATAGTCTATAGTAGTTTTACTGTAATTGACATTATGTCAGGGAAAAGGGATTGCCAGTTCATAAAAAGGAAGAAAAAAAATAAAGAATACACTTTTTTCATATAATTCTCCTCAAAGTGATGAGTCTGTTCTTTGTCAAATAGCTTTCTAATTCAAGCTGTATACACAGAATATTAAAGGAGCTAGATATAGCAGTATGAGCCTTTAATCCCAGCACTCAGGAAGCAGAAGCAGGTGGATCTCTGTGAGTTCAAGACCAACCTAGTCTACAGAACGAATTCCAAGGTAGCCAGGGCTACAGAATGAGACCCTGTCTCAAATAAACAAACAGAGAATATTAAAGAGTGATTAGTCATATAGCAATACTAACATATGCAAAACATACCTGAATTTGTTTCTGTATTTCTTCTGAGACTTTCGTTTGTGTTAACTTGTTTTTGTAGGCAATTTTGTAACTCTTGAGTAACTGCCGGTGTTTTTTTATGTTACTCCATGACCACATCTGAGTATATCTTCTTATATGAACTTCAAGAACAGAATCAATTGCATATTTCCACCTAAAGTCAAATGTTGTTAATGTACACATGGACATAAGGGTGTAAGGAAATAGTTCTGACTTTTCAGAGATACCACATTGATTTTTTTGTTGTTATTGTTCTTCTTTTCACCATCTTCCAGTAACACTGCAAGCCCCCCAGTATAGCTCTCTGACCTAAACAGAGTAGCAAAAGATACTCCAGGGAGAGGGCATGCCAAAGCAAACCCACAAAGGCACAAAATGATACATGTGGAAAACAGTCCAGTCACATGCCAGACAGCAACTTCTCACTAAATGGCAGACCACATACAGCACAATGGCTTCTTACAATTACATTACCCTGTGATGTCATAGCTATCTTAGTTCACACTGCGTGATGCCCACACAACCATGAAAAGCATTTCACATGATACATCTCCACTACTAAGTGAAACATGCCTACAGGCTGTGTTCTACTGATTACTGTCTTGAGTTCATATGGATGACTAACAAGGCTTTTTAAAACATGCTCAAAGTCTGGAAAGTTAAAACTTTGGGAATCCGGAAGCGGAATATAAAACAAGGCATTTGTGAGAAGACAACATCAACAGCACAAACAAAAAAGATCTCTCTTTTTTATTGTTTTAGAAGGGTCTAGACAACTACAGCTTAAGGGTTTCTTAACTCTGAATGCCCAGACTACATGGATTATTCATTTCTCATAAAATAAAAGAACAAGAGCTAAGATGATGACTCAGTAGTCAATGTGCTTGATGAACAAGTAAAAGATGCAAACCTGAGTTTGCATCCCCAGAATGCACATAAAAGTTGGGGGAAAAGACAGAACTTAAGGGCTTGCTGGCCAGCCAACAGAGATGAAATGGGAGAGTTCCAGATTCAGTGAGATGATGTCTCAAAAAGTAAGGGATGAGAATAGAAAGGACGACATTAACATCAACCTCCAGTCTTCACACATATCCACAAAGGCAAGCAGAACCTCACATCTACAACACACAGAGAGAGAGAGAGAGAGACAGACAGACAGACAGACAGACAGACAGACACAGAGAAAGAAAATAATTTTTAGATAAAAAGAGCAAATTCTAACTTACCATTGCCGACAATTGGTGTGAAGTGGTAAACAAGGTTTGTACTTCCTGTATGGGGCATTTCTAAACATATAATCCAGTGACTCCAAAAAGTCAATCATACTTAAGTACTATTGAAACAAGAACAAAATTAGGTTTGTTACAGTGAACATACAAATAAAATTAGATCGGATTCTCCTTTTCTAGAGGACCCCAAAATTCAATAATATACTAACTATGCCTGATTAAACCTGAGATTATCAATTAGAAATAAAAACATGATATTTTAAGTTCTTCTATAAAAGAAAACTGTGCAGCTATTTAAACTGTCAAATGACCAATAATAGACACTTTTTTTTCAGTATTCTAAAATGAGAAATAAATGCCTATTTTAGCAATAGTGAAATTGTGTTTTTTCCCAGTATTGGAAGTATCTGTGTTTCTAAACCTGTCCACTTTTCCTCTGGAGCTTCACTTTTGCCACAGCTATAGGAGCCAACTTCCAATCTGCTCCAGAAAACTGACACATAGCTAAGCAAGATGAAGCTATACACGCACTCAATTTACTGCCAATACAACTCTGTGTTGTGTAGACCTGACAAACAGCTCAAATGAAGAGAGACACACAAGGAAGGGGTGAGAATGCTCACAGGCTCCGTCAGAAAAAGGTCTAGCTTCCTTTGGATTTTCCTCAATACAATTCTACCTAAGGGTTACCTGAGAAATGTGTCTAGCCTAACCTTCAGCAATAAACTCCATCCAAGATTTCAAAGGCATAAGGGAGAAATAACTAGTTATAATTTACATTCACAGTGTTATGAAATAAAATTATAGAAACATTATGTTAGGCAAAATGGATTATTAAGGTTTGTTTTAAGCTAAACATGATGGTACACATTTATAATCCTAGCACTCAGAAGTCTAAGACAGAAGAAACACTATAAGTTTAAAGCCATCCTGAGGTAAATAGTGAGTTCTGGACCAGGCAAAAATAAACAGATGTTATTTTCCTTGTTGGTAAAGTAGCTACTAGAAACTCTAAAGTGACAAAGGCCATTTACAGTATATTTATTAGAGAGCATTAAGCTATAAGCCCAGGTATCAACACTTCTCATCCTCTCAATTGAAGTCTCCAGGGCTGCCATCCAAAGCTTCCAGGCATATAACCACACTTGGAAAACAAACACAGGAAAAACAGCTGCTCTAAAAACTAAAACAATAGTACTTGGGTGTCTGCTATTAAAAACTGAGATGATGGGGTTGGAGAGATAAGTCAGTGGTTAGGAGCAGGGGCTTTTTCTTACAGAGGGCCTGGGTTTAATTCCAGCACCCACATGGTAGCACACAACCCCCAATAGCTCCAGTTCCAAAGGATCCAACACCCTCAACTCATCTCCTTAGACCCCTGCAAACCCATACATACACAGAGGCTCACACACTATATATAAATAGAAATAAACTTTTAAAAAAACCTAAAAAGGTGGCTGGCATGATGGTTCATGGAGTAAAGGCTTGTGCCAAGCCTAAAAACCCAAGGTCAATCCCCAGAGCCTACAAGATGGAGGAAGAAAACCCGACTCTTTCAAGTTATCCTCCGATCCTATACCCATGCACACATGCGTACACACACATGCTTGCACGCACACACATGCTCACACGTATACACACACAGTCTAATAGATGAGAAGAGAAAAATAAAAGTAGAAAAGCAAACTAAAATTGTCCTATAATTATGAATTCAAAGGAAATATCATTCACTATAGTTTAATAAGATCAAGTATCATTTGTGAAAAAGGTCAGATTAATGGAAACTGTCTGAAATTTCTCTTCAACCGGCTTTTTTGGTTTTGGTGGCTTTTTGTTTTATGTTTTTTGCATAAAATGTCAACAGAATGAAACAGAAAGTACCACCAGACCATAGGGAATGAGTAATAACAAGGACAATTGAAAAAATCAGGATTCAAAGCTAATTAAAGCCAGCGGTATCTAAAGAAATCTTACCTGAGGCTTCGTCAGCTCAATGGCGATATTTTGTACTTCTATGTTCCCATCAAGTTTGGGTGTTTTAAGTTCTGATTCTGCACAAGGATTCATGTAGAGTTTTGCAGAGGCCGATATTGGCTGGAAAACTGACATCACATGGAAAGACATAGATATGTTTACATACTCTTATCTATGAACAACTATGAATAATTATGAGAATATTGCACTTTGAAAGTAAAAAAGTAAATGACACCATGTATATGCAACAAAATCACTATCAAGAAATGTGAAGCCAGGCGGTGGTGGCATGCGCCTTTAATCCCAGCACTCGGGAGGCAGAGGCAGGCGGATCTCTGTGAGTTCGAGGCTGGGCTGGACCGACAGCCTCGAAAACAATACAGAGAAACCCTGTCTCGTAAAAAAAAAAACAAAAACAAAAAAAAAAAGAAATGTGAAAGGCATATGAACTCACAGAGACAGTGAAAGCATGCACAGGGCCTACACAAGTCCAAGCCAAATGAGAGGTAGAAGTAGACACGATTTCCCATCCCTAACCAAGAATCTATCTCCAAATGACAACTTCATGAAGGAAACTCAGTTTCTCTAAGGGAGTTTTACTGGGTATACAAGCCACACTTAAGGACAGGCCCCATGCCTATCAATAGATAGCCAACACAAAACTAACTCACTGCTTTTTTGGAGATTTATTTTTGTCTCATTATGCTTTGTCTGGGCATTTTTTTTCCTTACTAGTCTTCTGTTTATATATTATAGTTTCCAATTTTGTGTTTTTATGGCTTTTCTGTGTATGTCTATGTCTTTGCATGTGTACGTGCTTCTCATGCTTTTTCCTTTCTCTGGTTTGCTTGCTTTTGTATTTGCCTGTTTTCTAATGAAAAAGAAAGAAGGTGTGGAGTTGTATGAATGAGGAGATAGAAAGGATCTGGGAAAGGATGAGGGAAGGAAAACAGTGATCAGAATATATTGCAGAAAAAAATCTATTTTCAAGTTAAAAATAAAGAGAGATAGAAACATACAGAGACAAGCAAATACACAGAGCAAAAGAGAAAGAAGAGAGAGACAGATACAAGGATCTACTTTTCTGTATAAAACAAATTAGGGAGATCATTGGGTAAACACAATGCCCCTAGAATTAACTGAAGTCGTGTGCTCCCAGGTAAGGAGTATATGGAATATAGACAGTCCCTATCTAAAACTGGGTTTCTCTGTGATTTAATAATTTAATGTTCATTTAAAACATTAAAACAAAGAGAAAAATAGAACCTAATATCTGTCTTAATCATTGGCAAAACTTAGAAACAGAAACATAAATAAAATCATCCTAGGAAACAAATTACCAGTGTAGTGTTTTCAAATTAATCATACACAGACAACCTTAAGAAAAACTAAAAATGCTCTTGAGGTTGAATGACAGTAAAAACGAAAAACTATACTAGGGATGATGACTGTAAATAGTATCAAAGTCATATAGATGTATTACCTTATGGTAATTATAATTTGCATTAGATTATATAACATTTTAACTTATTTATATTACTCATAAATGCCTGAGAATTAAGTTGTATATCCTCTGAACTAGTTTATCAATGAAACTAAAAACTTTAACAAATGCTGTCATTATTCAAGTGTATGAACATAACAGAAAGTGGCATCTTCTAATGGCAATGAGGTACAAAGGACAGGAAGAAAAGCCACAGAGAACCAGGACAATTTGAATATGGAAAGAAATGAACGTGAAAGCTAATGACGATTACAAAGAATTACAAAGTTCACTGAATAAAAGCAAATGAACAGCTTCTTAGAATGAAACTGAGAGGGGAAAGCAGATTCATAGAATAAAAATTCAGGCAGCCCTGTCAGGAAAATAAAGTAGAAGCTACCAAAAACCTTTAAAAGTTCACTTTAAAAAATATCCAGTATGATTGGCTTTACACTGCTAGAAGTGACCTGAATCCACAAATCCAAAGATTCCAAAAGGGAAAGAGGGAAAGCAGAGAAGAGAAAAGGAGAAAGAAAGGGAGGGGAGATTGAAGGGAGAGAGAGAAGAGGGAAGGAACACTATAACAAGATCAGAGAAAGCACAGAGGTCGAAGGAGGTTGGCTACTCTGCCCTCCTCCGTCATTCTCCAGTACTGCATGGTTACAGTCTAGTCCTAAGGAGTTACTGTGCAAACACATATGTTCTAAAGCCAAATACCATAAAATAACACATTCTGCTTGTTAAAGTAACATCATTTAGAAAAGCTTGTGAAAACATTGACTCCATGTCTTGTCTAAAAAACCAACTGTCTCTGGTACTCACTGTACTGATGGTTTGGGGGGATGTTTCTACTTGTAAGAATTTCACGCTTTAGTTGATCCTAAAGAGATTTAAAGTTGAAAATGAGAGAGAAATACACACTTAGCTACACATATAAAAAAATTTTTAAGAATGGTTCTCACATTAGTACCTTCACTGATCTCTTTTAACAACTAGTCCATAAGAAACATAAAGCATAAGTTTATAGGTATTTCTCTTTATATTAAAGATACAATAAAGATAACTAAATATCTAAGAAAGCAAATATAGTCTTCTCTATAAGAACCACCCATAGATAGATAAATATCAAAGGCTGAGTCTCTGTTAGAGTGTTTCTGGAGTCCGGCCCCCTCCTCTAACCGAACAAATAAGACACTGGCTCAATATACTGAAACACTGAATCGCCGGCCCACCATGTAGGAAATCATTATCATAGCTATTTAAACACTTGTAAGACACATGTCCCCGGGTCTGACAGGTGGCATCTTCACAATACTCCCAATCCACCTTACAGGAAACCAAATAGTAAAAATGCCACCAAAATGAGCATGAACCACCACAGAGGACACAGTAACAGGCTCCCCTGTCACTGTTGAGTGGACGGTTTCAGAAAGATCTTCAGATTCACAGTGGTCAGAGACAGATGGAGTACAAGTGTTTTCACACCCATGGTTTAGTGATAGGCCAGTTAAACAAATGACTGACAGCCTGTTCTCACGAAGGATCTCCCTTTCAAACACACTTCTGGTGTGTAGTTAGTGCTTCAAGACAGAAACTGAAATTACCAAAATATGCTCCCTTGATCCATGGTAAGACATGTGGCAGCCAACATTCCAGTAGGCACTGAGACTGTCAAGTTTCACAAGCTATGCAAGAAAAATGAAAGTGGTCAGGCAGCGCACCCTGAAATTGTACATCAGCATTCAACAACTGCCCTCATGCTCACTGGAATTCTGAACTCCCAGAGCAAAGACAATACGCAAAAAGAAAGGGGCCAATACATAGGACTGTTTTAAGTTTAGCATTTGTTAAACTGCATTTCTGGGAACACATTTTCAGAAGATTCACATTCATTCAATTATCAAATAGTGAGAATTGAGCATGTAACAGATTGTTTTTGCTAGATAGGAAAACACAAGCTCCCTCCAGCAGTTATCAATGGCTGCCCTGTGTGTGTGTTGGGGAGGGTGGGGGTAGGAGGGAAAGGGGCCTGTGGTTAATAAGGCAGGGAAAGCTACAGACTGTCTGTTATCACTGCTGGGGAACCACCATGCTTAAGAGCCATGTCAAGCACTCAGGAATCATGTAGTCACACACAGAGCACACCCTGCTCAGTTATGCCAAGGGTGGAGCTTGACCAGTTCTCTTGCCTGACCACAAACCACTTTTTCTACATCTAACACCTCAATTCCCTAGTCTCTCATAAAACACCCTTTGGGGATGCTGCTTGGATCCAGATCCTTCACTTAATGAATGAAGAACCTAAACTTCAGCATAGATAAGTGATCACAGAAAGTCATGCGGCATAAGCTTAATCCAAATCGGATCTTAGACTTTTTCCACCTTTATTACCAAACTATAAAGACAAAGTAAGTACTTTAAATCTAGGGAATTTAGGTCTCACTTAGTCACTCACATTGAACATAATTTTCCCTAATGACCTAACTTTGCCAAGGAATACATCAACCCTGTTAGAAGACCACTGACACTCAACACGTTTTAAATGTTTCTTCCCTGTCATCTGGCTGTTAAACACTCAATCCAGTATGATACCTAAGTCTGTCAAAGGCAACAAGTAGTATTTTAAAATTCATCAATAGGTTCTTTAACAAACTGATTAAGACAGCCAATCTAAAACTAGTATCTACTCTTTTAAATGCAAGAGTGGTCACATGTAGATCAACCCAGAATACTACTTGGCTAAAATTTAGAAACATTAGTTCCATAAATACATTGGATGTCTTTAAGATTAAACATAAGTAGACTACCACAACGAGGAGAATTGAATGGGATGCCCAAGACTGCATACACAATTTTGCCTGGCATGCTGCCTGTTTTATCATAAATACAAAGGTCGTCAAGTTTCCTCTACATACCAGCATTTTATATGGCCAAAAGCAATTACCAAGAACTGGTTCATTTACTAGATTCCAATGTGCTGCTTGTACTTACTCTCACCCTCTCCCAAAGTTTTTGAGGGCTTAGATGTGTTACTCTTGATCTATCCTTAAAATGTACTTACAGACACCTTTGCAGAGTTTGCATTAAAATGACTAACTGAAGACACTTTGGGGGTAAAATGAAACCAGACACCTCTCCAAGCTGCCTCCAGTAGCTGGACTCTGATGTTGCTGCTCCACCCTACCATCTGGCTAAACAGTTACTTCAACACTTAAAGACCTTATCCACATGAGTGTAAAAATCGATCCCCAGTAAGAAATTCTAAAACCTTACATATGAGCAATATAATACCTTATATATAATTTTTTCTGCTTCATTTAGAATGCATGGAGTCCAGTGCTCATTTGTTGTCTAAAAAGAAAAGAAAGTCAACTCTTACAAAGCAGTACATGTCATCCAACACTCCAGTATCTGTAAGCAATAATCAAGTAATTTAAGAAGAAAAGGGGCCAGCCAGATGACTCAGTAGATAAAAACAATGGCCGCCAAGTCTAACAACTTGAACTCAACACCAGGACCCACAAGGGGACAACAGAATCCCACAAGTTGTCCTCTGACTTCCACATGCATGTTGTGATACACACATGCCCCTCCATACACACACACACACACACACACACACAGACACACACACACACACATACACTTTGTCTACTCTTTGGAAACCCTACAGAATAATACCAAGTATGAGGTCAGAACACCACAGTCATCTGCTCCTTCCCCTCATATGTAAGGTACAGCATCCATTTCTTCTAAATGGTTTAATATTTGTTATGTGGGAAAATTTAAAAAGTCAAAATAATTACTAAATATAAAATATCACTGAAAATTGTGAAATTGTAGAAAATGTACAGCAAGAGAATTCTTCAGCAACATAAAAGCTCTTTGAAGCAACAATGTGCCTTAAGCTATTCAGTTGATTTCAGAATATTAATATTTCACAGATCCCACAGATATTTTAAATAACCAACTTTACCAATAGACTAAATTCTCCCAGCGTGACACCAAAGGAAAGTGGCCTTTCTGGATCAGTCACCTACCAAAGAAAAAAGGGAACATTAAAACATGAGGTGGTGGAACCGTTAAAACAGCATCTCCCCAATATGTGGTCAGCCCAGAACACATGTATATATGAACAACAAAAAACGAATTCAGAGGTAGTTTTTGTTTTTGTGTAACTAAAAATAATGATTTTAAAAAGATGAGGTCATTAATTTGAGACAAAGGACTTGGAGGGGTGGAAGGGAGGGATGGAAATTATGTAAATATAGTATGTGTATGCAATTCTCAAGAAATAAAAATTTGAATTTAAATAAAATGTAAAATTAATGATAAAAATCATAAATAGCAAGTAGATACATGTCTAGGAGGAAGGCACACAGCCCAAGGAACTTGGGAAGGAGGGAGGGGAGCCCTGGACACGGCCATGTGTTGATAGGGGCATTATGACAGCTCCTATGCCACTAACTGGGTATTTTCCCAGAACTCTGGTTTCCTACAACTAAGAAGCTCTGTAGCTATAACCGACAGATTGCGCATGTATCACAATGTTCTTCACAGACAGGTACAAGAAGGCATTACAGATGGCAACTTCACCACTGAATAATGGCTCCAACACCTCAGATTTCCATCTTTGGAAACATGAACTATCTTTTACTTCCCTTGAGTCTTCAAAACTGCCTGGAAAGGGAAAATACTAGGTTTTGTGCTTTGCTGGAGTTGTTTTACTTTTCTTGAGACAGGATCTCGCTTTGTAGCCCAACCTGGTCTTGAACTTTCAATCCTCCTATCGCAGCCAGGCTTCAGAATCTTAGTACATAACTTCCCAAGTCTACTTACCTCAAATCTCCCAATGATAAATTGCTTTTCTGTCTCTGAACTTTGATATATGATATTTATAGACAGTGTTTAGCCTGTGCATGATGTCAAGTCATAAACAACTGTACGCTTGTGATAGAGGCATGAACTACTAGAAAAGGAAATGTAAATATTGTTCTAAGTCATCCCAAAGGAACTCCATAGTCTTTGCAAACAAGAAATATATATGCATGCTCTGGGGTAGCTGGAGAGCACAAACAGCTTCATAGATTTTATTTGCAATAAATACAAATAAATATTTAATTTATATAAATATATAATGGGAGTCATGTGTGGTGGTACACACCTGTAATCCCTGTACTCAGGAGAAGGAGGCAAGCAGCCATGCTCAACTACATATAAAGTTTAATGACAGCTTGGCCCACATGAGACCTCATCTCAAAAAAAAAAAAAAGAAAAGAAAAAATGTGTCCGTGTATATCTGTGTCTCTGTGCATGTGTGTCTGTGTCTGTGTGTGTGTCTGTGTCTCTGTGTGAGAGGGTGGAGAGAGATAGAGAGAAATGATTTATTCATCTTTTAATAATTACTTCAAAATAACTTACAGCTATTTCAGAAGGAATTCTGATACAGTTCAACTCCACACTGCTAAAAAAAAGTCTACCTGTGATTCCCCAATACACATTTCTTACATCCCATATTTCTCATGCTTCTAGATAAAATGAGGCAACTACCCTGAAAGACATGTGATATAAGAACTGTTCACACATTTAAACTTTCTTCCTTTTAGGTTATTTTACTGTATTTCATCATAGGTCACAGATACCAATCTAGATATGATTGAGTGGACTCCTATGGATCTCTGTACATTTCTTATTAAACAGAAAGAAGTCACATGACTTTCTAATTGTACTTTCAATGGTGAAAAGCTTAGATAGGTTCAAACTGAGGTTCTCACTCAGTACTATGAATCTAGGATACACAGAGTAAAATGTGACGTTTCCATAACTGGATTTACTCTGGAGGACTGGAACCTGGGTAATTTACCTCATGCTCTGATTATTTCTTATTTCTCATAACCATCAGTTGACTCTGCATTTGACTTTCTAAATACCAGATATAAACATCTATATGTAGTACTATATGCAGTATCTTCTCTGTGTACCTAGCTTATTTCACTTAATTCCAATCACCAGCCCCAGCCATGTTACTATGAATGGCAGAACGGCCTGTTTTCAGGCAAAAAGTACTTCACTGTGGAAAGGTTCAGTATTTTGTTATTTCTGCTCATTTGCCTACTGTATTTCAGCTGCTCCTATATCTAGGCTATTGTGAATAACACTGCAAATGTCTCTTCAAGATGTTCACTCAGTTTATTTGGCTATATACCCAGAAATCAGTTGTGGATCTGATTGTATTCTTAATTTTAGGTTTCAGGGGAAAGCACTCTAGATTTTAAAACTAGTTAGATCATTTACATTTGTAATATAGAAACATCCCCACTTCTCCACACAGATTTAACAGTAGCTCTTTCACTTCAATACTGCACGGAGTATAATTTTTCCTGTTTACTATAACCAAGGACATTTAAGTTGTTATCAAATGTTTAATTCCTCCAGGAAGCCAAAGACAAAGTGAGTAGTAGAGTGTTTTGTTTTGTTTTGTTTTCCTCAATCTATAAATACATCTTATTAAATAGTGTTACACAGAGAACCCAGGACAGGGAACTAAAACCCTGTCTATCACTATGTTTCCAATCTAGTCAAAACTTAAGGCAAATTAACAAGAGAATGCAACTTGACTTACGTCAAGACTGGCTTCGAAGCCACTGTGGGTGCTCACGAGCTGTTCGTGCCCACTCCAGGCATAGGTTAGAGGCTGTAACTACACTGACCCACTGGCCCTGTCTGCTGGCTGACATTACCAACAGTCACTCCATCACCTTTCAGAACTAATTGTTTTGACAATATAAAAACGAAATTAGCTTCCTAAAGTTACATCATAACATGTACAACAAAATCCACATAAACCACAGAGAATAGTCACATGGTCTTACACTATATTTATGTGTGTAGAGCTCAGCAAACACAGCCCAGTGGAAAAGTAAAACACTGGTAATTTACAGGAGTAATTACCTTAAATTTAAATTGAGTTCAAAAAATCTGCAGATGGAGTATCATAAGATACAGAATATCACAAAACACATTTAATAACCAACTTAAAATACTGAAATCACTTACGTCATCTTCATATTTAATGTGAATGTCTGTGATTTTCACTTGAACATTTTTTATTACTTGAGTTGCCAATTTTTCCAAAAATGTATCTTTTTTTGCTTCTTTGGGCTTATCTATGGAAAGAGAAAAACGGGAGCTCAAGACTTGCAGCTCTCATACAGCTCATGACTGACGGCCAAGGAGTGCTACGGGCACTACACAACAGAAATTCTACACAACGTATTCTAGGGCCCTCTCTTAGATCTGCTTTAGAGCCTGATATACAGTTCCAACTTAAAGTTCAGTTTTATATTTAATCTGTACTCTAATGTTCATTTTACCTTCCAAGACAGAAATCAAGGTGTAAAAACAGCACAGGGAGAGAACTGTGTGTACCTACCTTTGGAGCGATCAAGACCTTTAAAACGTTTCTTAAAATGTTTTTTGTGCTTTTTACGCTTACGTCCTTCTCAGTGGAAGCATTTTAGTGAGAAAAGGATAAAAGTCAAGTTAGCAGACAAGAGGACAGAAAAGAAAATAAGAGAATTCTTCCTGACATCAAAGCCCAGCATCACTTACCTCCATCTACACTGACTGACCTACTACAACATAAACACAAACTCACAAACTTCCTTTCTAGATCAACAATCTTTAATCTAGAAAATAACTTGGCAGGCACAGTTACACAAAACACAAAGAAGATATATCCATTCCCACTGGGGTTTTAATATGCATAACTACACATTTACAGTGTCACTTTAAATTCAATGTCACCAAAATATCGGAAATGTAATGATGATGATATAAAACCTTCAGGGAAAGGTTTGGAGCAATGTGTGGCAGGGACATGGGAATAAAATGGGATGAATGGTTTGAGCGCTGATGGCCTCTCTAGGTGATACACTTCACAAACGGAACTGCTTAGGCATGGTTTATAGCTCATGAAATTATGAGGGCATGGGGCATAAAATGCATACTAAACAGTACATTCAGCTAGCAGTCATTCCTTTCCATTGCATCCTTCTTTATTTGGCATTTTCACATTAACCAACATCTTTCTGACCCAGCCTGTGAATGTTCTACATGTTCTACTCAGCAGGCAGGCAGGCAGGCAACAGCTGTGACCTGAACTCCCCAAGGATATTCCCCTGACTCTGTGCCCATCCTCACATTCTGCTAAAGGACCTTCTGCATTGCTACTGCATCTAAGACACTAGTTGAGCCCATCAACCCTCTGTTCACAATCATTTAAGGCTCTCTGCAGTCCGCCAAATAAAACCAAACGTGTCTGCACGACATGAGCCTGACCTCTGTTACTCCTGCCAGTCATGCATGCATAGGAAACTGCAGAAATGTCCACTGCGATTTATGAAGTTGTAATTGGGATGTTAATTGTATGAAACAAACATACGCCAATGTCTACAGCCTCCCTACACATTATTCTTTAAACACGCTGCCATCCTCAAGTTTCCTGAACAAACTTCTAGGCAGTACTGTCTCATGTCCAAAACTCCTGCCATATGACTCACTGCCTGTGTGAAGCTTTGCACAGCTACTCTGAGCAGCCCAGGGGTCTGTACCTTACACAAAATTCTAATAATCACAATCGGCGAGGGCATCGTATCTGCAGTGTTTGCCTGATTGTTTTGCTAGTGAGCAAGAGGTTCCTATGCAGTAGGAGGCTTCCAAGGACAAAGATTCATATCTAAGCAAAATGTACATAATATTTGTCTGTTCAAATGAATTAAAACATCTACACATAAATATTATAACAAACTATAAAAATAAGTTGGAGATGTGTATATAGCTACAAACTAGTTTGCTTTGTTGATATTTGCAAACTGTTCTACCATAAAATTAAGACATGAACTTGGGTTACAGAAATAAACTGTTTCCAGAAGAAAGCACATACACACATTACAGAAGCTGGATAGCACAGACACTAGAGTTTCCCAACACAGTCACAGTTCCTGACTCTACTCCACAAATCAAACATACAGAAAGACTGAGTTCTCAAGAAACACCACTTGGGAAAAAGTGAGAAAGCCAGTGCTGTCCAGAAACCACTCCACTAAGCTGGAGTCTCCAGACAGGAGACATTATCACCCTAGCTTTGCAGGTGGTCTCCCCTGTTCCATCTTTAACATCAGCAAGTGGGGCACCATATCAGTGCCTGAAACTGTTTCAAATCTACAAGAGGATGACATAGTGATGAAAGTTCCTAATTAATCTAACAAAGAATAAATTTATGATTCTCAAACACCCTAAAACAGTTGGTCTTCGGACCCTTTAATTCACATTTAAAGCATAAGCAACTTGAAGGGTTTTTAAGTAACATAGACTATAATTATTCATATTTATCATGCTGGAAATAAAGACAGAAACTATTTTCTTAATTCATTCAAAATAATATTAAGCCATCACTTGATTACTTACAATCATACAATATATGTATACATACATTGTATATGTATACATACACACACACACACACATATACAATTTAAAGTCATAATGAGAAGAATCACATGATCCTTCATTTTGGTGAATCCCCTTAATATCTGGCTTAGTAGAAGATGGCTAGAGTCACATATCTGTTTCTGCCTTCAATCTACTGAGATATGCTGTTCTGACTGAAGTACATGATAGAAGTATGACTTCAAAGCAGATATGCAACTGGAAAAGAGAAGAATGTTTTCATGGTCGTTTTGTATAATTACAGGGAAGGCACTCAAGTTCAGTGAGTGGAGTTTCTTAATTATAGTTTTATAGTCAGCCAAATTACAATCAGTTGGCCAGCTCACACATTATGTGGGCCTTTCACACACCCATGACTCATCACTCACTGGTTATAGGAAAATCATGCTGCAATGAGCTAGGCAAGGCACTCAGGTTCAGTCTTCTCACTGTTTAACACAAGAGGCACTTTTGCTGGAATCACCACCAGTCTCATGGGAAAATCTGGCCATCCTAGGTAGCTGTCAAGTTCAAGGTGGCAAACGAGGGGGTTCTTAAATTTTTAATGTTTCCTTAAAAGCTACTTATATATGCCAGTTCACTTTTACTTTGTTTTATGAAGTAGCTACACACTCAAACTTGAATGATGACAATCTGCCAATCTTTCAAGCAAAAACACACTTTGTTCATAAGAAGCAACACCGGCTAACAACTCCCACATCTACACAAATAATCACCCTTGAGAATCATCCTACTTCAGCACTCAGAAATGCTCCACACATACTTTCTCTTGCGTCCAACAAAATTTTAAAGACCTGCTCAAGAACTGTTTGTTAAAATTAAAATTCGATTTTATCAAGAACAAACTTTAAGAAATGCTGGCACAGTTTGTTTTCTTTTGCTTCTGTAGTGAGTGCAGAGTAACTAAGATCACAATGACTAGTGGTACACAGTGACGTTCCCTGCCAGGCCATGGCAGCCACTGAGTTCACAAGCCATTGCCTATACACCTGCACACAAATGTCAATTCCGTGAAAAATTGAATGCTTTGATAGCATTATAAAAATAGCCAGCTTTGCCTTTCTGAGAATCACTGCTCTTAAGCTTAAAAAAACATGGTGTGAAATAAGGGAAGAATATACATTCAGAAATTGAAGGGGGAAACTATCATTAAGTACACATTAGCTCCTAGCTAAAGAAACGAAGCCATCATCAAATGAACTCTTCTCACTGCACTTCACTTTATCCAGAATTATTTTAAAATCTAAAAGAAGAAAGATCGGTTAAGGCTTCCTTCATGGTGACTTCTGCTGGCTTTTAACAGGGGTTGTGTAAGGTATTAGGATGGGTCACCAACATTCATTTATAACTTCCAAGTAGAATTTTCATAGAAAGACCAGAAAACACTGGCACCAGTGACAACACAGAGAGAGCCAGCCCATTACAGCCTGTAAAATGGCACAATGAGCCTTGAGGCTCCCCCAAGCTATCCTCTGTATTAAACAAAGTAACAAATCAGCAGTCAGCCACAGTAGATTTGTAAAAAAAAAAAAAGAAAAAGAAAAAAGAAAGAAAAAGAAAAAGAAACTCTTCTCACGATAATTTCACTTAATGCTGTGAATCTGCCATGTAAATTCTCCCTATTGTCAAAATGAACATATATATTAAAGAAGCTTCTATCTGCATAAGAATTCTAACATAGAGCTCACTTTAAAATTTGAGATTCAGATCCACTTACCATTTAGCCAAAGCAAGTCTAAAGTGTGATTAAATTAACATAAAAAACTCCTGAAGAGTTACAAAACACGTAACATTTTATTTAAAATGTAAAAATTGTTAGTACATATCTGGTACAAATCCTAGTGTACAAATGGTTCCCTTCTAAATCCTACAGCAAACAGCCTTCAGTTTGCATTTGTGGAGCTTCAGGTTTCAACACACTGTACAGGACAGCAGACTAGAGAAGATTACACAGTCAGGGAGGACATGAGGAGAATCGCAGGCTTGAGGCTCTGAATGAAATATTACAAAAAAAAATGCATCTTACTCTTGCAAATTTGAAAATCTCTGCTGTAAGCAAGAGAAAGCACTCATGGGGAAGGACTACTACTGTACTAGAAAACTAAGGCCTAAGGGCAGCATGACTGTCATAATCACTTGCAGATATGAGAGCTCTCCACAGGGGCTCTCTCCCAGCACTGGTGCTTACTGGCTGCTAGCCTAGGTCCAAGCTCCTTGAGAAACTCTGTCTCAAGGGAGCAAGGCAGAGTGGTAGAGTAGGACCTGCCCTCCTCTGTGCTTGCTGACCCACGAACACCAAGCTCCCAGAATAGTTTGCCAGAAGGCACTCGAAGGTTCAGTGAATGAGTGGATGGCTGCAGAAGGGAGGGAAGGGATGGTGAGGGTATGAACATGAATTACATTTCCGTATTTCTCAAAGGATGGCACACCATCAAATGGATCCACAAAAAAGCTCAGGCACGGATAAGAACAGCAATTTCTTGAAATTAAGTATAATTAACCATGCATACCCACCAGGCTTGACATCCTTGTAAAGCAAGTTTTCCAAGCCATACACGAACTCCCCTGCATGTGCACCTGCATCCCACGGCAGCAGTAACCGAAACACAGAGCATTATAAGACACCTTTAGTTTTGCATGGGAAATACACCTAAACTTAAGTGCAAAGACTCAGAAACCACATGACGGGACAAGTGAAGAGTCAGTAACAGTAAAAGCACCCATTCCTAAGGAAACATTCCCAGTGACATCAGGTCCATTCTTTCAACAAACAAACCTTATTTTCATATTAAAACAAAAATTATCATCATGAAAGTCATAAAAATCAAGTAGGTCGAAGTAGGTAAACAGCAGTGACAGCTCAGGTCTCACTGTAATTTTCATTTTCAAACATAACACAATTCTGCTATCTGGCTTCTCTTCCTGCCTGTCATTTTGCCCATTTTCATTAGGTTCCTATGATATTTACCATTAATTTTTAAATCAGATGAGAAAAGTCTTATCTTACTTTAGTGTGTCACGTGTTCCTTCCTGCATCCTTTAGCCACTCAAGTCAATAATGGCTAGATAGCACCCTCACCTGTTTCCCTCCAAATGAAGCATAGCCTAGACTGAAGCTTCAGACTTAAAGGGAAAAAACTTATGAACTCCATACTCCTCCACTGGCTAGAGGGTAAGGTTCACTTTTACACTGGGTAACTATAAAGTCAGTTGGTTCATAGAAACATCACTTTGATGTATGTCTGGTAAATAATAAAGACTCGATAAATGCCTGTTCATTTATCCAACACACATACACCAAAAGAAAAAAAAACCCCACAGGAAAAAAAGAAACAATTCAAAATGAAACCTCCAAGAAAAAAGGTAATGATAAGGCATACATATAAGGACCAAAACGGGGATTATAGCAGCCGGAAAAGGCCTGAAAAACCAATTCATATGTGGAAAACTTAGTGTGTTCACACAGCAGACTAAACAAGGAATAAAAGGAAGTATTTCGGAACCATGAAAAACAAGACTTATGGAAGGAACTATAATCACAGTCTATCACTAGATCTTCATACGCAACATATATCTTATCACAGTGAGTAACTGGCCACAAGTCATGACCTATCAAGATTTTGAGAAGATGCAGAAGGCATCGCTCTGTGGCCTTTGAGTCTCATGTCAATAAAGACAGGGAGGGTAAAAAGAAACAAGATGCAAACTCCTTGATGACCATAAGAAGTCTAAGGTAAAGTCACACATCAGTGAACCAAAAGATGACAGTGTTGATCCTAAAACATAAACTGATCTCTAAGAAGAGAGTGTGAAGGACAGCAGAGAGTGCATAGGGGACTGCCATCTGTCTGTCATCTTAAGTGCCATGAGGAATCATTTGCTTTTTAAGTGTATGCATAGTGTACCTTGAAAAATTAGCATTTTAAATATGAACGTTAGCATATGGGAATCAGTGTAAGATTGCCTTCCCAAGTACAGGAAGCCACTCCAGAGAAACAAAAGGAGAAAAAGAGTTATTTTTACAGCTAAGAAAATGCACTAAAAGTGAAATAAAAAAACCTCAGTTTTTGTTCCAAACAATGGTAGCAGCATTTTAAGACATGACATGTTTAAAGTGTGTCAACATGAGGATTGTGTCTTTGCTCTTACTATCTGCCCACAAAGCCCAGAGCGTCCACTCGCCTTATCTCCCCGAGTTACTACACAGGCAATGGTGTTTAAAGTGGACAAAGACTGGGAAGTTAAGTCTGAATAAAATATGATAACCAAGTAGTAACTATTAATTAGCATGGTAAAATGTGAAACATTTAAGGGATTTGTTTATCATTCACATGAAAAGCATCATAAGAAGATACATATCCATGGAAAGTAGGAAGTAATCTTTACAACATAGTCAAAATGATTAAATGGATTTCTTCAGTTACAGGAAACCAATTTCTTAGCATATTTCTCAATTACTAAATTCAACTATTTTACATTCAGAACCAGTACATGAAAAAAATGAATTTGAAAACTGAATTTTACTTTCTGAATTTTATGTTTTTAATATTATATTTTATTGCATGTATTTATGTGTGAACAAGTGCACAGGCAGAACTAAGAAAACAGCTTACAAGAGTCATTTCTCTCCTTCCATCATGGGGGTCTGTGGAATCAAACTCAGGTTGTCAGGCTTGGTGGCAAGTGCCTTTACCCCCAAGTCATCTTTCCAGGCACCACTTTCTGAATGTTAAATATATTTCAACAAATCCTAAAATTTATCACCCAAGAGGCTGCCATGCTTGCATTACATATTGTACAGACTGAACAGACTTACTCATTCAGGACCAGATCCACATATGTTCACCCTCTATAGAGAAACCACAAGTCTCCAACAGGCCCAAACATATTAGCTCAGAGCTTACACACTAAATACCTAGCAGTCAAAATCTTGCAAGCACAAAGGACAAAATGTATCCCAATTAAACTGTCCACTATGAAAACAGATCATTTCATACCTTTCCGACAGAGCACTGAAAATACTAAATTACTTTTTAAGCAATTACAATAGTCCTTCCAAAAATGGAATTGGTGGTTTCACAAATACAACATATTAATTATAAATGTATAATTATGTATCAGTATACCAAATATGCATTATACCTAGATAGATATATGTGGGGGGGATATATGTGCACGTGTGGGGGGGGTGGATGGGATGTGAATTAAGAAAATAAACTTACTCTAGAAATTCTATAGAAACAAAATCCTAGCACTCTCCAAGTATCACGTCTCATTTTTACTGAACTATTACTACATACACTAATGAATCAAAAATGATTTTTTTAAATGCTACTGGACTGCCTTCAGAAAATTTCACATGCTTTACTTTGCACAAAGAAGCAACACAAATAAAGAAAACTTTTCCTAAAGATGCAGATATTTAAGTTTCAATGGAAGATAACATTGTAAAGTGTAAAAGAGAAAAGGGAAAAACTATTTAGGTTTTCCAACATTTTCTTCCATTATGGTAGCCTCTGTATTATTAGCATCATCTAGTAGAGAATCAACATTTCTGCATAAGAAAAACATACTTCAGGCTAAAAGGGGTTAGGGCCAGTGAACAGGAACTTTCAGCAGCAGATATCATCGATGCAACTGTTTGAGGAGGGTCTCCTATGTTGCCCAGACTATCCCACACTACTGGGTAACAGTGTCTCCCACATCACCCTCCAGAGTAGCCAGAGCTAAACAAACACACTCAGCTCTAGAAGTCATTTCAAAATAGAGTTCTCACTGATTCATGCTACCAGGGCCACAGAAAAAGCCCTCCCTTGTGTGTAACTGTAATTCAGGTAGTTTTTTTTTTTTTTTAAGTCAATATGAGCCTTGTCTTACTCTGGTTTGTTTGAAAAAAAAAAGAAAGGAAGGAAGGAAGAAAGAAAGAGAGAGAGAAATTTTATACATAGAATGAAAGAATAAAAATTAAAAAATATTTGCCGTATGTTATCAGAGACTATCAGCAGTCAACATTGAAACCCGTGCACACACCACCAACTGACTGGAAAACAAAGTGAAATACTAAGCTATAACTAAGTCACAAACAAGGACGTAGCTTGGTTCTAAAGAGATAGAAACAAGCTGGAATCTGGAAGAGCCCTTCAGTCATCGCACTACAAACTGACAATGCTTTTTACTTCATTCTGTCCTGGCTCTAGATATCAAAGTCAAAATCAAAATGTGACGTAATTGTCAAATTTATCTTAGATAAAAACAGAAATTTTTGAGGGTGTTAAAATGTCAAATCTGAAGAGATTTGTTTTGGGAATCATTTATTTCGTGAAGGGATGGGGTAATAGGATCACAGCAGCAACACCTTCCTGCATCTGTACTGTGAGAGCTTACCCCTGACATCTTATAAAAAAAACATAGTTTAAAATGAATGCAACACATAAAATACACATGTATCTCAATATTATTCAAAGCACAGCTGTCTTCAGGAACTTAGAATAAAACAGTCACCAGACAAAGGCAGGCAATCTTCAATGTTACTCAATGAAATATTTATAAGCAGTATTTTAAGATTTGAAAAGAAGGTTCATTCTTTGGAACCGGGATAAGAAAGTCTACGAAAGCCAAATGGTGATAGTGAACACCTTTAATCCCAGCACTTGGCAGACAGAGGCAGGCAGATCTCTGTGATTTTGAGGCCAGCCTGGCCTCCAGAGCAAGTTCCAGGACAGCAGAGATGCATAGAGAAACACCATCTTGACCAAAACAAACAAACAAAAAAGAGGCGGTACGAAATGATAGTAAATATGTCTAAACTATAGGCATGTCTAGGCATTTAAAATAAATGCTGTACCTCTCTCTGCTGCTTTTTTAAGGGCTTCTTCAATTCGGGAAAGCTCTTTCTGTTTAATATCCTGCAAAGATTTTTCTTCTTTCTCAGCATCATACTTAATACCTAAAAACATACAGTTAATTCTCACAAAAAGAAGTGAAATCAGTAAACAAATGGAAAACTTGAACCCGTTATACTCACAGGTTAACCTTATTTTTATAAGTCAGAAACACTTTTATTTTTACATAAAACTACATTTAAATGATTATAAAAATCATTTACACATAAATGATTCCTATTTATTTATAAAGCATCACAAAGTAAAAAAATGAAAGAAATTAGAAGCAGGAAGGTAGCTAAAAACAGAAATGACTAGACAGGCTGGATAGATAACTAAAAGAGAAAAGCAGAAGACAGAAATACTCGCTGCTCTGCCTTATGGTAAAAATGTTCGGATCTATAAAAACAAGTAAGAGTGCTGGAGATATGGCACAGTGGTTCAGGGCATTTGTTGCTCTTGCAGAGGACCCAAGTTCAGTTCCCAGCATCCACATCAGGCAGCTCACAACTAGTTCCAGAAGATCTGACACACTCTTCCAGCCTTCAGTGGCACCTGCACACATGAGGTGAGCATAAACTCACACAGGTACACACAGATACAAATAAAGAAATGCTGAGTGTGATGGTGTATGCCTTTAATCCCAGAACTCCAGAGGCAGAGACAAGAGGATCTACCAGTTCAAGGCAAACCTGGTCTACAAAATGAGCTCCAGGATAGCCAGGACTACACAGAGAAACTCTGCCTCAAAAAAATAAATAAATAAATAAATAAACAATCAAATAAATAATGACATCTATCATCTGCTGTCAATGTAGATTGATAAAAGTGTTTTCAAAAAGTATTTTGGGAATAATTAATAATCTTAACACATCATTTAATCTGTAATGTTATATCCGATAATAATATTCTAAGAAAACACAAAAGTTAAAAAAAACTATAAGATTTTGAATGAAATATAGTTGCACATCTATGAAGCTGCCATGATGAGAGGCATTATACAATGAATAAAAAAAGCAACTTTTTAAGAAACAAAAAGGGAAATAATCATAGTATTGTATAATAGCAAAAAATGTTAACATTTACTATCTTTCAAAATTTTCAGTATCACATTGAAAACCATGAGACACAAAAAAGCATGGGAAAGTCAAACCAAAGCTATGTATTTAATAAGGTAACTACTAACTACATGTTTGAAAGAACACTTGTTAAAATCAAAAGCAACAAAATAAGGAAAAAGTTTCCTGTCTTGAAATATGCAAATTAACATATTAGTACATTTTAAATGTCTTACTTTAATTCATTCTTCAAGTGCATCACAACTTTAAAAAAAGCTTTAGATACAAAATAAGTACATATCACAACTTTAAAAATACAAAATAAGTACTTGTGGGGAATAAAGTTAAAATAGACTGAATTTACCATCTTCAGCAACAACAGAAAAGCATTTGTTAATACAAATGTGGCAGTGTGTGTGTGTGTGTGTGTGTGTGTATACACATACATAACTGTATGCTTATTCACTACACCGTGTATATACAATCAGTTTCTTACATACGTTCTAGCTTCCTCATTACATTAGCATACTTCACAGGGGAACAATTTCACTTCATTGCAATGTCACTGAATGATTATAATGTAAAACAACATACTTGCTCCAGGAACCACAAGCAGGTATAATCCTTCTAGGGTGGCAACGACTGCTTCTCCATAAAGGTTTTTCCATGGAATCTTCAAAGTTAATTTATCTAAAGAAACATAATTTCCATCTTAAATAATTATTTGACTGCTAGAGAAGATACAAAAATTTCTCATTTCCCACGGGAAGTCTCCAACATTTAGTATGTTGGTCACTCAGGAGGGAAGAGGAGGGTTACATTTAAAATGTATATTTTATACTTTCCAAACTTTATGACAATTACCTCACTTGATAAGTCAAAGAGTAATCACAGCAATTTGGAAAAAGAAAAGGCAGCTCGGTCTCAGGAGAAATTAATCATTTATGTCCAGCAAGGTCATCACTGAGGAGGCTGGAGTCAGAGCTCTGCACTGGACACATCTGAAGACTGCACACGCTCTTCCAGCCTCACCAACAACTAAATCAACACAGCCACTCTAAGTCCTGTCTGTGGCCATCAACACAGCCACTGTAAATACTACCTGCAGCCATCAACACAGCCATTGTAAACAGTGTCTGTGCAAACAGGAACCAATGCAGCAGAGAAGTCCCTTCTCCCCTTTATGCATGTGAGTGGCAGGTCAAACAGCTATGAATGGAAGAGGCGGGGTCTGAAGGCAAGGCATGCTGTTTCACAGTCAATCAGTATTATCTTCTTTTTGGGGGTGGTTCGAGACAGGGTTTCTCTGTAGCTTTGGATGCTGTCCTGGAACTAGCTCTTGTAGACCAAGCTGGTCTTGAACTCACAGAGATCCATCTGCCTCTGCCTCTCAAGTGCTGGGATTAAAGGCGTGTCCCAGTATTATCTTCTTTTATGTCGCTAATACCATACAACTCAGATGTGTTACTTTCCAAATTACATACTGACAAATCACTCAGAAGCAGAACACACTTTCTCTTTTAGGAACTTAATGGTATTAAGCTGAGCGTGATGGTGCACACCTGTGATCCCAGCGTTGGGAGATGGAAGCAGGAGGATTGGGAGTTCAAAGCCAGACTGACCACACAGCAAATTCAAAGTCAGCCTAATGATATTCAGAAATGAGTCCATAAAAACTACCACTCTTCACAGAACAACTACAGCCCTAACTATAGCAGTAACTCATTTGGTGTTGTATGAGGAGAAGGCTGTGAATAGCAGAAGAGAGAGGAGATCTGAATTCTGAAACAGGTAAAGCCATTTGGGTCACCTTTTCATATCTGTTTATCTTTTTTCCAAATCTCTAGAACTCCTCTTCCCAAGGCCACAGACAGCTAATGTCCCAGTCAGCTGTCATGACTACAATTCTATCCTTTGCTACCCCTGAAGTTTTCCATGTTCCAAAAATAAAATACCAAATATCTTCCTTCGTTATAATTTGTATTTACTTATTTTATGCGTATGGTTGTATGTATGGATGTGCACCACATGCACGCCTGGTGCCTGTGGAGGCCAGAAGAGGGTGTTTGATCCCCTGTAACTGGGGTAAGGAGATATGAGCTGCCATGTGGGTGCTGAGGATTGAACCCAGGTCCTCTGCAAGAGCAGTCAGTGCTTTTAACTGCAGAACCATCTCTCTAGTCCCCTTCATTATAATTTTAACAAACAGTGACATTAGTCAAGTGCTGCTAGCAAGACTTATTAGAAAAGAATCTGACTTACTCATTTGTGGATATGAAATCATACAATCAGAATCACTGGCAACGTTTAAAGAAAGGCGCTTAACATTCAAACAAATTGAAAAACAATACAATGGACAGAAAGGAAATAAAATAATGTTCTACAAAGGAGAATATTCTAGTCAACTGAATAGCTACAAAACCAAGTCAGTTTTATGTGGAAATGTAGTCAGGGATAAAATATCAAATTATTTCTGTATTAAAAAATTTCATTTCTTGCCAGGCATGGTGGCACATGCCTTTAATCCAAGCACTTGGAAGGCAGAGGCAGGCAAATCTCAGTGAGCTCAAGGCCAGCCTGATTTACAAAGTGAGTTCCAGGATAACCAGGGCTGTTACACAGAGAAACCCTGTCTCAAAACAAACAAAAAAAGTTTCATTTCTCAGGGGCCAGAGATGGCTCAGTGGTTAAGCTAAGCACACATACTGCTCTTTCAGAAGATCCAAGCTCAATTCCCAGCACCCACATCAGGTGGCTGACAAACACCTTCAACTCCAACTCCAATGGCACCCTTAGCCTCTGTGGGCACTTGCACTTGTGTACACACACACACACACACACACACACACACACACACACACAGAGGGGGGAGGGAGGAAGGGGGAGGGAGAGAGAGAGAGAGAGAGCCATATCCATGTAATTTAAAATAATAAAAATATCTTTATTTCATTTCTCTTCAGCTTGCAAAGCTGTTGAGTTTGTTTTATGGTTTCCAGGTCACAGAAGTCTATAAATCACATCAGTACATTTCTGGATCACTTCTAATTCTTATGGTTTTATAGTGAGTACCACCTATATTTACAATGGGCAATAATTACACATAACTTCATGACCTAACAAGGTAATTGCCTTCTTAGTGAGGTTAAGATAAAAAACACAGGCACTAGCCCTTTACCATAACAGAAAAGGACTGCCTGTTCCTTACCCTTCTCTCCATTTACCCTAACTTATCAAGTCATCCTCCAAAAAGGTCCTGAAATAATTCAGTAGTTACAAAACAGTCTCATTTCTGAGTGTATGTGGTATTGAAGACTGAACCTAGGAGTCCCACACGTCAGGCAACTGCTGTACCACTAAGCTGACTCCAAACCACATGATTTACTTTTTTAGAGGCAGAGTCTAAGCTGTCCTGTTTGGCCTTGAACTTGCTCTGTAGTTCAAACTCAAATATATAAGCTACTCAAAAAAGTACATATCAAGAAAACAAATAGCCCCATTTAAAACGGGGTACCAATCTAAACAGAGAATTCTCAAAAGAGAAAACCTAAATAGCTGAGAAACGCTTAAAGAAATGTTCAACAATCTTAGTCATCAGGGAAACGCAAATCAAAACTACTTTGAGCCTTTGCTTTTTCGCCATCAGGATGACTACGATCAGTAAAACAAGCGGTAGCTCATGCTAGCAAAGATGTGGAGTAAGGAGATCACTCCTCCATTTCTGGTGGGAGTGCAAACTTGTACAGTCACTATGGAAATCAGTGTGGTAATTCCTCAGGAAGATGGGAACCAATCTACCTTAAGATTCAGCTATACCACTCTTGGGCACATCCCAAAGGATGACTCACTCAATCATGTTCACTGGTGCTGTATTCATAATGGTCAGAAATTAGAAACATAGATAACCCTAAACAGAAGACTTTATAAAGAAAATGTGGTACATTTACAATGAAGTATTACTCAGCCATTTAATTGGGGGGAGCTAGAAAAAAATTATCCTGAGGAATCCCAGACCCAGAAAAACAAAATTTTATGTATTCACTTATGAGGATATTAGCTATTAAGTCATTGATAAACAAACTAAATCTGTAGAACCACAGAGGTTAGGTATAAAATAAGGGACTGGGAGGACAGATAGATCCCATTAGGAAAGGGAAATAGAATAGATAGTTATGAATGAATAGAAAAGACTGGAATGCAAGGATCTAGTAGGCAGAGGACAGGAAAGGGAGATGAGGGAGGAAATATGAGAAGAGACAGAAAAAATTAAAGGTTATTGGATGGGTATTGTAAAAACCCTAATACAGTAGAAGCTTTCTAAAATTTATACATATAGGAAGGCTATCTAAATGAAGTAGTCAGATAATGGGAGAGGCAGAGCCATCTCTTGTCACCAAATGAAGTTCCAAATACCAAGAGTGGGTACTGGAAGTTTGAGTTGTTGGTCAAAGGGGCCCTATGGGAATCCCCAAACAACCCAGTCTATTGCCAAGACTACAGGTTGCTCTCTACAAACTGATGTCAAGACTACATGCTAAAGACAACACCTACACAACTCACTGACTATGAAGAAGTCAAGTTTGTCCCTACTGAGAGCCTTCACCCTACATTCTGGCATCTTTGGTACAAGCAGATACTCTGAACAATACCAAAGGAGAAACATAAATACAAATCCACCTATATATCCTATAACCTACAATGCTGTTCTGTCTGCAAGATATGCTAGGGTGTGGCAGCACAAAGATTGTGGGAGTAACCGATCATCATCTTATTTGACTTAAGGTCCACTCTACAAGATAGAAGCCACACCCAGCACTGCTTGGAAGAACAAGAACCTAAGATTACACAGCCTAGGGACCTAGGGGAAAACCAAATACTACTGCTTTAAAAATTAATAATAATAAATGTAGCAATAAAATGACCCCTAATGACATTCTGCTATACTCATAGATCAGTGCCTTGCTAAGCCAACATCAAAGAAGCTTCCTTCTGCAGTAGATGGGAACAAATACAGAAACTCACAGCCAGACATTATGCGGACAGTGAGAAACATAATGGGATGTTTACATTAAATCCCTCCCCTCAGAACTCAAAGAGCACTGACAAAGAAGAGGCCAGAAAGAGTGTAAGAGCCAGAGGGGATGGAAGACCCCAAGAAAACAAGACCCTCTAAATCAACACAATCAAAGCTCATATGAATTCACAGAGCCTGAGGAAGCATGCAGAGGGCCTGCATGGGTCTGTACCAGGTCCTCTACATATGTATTATGGATTCCAGTTTCGTGTTTTCATGGGATCCCTGAGCATGACATGAGCAGGCATCTGATTCTTATGCCTTTTCTTGGGCTCTTTTCCTTCTGTTCATTTTGTCTAATTCCAATGTGCTAAGTTTTATTTTATTATATCATATCTTATATTATTACCCAATTGTTCTTTCATGAGAGACAGAAAGAGATGGATTCAGATGTGAGAGGAGGCGGGGAAGAACTGTGAGAACTAGAGGAAGGGAAAATGGTAACAGGATATATTATGTGAGAAAAAAATCATTTTCAATAAAAGGGGAAAAAGGATACTGAAAAGTAAAAGATAAAGCTCTAAAATTCAGCAGAATAGTAATTGAATAAGGGAAATGATAGAGTCCAGCAATAGGAGCAGAGTGGATGAATGAGTCTTTACATCAAATTCTAAAGTAACAATAACACATCTAGAGAGATAGATTGATGATAGATGACAGACAGATAGATCATAGATGATAGATACATAGAAGATAGACAGATTTAGATGATAGACAGACAGATAATAGATGATAGATTAACTGATAGATATAGATAGACATTTTTGTTTCCTTAAATTAAGAATCAGGTCACATGAACTATTTGATAGAACACTATAGATTAAATTTCCTATTGAAAATTTTCTTCAGCTGACACATATGCTGAGTTATGGATGACGGATAAAAGTTTAGCTACAAAGGAGACTTTGTACTTACCGAAGCATATCCTCCAAACCACACTGCTGCATAATACATCAGGTGAAGATGGGTGAACAAACAGGAGGGAAATGAGCTTCACTTAAAGTCTACTTAACAGAGTTTTTAAACTATATGACTGTCATATATATATATAGTACAGGAAACTGAGTTACCAACTTTGAAAACAGAGATGTTTTATGTAGTCGTGACCACCATAGTTCAAATGTCCTTCCACTTTAGAGAGTATTTTTCTATCCCTTTGTTTTTAAAAAAGCACATAGATACTATATGTGTACATTAGGTTTAGAACTATGAAATTAATTATTTCCGGAAATAATTAAACCAAAAACTTCCCACACTTTCTGTAAAGCAAAGACAACTTATTGGTTAACCAACACAAGTAAAATAAAAACTATAAGGACTAAGTAACTCAAAGAAGAGTGAAGTACTTACCAATTTGACCAGCCTTGACTTTGAAAGGAACATCCAATTCACTCTTCAGAAGAAAGAAAAAAATTAAAGGACTTCTTTAGCAACCCCCAAATCATTTATGTACATGAATGCTACCCACTTGAGTAACCCATGGCAATGAATGCTTCATTATTACAAAAAGAAGTCACAGAGAAGCAAAATTATAAGTAGAAGGGAGTTCATAAGGAAGGTAATTGTATAAACTGATTATTTTAATGAATAAAACAGATGGACACTGTTTACCTGAAGTGGGAAAGAACAGGGTCAGAGCACTTAAGTCAGCTAAAGACAATTACTGAATAATTCTCTCAGATAATACATTTAGCAAATAAGTAAAACAAAACTCCCTGAGAAGGAAAGCGCTAACATGCTATTTACCAAACTATTGTTTCTCTTAGGTAAATTATACATGCCAACCAACAATAATAACTTTTGCCTCATCTGGACTTAACCAGTCAGTACAGACTTCCTCTTAGTTATTACCTTTGTTTTTGGTGTTGTTGTTTTGTTTTTGTTTTTTTGTTTTTGTTTTTTTGTTTGTTTTTTTGAGTCAGGGTTTCTCTGTGTAGCTTTTACAGACCAGGCTGAATTCAGAGATATCCACCTGTCTCTGCCTCCTTAGTGCTGGGATTAAAGATGTGTGCTACCACCACCCAGCCTAGTTATTACTTGACATATATGAATACTATGAATATTTGAACACTGAACTACAATACTGTAGGTTACAATTAACTGAGAATCCATTTTCATGATCATACAATTCCATAAACACTCTTGGTTCAGAGGAACTGAACACAAATACCTTTGACAAAAGAATTGGAATAAGCAGGGACTCTGTTCTCCAGAGTATACTCAACAAAGTCACCTAATAAATGCTGTCTCAATCACATTTTTATTTTCTTGGAATAATTTTAACAATGAATGAAGTTCCCATTCCCAAGTAAATGGAATTTCAGGCTAGGGGCACAGCACAGTTTGAAATCACCTGCCTGGTACATGGAAGACATTAAGGTTCAATCCACAAAACCATAAAAAATAAATAAATAAATAGCTGATTTGGTTAAACTGTGAAACGGGGCTAGTTTTAACTAATGAAGTCTATGAATTATGAAGTAACTTAATCATTAATTTTAATCAGAACTCAAATTGGGCTGACAGCACAATCTGTCTTTCGGGAATGTTAATGAATATTGTGCCCTAAGTTATATTTAAACTTATTTTCTTACAAAATCTTCTCATAAATTGAGAAAAATAAACTTGACTCTAACCTCTAGCAACATAATTGTTAAGTTCTAAATTTTTAAATAAAATGTTAAAAATGGTGGCATGCCGCATAAAGTCAGGGAAGGACAATTTACAATTCTGATATTTCCAACATGCCAGGCTCTTTCTCATCTTGGCAGGCCACAAAGCCAAAGCAGGTTCTGTTACTGAACCAGTGCTGACACTGAGAAATAAGAAAATCTAGCACATGCCTGTAATCTCAGCATTTGAGAAGTGGGGGCTGGAGGATCAGGAACTCAAGGTTAATCCTTAGCCACATAGTGAACATTATCTACATGAGACCCTATCTCGAAAAAGAAAAAGAAGCATGTATGTATACAAGCACAGATGTAGGAAATCTGAAATGTGATGAATAAACATGCTAGTGACATCCTAGACCAGTTTTGCATAACAAGTTACATGTGACCTCACGGGGAGGGGAGAATGAACGCTTAACAGCACACGATGCAAACTCCTCACTAAAGCTAAGGCTTCAGTCCTCCCTTACACCTCACTAGTACCTGAGTAATCCTTGGCTAGCCTGTCACTGCATTACCTCCATCTAGATCACTGTTTAGCACCAAGTCCTAATTTGCCTGGAAAAGGGATAAGGATAATTTGAAGAAAAATTCTTCTGAAAGACAAACGGAGACAAGCAAAGCTATACAATCAAATTAGGTCATGTGGAACAAACTCCATTTTGAAAAGAAAAAAAAAACTATTTATCCATTGAGGAGAAAAGTGTAAATCTTTAATCTGTAATTTCCAATGGCAAATAGTTAAATAAGGAACCTGCTTGGAGTGACTCAATCACTTTATCTGGTACCTGGTACAGATACCTGGTTACCAAACATTTCTAAGGGCCTGCCAAATTAACTGGGTTATTAAGCATAATTTGAAAAAAAATAACCCTTACCAGAGCATTTTCTGTTATCTGCAGATTATCTAAAGCCACATTACCTGTAAAAGGAAAAGACAAGAAATGTGACATTAGTACAGCCATTAGTAACGAGTCGCATCTATCAAACGCCAAGGATGCAAAGCTAGAGCTAAGAATGTGAAACTCAAGGCCCAGCAGGAGGCAGACGCCAGAACATAACCTGCATTATGGAACAAAACAATGAAGGACATGGAAAAATGTTTACAGAATAGGGTTTACTAAAAGGCTACATACCACCCAGGCTGATATAATTTTTTAAAACTATATATGCGCATGTATATGCAAAACACCAAAAACAGAAACCAAACAAACATAAGCTGTGACACCACAATGACACCTCTATGAATAATATGATCTTCCTATGTATATGGAATATTTAAATTTTTCTAAAACAATTGTTGAAAGCTACAAGAAAGACAGAGAGGCAGGGAAGATGCCTCACCCCCAGGAATGGCAGGAACTACTACAGCTCTGTATTTGGAGAAGGGAAAGAGTTCGACTGTCAGGCAGTCTCTACAGTATAGCTGGAAAGAAACTAAAACCTGCAACAGGCAGGTATGGTGGTATATGCCTGTGGCCTCAGCACTTGGGAGGCTAAGGCTGAAGGACAACTATTAGTTTGAGGCCAGCATGGACTAGACAGTGAATTCCAAGGCACCCTGAACTACCGAGTAAGTCCCTCTCCCAAAATCATTCATACATACATACATACATACAGACAGACAGACATATCTACCTGAAATAAGATAGTAACTTCAGTATCAAACAGGGACCATCACAGTAATGACTAATTTTTGAGCCAGAACTCAAAGAATAGGACGGGAATCACTGCCAAACAGAAAAATCATAGGGTAATCCTAGAAGAGTATTCTGCATTTAGAAGAATCTTTTTTTAATGTGATAGGTGTTTTGCCTTCATGCTTGCCTGTGCACCACATACAGTGCTTATGGAGGCCACAAGAGGATACCAACTCCCCTGAAACTGGAGTTACAGATGGTGTGAGAGGCCAGGTGGATGCTGGAAATTGAACCCAGGTCCTTTGTAAGAACAGGCACAGTGCTCTTAACCACTGAGCTATCTCTCTAACCCAGAGAAATCATTCTTAATGAGCATATTCTCAAAAATTACAGAAGTACACAGATAGCTCTGTGTCTAACAATATGCCTGATATCTTTCATGAAATTACACTGAGGTCCCATTTGAGCCAACAGAAAGGATGTACACAAAACACCTATTTTCAGCCATCCAAAGTGTCTAACAAGCTCTAAGGTCACCAGAGAACCTGAACCTGCTGAGTTCTGACTGTTCCACCCAGACACTCTCAATGAGGGGGTCAAATGTCACCAGTCGTGCTCGATCGTCTACACTGAAAATGACATTTTCACAGTTGGTAAGACAGTAACATGTATGTGACATACAAATGTGAATATATATGTATATGTATACCTTTATGAAAAGAGGGCTATTTCTACTACAGTGAACTGTGGTTCTACAATGAAGTAACAGGTACTGACCACTGCCAACATGGCAAACAAGGTTTAAAGATGTACATTTTAAAAACTGACAGAATAGTGGGGCAGTAGTGGCGCACGCCTTTAATCCCAGTACTTGGGAGACAGAGGCAGGCGGATCTCTGTGAGATCAAGGCCAGCACTTCCTACAGAGCTAGTTCCAGGCTACACAAAGAAACCCTGTCTAAAAACAAAACAAAACACTGACAGAATAGCAACTTGATATACATGGCTGGCTGATATCCATAGAGGCCCACCCACACTGTTCTGAAGAGAAACAGAAAAGGAGCAGTGGATGGGGGAGGGAAGGAAAGGTGGGGAAGGAGGGAGGTAGAGGGGAGGGGCTGAGGAGGAGGGAGAGGAAATTGCAGTAGGGATATAAAAACCAAAAAATAAATAAACACACAAAACACGTTGACAGAATTATAAGTGATGATCACTATTGGTGGGACAAAGAATGACTTTTTTATTAACTGTTTTCATTATTTTCCAGTTTTTATAATTACCAGATTACTTTTTTTTAAAAGAATTCTTTTTTTTAAGATTTGTTGTTTATTTATTACATATACAGTGTTCTGCCTATATGCCAGAAGAGGACACCGGATTGAATTGTAGATGGTTGTGAGCCACCATGTGGTTGCTGGGAATTGAACTCAGGACCCCTGGAAGAGCAGTCAGTGCTCTTAACCTCTGAGCCATCTCTCCAGCCCCTACCAGATTACTTTTAAGTAAAATAATGATATAAGGGGAAATGAGGAAATAAAATATAAAACAAAAGTAAATTCTAAGTTTAATTTGCCTCAACATTTGTATATGAATTCTTCCCACCCCTTACATCTACTTTACTTTAAAACACATAAAACTAACAAAGAACTAGCTAGGTTTGCTCATACTTCCTGGATAAACGATACAAGCCGTAGCCATAGCAATATCGTTCTGCAGCTATTTGCACTAAAGGAGGAGACACTAGTCCAGTACAAAGAGAGGGAGGAAATCCAGCAGCTTGCAGATTAGCAGCATCCCAGGGAATGGGAGAAAGTGCATTCATCCCTCAGCCAGTAGCCAGTGCCCTCCTAGGTGAAGCACCAGCCAACTCGCCAACACAGTGCATACTATTCTGGAGGTACATGTGAATGGTTCCATTCCAGGCCCCAGGAATCAGAAACCTCCACTAACAATTTCTGAGACTGAAACACAATCCCACCTAAAAATCAACCATTTCATACTAAACTGAGTACCAGCAAAAAAATTTTTTAAAAGTGGTGTTTTCCTTCCAGAATAGTAATTTTAAACACACAAAAGAAACTTCCTGTTTAGTTAGATCACCAGAGATAAGAACACCCAGAGGCCAATGGAAATTTCTAGGAAAAAAAAAGAGGAAAGACTAAATCTTAAAAATAAAGAAAAGAAACAGTCAGGAGGCTGATCCATGGGAGGCCGACTGTCTGCCTATAAGGAAAACACGAAGGCCAACCATGCCATCAGGTGGCGCTTAACCTCAAGTCCATAGCGCCCAGGCTAAGGAGCTATGTGAAGTGGACTAAAGTATCTGGGTAAGGAGTGCAGTGTAGGAGTCCAGCTTTGAAAGAGACCCCACTCCGTGCTCACTAAGAAGCTCCAGGCATTTTACATGAGCTCACACTGCTGAAAGTTACACTGGAAGCTTCAGAGCCAACGCTGAGAGCATTTTAACATGGTAAACCTGAATCAGAAAGTATAAAATAGTCTCTGTTAATGAATTACAGATCGAAATGAAAGCATGTCCATTAAATTAGCAAGCAACACCACCTTTTTAAAAAGAGACAGTTATTAAATTAGAAGAAAAAACTAATTTAATATAATGAATAAAAAAATAAACGGGCTGGAGAGATGGCTGAGTGGCTAAGAGCACTTGTTGCAGTACCTACACTGGGCAGCTCATAGCCACCTATAATTCCAGCCCCAGCGGGATCCAATGCCCCTCTTGGGGCCTCCTGCAGGTTTCAGACACACACACAGTGTACATATATATATATATATATATATATATATATATATATATATATATATGCAAACCCTCGATTTGGTTTTTTAATCAAATGGAACTCTCCAACATGGCTTGCCTAAGTTCTAAGTCCAAGAATAACTTTTATACACGTAGTCAACTACAAAGTAAACATAGGAAACAGTGCTGCACCAGGTCTGGTGACACATGGCCTGCTATCCCGGCACTTGAGAGGTAGAGGCAGGAGACTCAGGGCACCAAAGCTAACCTGAGCTACAGAGAGAACTGGACTACATGACTGCGAAACAAAAAGGGCTGAGGATGCAGCTCAATTAATAAACAGAGTGCTTGCCTAGCATGCATCCAGTTCTGTTCTAGCTCAAGCAGCGAACACAGATCAGGTGTTGGGGCACACACCTGTAATTCCAATACTGAACAAAGGCAGGGCATCCTTGGCTACATAGGGAGTTCGAGACTGGCCTGGGCTACATGAGACTCTCTCAGATAATGTAGGTATTAAATACTGTCAACCAGAAATCATCTCCCTATATTTTCACAGAGGCTTAGGCTGTATCCCCCTTACAGTATTTAATACCTAAGTTTACATAAGTCCCCAACACAATTATGAACTCCTTACCAGTGTCCCTCACCTCTGGTACAGTAGCTTAATTGACTTAGAATGTGCATAGCTACAGGACAGAAACAACTACAAAGAGGCCATCAATTGATACTTCAAAATCTATGTTCAGATGTGTTACATTGCTGGATCCTCACAGCCTCCTGGGTAGGAGGCAGGTGGGACGTATGAAGAAAGAGAAACAGAATGTTTCCTGAGGTTAAATGAGAGGTCCGTGAATACCATGGCAACCTCCACATGGAAGAGCCACCAGTCAGTCTTTTGATACTCAATGCCATGTTTCAGCACACCATGCTCTTCATAGCTGAGTAGAACAGGTAGAGGGGTCCATCCCACCAGATAAATCTGCCTTGTTTACCAAAAAGTGTGGAGTCAGGAATTACATCAGGAACGCCATAAGAGACAGTTCCTAGGGGACACATGAGACAGCACTGCAGATGGCCATGACCTTTCCTCTAAAAGGCTTTCTAAACTCCATCCCAGAACTACTCCAGGACAATGCAGATATTACTCCCACCCTTCTTCACATTAGCACATGAAGAAGCTGCTGTTTGAGCAGATGGGGTGGTTTCTCCAAGGTTATAAAAAGACTGTGCTGCTGTTCTAAGAATAGAGCCTGTGTCTCCTGACTGACTCCCTGGTCAGTTCTTAATATAATACATAAAGATTCATCCAAACTATGACATGACAACAACAACAAAAAAATGATAAGAAATAAAAACACCAGGCCCTGATCTAGCCACATGGCCTAAAACAGTGACAAACACCTATACAGTGAGTGCTATGTAAACCTTGGAGATTTCTTTAATGTATCTACAGCACTTGTATCAAATGTTTACTGACGCTCATCTCCCAAGGAAATGAGCTCAAACACTAAGCAGTCTGCAAAAGCATGAATCAATTTATCTTAATGACTCATGTTTTCATAGATACCAAAGAAAATATTGTACCAATCCATTCCAAATGAATCGAACTATCTGACTCTAATTGAACCAACCCAGATTGTTTCAGTTGGAGGATTACTATGCAGGAGAGAGGAAGTAACTGACTCTTCCTTTCCAGTTTCCAAGTGAAACAAGAAGTCTTAGAAAAGAAAAACAAAGCTGTGACATCACCAAGACTTTCTCCTTTCAAACACCACACAGAGCCTGAAACTCAAGGCACTTGGCACAGCTTCCTAGTAAATGTTTTCAAAGCACCAACTTCCAGGTCTATTTCTAGAAAAGGAGTGGATTTTTAATTAATAAAGATGGTATTCAAATACATGGGAAGGTGTAGTCAACATAGTTTTTCAAGCACTGTTTTGATATATTATCCTACCCTAATGAACTTTTGTTGTTCATTTTATATACTATAAGATAAGCTAATGTTGCCTCCCCTACACCAAGTGTTGACTAAGGAAAAGACTTAAAAAAAAAAACTCCCTCTGGGGCTGGGAACATGATGTCTCAGTGGTTAAGAACATTTGCTGCTCTTGCTGGGGACCCAAGTTCAGTTCCCAGTACCCACATGGTGGCTTACAACCATCCCGAAGTCCAGAAAATAAGGCACCCACTTCTGGCCTCCATGGGCACTGCAAGAACATGATACACACACATGCAGGCAGGAAAAAAACTTACATAAAATAAAGCAAAATTCTTAAAATAAAAAAAGAACACTCCTTCAATGGGTTTAGAAGTACTTAGACACTACAGTGTTTTATATAGTGAGGCTTAAGAAAGGGAAAAAAAAAACCAAATACCTGTGTTTTCTGTCATTCTCAGGCTACCCTATAGCTACCTGCAGGACTGTCCTATAGTAGATGTGGCTTCTTTATCTTGTCTATTCTGTGACTGGCTCTTCACCGTCAGCAGAGAAGGAAGAAGACATGGGTGTGCACTGGGCCAGCATGCCTCACACTGGCTGCAGACAGTGCAGCAGCACTTACCCAAGGGCAGCTCGGGCTGCTCCAGCCTTGCCCAACCCACAGGTGCTTACAGCCAGAGAAGACACGCTCACCTCATTCATCTACAGAGAAGAAACAAATGGCTTCCTTCCCATCAGAGACCTGCCAAAAGCACTACACCTGGTGGAAGACCAACTTCCTGTCCAGTTGGACTAGGAACTCCACCCCTAACTGTGGCGGGACAGGGAACGGCCTCTGGGGTGAAGCATGGGACCTGAAACCGCACCCCAGAGCCTGGCTCACAGGGCTGTGAACTCTGTGTTTGCTACACCGTGGTTCCTGTTCCTGGGCACCACAGTCACCCCTAGCATCCTACACACCATGTCTAGGGGTTAGTCCACACTGGTTTAAAGGAAGTGAGAGCCACAGAATCTGAAATGAAGGCTGTTCCTGATCCTCCACAGTAAATAGCTTTCAAAAAAATCAAATTGGCAGATCCTACATTGCAACAACACGACTTAACTCAAATTGCAAAAGATCTGACATTTCGACACACTGTTCTAGAAACATGTTACTCTTAAAACAATTAAATCCTGGCTACCTCTCAAACAGCCAAGGGCTGTGTAGTTTATCTGCTGGTTACCAGTTTTGGGGATCAAAAGCCTAGATAAACATCCTCATCTGGAAGCACCTGCCCACCAGGCACATGTCTGAGCCTTTGAAGACTGCCCTACATACTGCTACAGAAAATGTGAGCACTGTCAAGTATAAATCCAATTACAAAAAGTTTCCTTGCTTTTTAAGAACGGGAGGGGGGATATTTACATGCATGTATGATGTTAGCAGATGTATTATGTTAGAGGAAACATGCTTCAGAAAATGCAACAGCAGGCTGCCTCACCCACCATTGCCACGCATCAGTTACAAAGGGTTTTCCTTAGACTTCCATCACGACATTGAGTGTTGTATATGTTCTCTTTACAGATTAGGAAACTGAGACTTAGGGAATTAAAATGTTTTTCTCCTGGATCCTATAACTAATGAATAACTAAGGCCTGTTTCTACAGCAGCAAGTTTTTAAAAGGTATTTTGCCTAAACCACTTTCGAAAATATTTAAGAATCATTCGGCATTAATCTTTGAAGAATAAATTCCAAAAGACAGCCACAAAGTTTGGGAGCCTTCGGGTTCCGCTGAAGTATTATTTTTTATTATTATTAATGGTTTTGCTTCTTCAGTTAAAAAATTATTACATTCAGCCCGGCGTTGGTGGTACACGCCTTTAACCCCAGCACTCGGTAGGCAGAGGTAGGCGGATCTCTGTGAGTTGGAGGCCAGCCTGGTCTACAGAGCAAGCTCCAGGACAGCCTCCAAAACAATACAGAGAAACCCTGTCTCGAAAAAACAAAAACAAAAAACAAAAAAAATATATATTACATTCATTTATATACTGGGGGACAGATGCCATTGTGGAGGTCAGAGGAGAACGTGTAGGAGTCAGTTCTCTACCATGTGCACCCCAGGGATTGAACTCTGGTAGTCAGGCTTGGCAGCAAGCACACTTAGCCAGTGAGATGGCCAATAGGTCTCATTATATACAGGAGACAATCTCCAGTTCCTCAACTACTACACAGGGCTGGACAACCCTTCATTACAGACTATCACACTGTTAGACGTTGTTAGCCGTATCCCTAGCCGAAAGCATTTTAAACACTGCCAAACAGCCCCCCACTCCACTCCTTCCCACATCCTGACACTGAATACTACTTTAGGCTAGTCTAATATGCCAGTTAAGATTTACCAATTCATTCTCCAAAGAACAAAAAAACTAAATATGAAACTTCTACTGTTCTAAGGTCTTGAACATGCGCAACTTGAAGAAAAACAGTATCACTGACACATAAATTTTATCTGCTAGCACACATACAGTTTTCAAATAGGACTATATATAATTTACAAATTTTCTTGAAAAGCTTTGTCAGCACCAAGGATATCTTACCAACAATTTCATTAATATTCCATTTGCTTACTCCCCCCTCCCCAAAAAAAGGTTACTATCAGTTTCTCCAGAAGTATTGTCAGAGTGCTAGTCTATTCAGACAACTTATCTGATTTCTATTTTAAGGAGAATCGAAGTTAAAAGACAACATGTTGAGCAACAACTATGAAGCACATGACTTCCAGAAACCATTAGCGAAACTTTACAGGAGCAGAGCTGTGAACAGACAAAACTCAATGGCTGACTGTCCCCAGGACAGCTGGGGAGAGAAGCCCAGGGATCTGCTCAGGTGCACTGCACAGTTAATGTAGACTACTGGTAGACTATTTTATTCTAAAAACTAAATAAAATGAAGCTGAGGGTACAGCTCCAGCATATCACTCGGCAGTGTCAAGGCCTGGAGTTTGATCCCCAGCACCACAAAATAGGAGAAAACAAGATAAAGGAAAGTCTCCATTCCTAGATCTCAGTACAAGACAGTGAGGCCAGAGGTGTGACACAGCACTGTAACACTTCAATTCAGTTGTGAAGAAGTTTGAAATCTCCAGATTGTATTCACTCTCAAAACTGTTTACAGACTGAACTACAGAACGTGGACATTGGAATGTCCCCCAGATACTAGCATGTCCAACTTCTGACAGATTTGGTAGTGAAGGAATCTGCAACTACACCCATGCATTTTATATTGATTTTAAAAGACCTAAACACAGGACAATGCAACCGCTAAAACCTGAGCAGTGGTTACATAGGAATATCATGTCAGGTGTGACTTAAACTCCTCAGGTCATAAAGACACTTTTTCTGTGAAAGTTGAAATGAAAAAAACAAAGGTCCATACAGTAAATGGCTTGTCCAAAACACCGGTAGGCCTAGAATTATGAGTTTTCTCTCTCAGCATTCACACTGATCTGAAGCACTTCTTTTCAATTTCAAATGTTATTATGACATTACTACAAGAATTCTGAAGAAATACTTGACCTCTCTTTTTTTACAGAAGGCTCTAGACACTTAACTCCTTTCAAAAACTTTTCCTTTTCCACTGAATAGCAGGGATGGGTATCCAAAGTAGGTATTTATGGGAGGACCACAAAAAAAAAAATGAGTAGAAACCTATTTTAAAACAAGCTCTTCCACAATTCAAAGGACAAGTCTTAGCTCTACGACAGCACTGTCCAATAAAAACAGGGTGCCTCTCTGTAATCATTAATTTTAGGAGCCAGGGTTTGTGACAGATATAATGTGAAAATCCTTTGTAATTTCTAATGGTAAATAATAGCGATAAGCAAGCCTAGGGGAGCGGATGTGAACAGCCTATCCATTTTAGCTTCATGATTATGATTCTTACAACCTCAACATAAACTGACTTTGTAGCTGAGGAGTCTTGAATTTTAACAATATATTTAGCCAAATCTACTCAGATACCATTTTAACATGCAGCCCACATAACTGAGATACTTTTTTTGGTACTCCATTAGGAGTAATGCTCATCTTCAAAACCCAGTATATTTTATACTCGGAGCATGTAACCACATTTCAATTACTGAACTGCTAACTTCCCCATTGAAGAATGACAACCAGACAGGGAAAGTCTACACCTAAATCTCTGACAATTAAAAGCAGTTCCATCCAGTTGTTAATTTTCTCCTAAAAGCTGACAAAGCTCCCAAGCTTTATAGTACATTAGTAAATAAATAAATTACTCCCCATATCCCCGAACACGCAATCTGTACTGGAATTGTGCAATGTTTAGAAAGCTTTGCCACTGAGCTACACTCCCAAATGCAAGTTTATTGAAGAATGCAGAAGTAGACTACTATCACAAGACTTTTCTTCCCCTAATCTCCAGGATAAAAACCTTGGCAGGTTTTCTCGCACTTGCACTCAAGCAGACAACCCCAATTAACGATGCCTCTGGCCAGTGGCTCGAATGTATTTCAAAACAAAAACCTGCTGGGCCCTCTGCCTAACGAGGAAGTGGCCCAAGGTAGGAATCCCTGAGTTAAGAGTCCTTGAGGCCAGGCACGCCTTTCTTCTCACTGACAACCCTGCCCATCCCACCTCCTCAGGTCTCAGGACCCAACTGAGAAGGAAGCCTGGTCCTGGGACTACGAGATGCAAGGGAGATACGCTGGCACTGTGAGGAGCTCTGACGTCCGCTGCTGAGGTAAATATATTTTTTCTCCTAGTTTTATACTGAGGGGTTAAAGAGGACCACTGAGCAGCGCGAAGCCCCTGCGCGCGGGGAAGTCGACCACAGGGGCATGCCCAGCGGGGTCCCTGGGGTCCCCGGGCTCCACCATGCGCAGCCCCCGCTCCCACGCCGGCCGGCCTTGGTGTCGCGCTTACCGCCCCAGATCCCCAGCTTTAGCTGGGACTTGTTCAGGTTCTCCACGTAATCCCCTAGGAAGCGGTTCAGCAAGTCTGCGACCACCGACTCCAGCACCATGGCGGGGACCAGGAGACGGGAGAGGGAGGAGCCGGAACGCAGCGCACTCTGGAGGGCGGCGGCCGATGCCGTGACTGACAGCTGCGGCCCGCCTCGCCCCGCGTCGCGCGTGCGCGACGCCGCCAACGCGCAGGCGTCCTTCCCCCACCCGCTCCGCTCGCTTCGAGATTACAGGGGGCCGACGGGAGAGAGAGTGAGGCCTGGAGCAAAGAGGTGTGACAGGAAGCTGTGCGTTCGAGTCCCCAGAATCGCATTATCTACTCGTAATAGTGCACGCCTCTTAATCCCAGCATTGGGGAAACGGAGGTAGGAGGGTTAAAAGTTCAAGGTCATCCTTGACTACGTATCCTGTTCAAGGCCAGACTAGGCTATATGAGCCCCTATGTTAGAATTTTTTTTTTAAGTAATGAAATAAACTGGTGAGATGGCCCAGCGGATAAAGGTGCTCGCTGCTAAGCCTGATGTTCAAATCCTGAGACTCAATGATGAAAGGAGAGGACAGCTTCAAGTTGTTCAGACCTCTGCATTCCATTATGCCTTGCATTCACACAAACATACAGAGAGAAATCCAAGGCTACATAGTGAGACCCTGTCTCTAAATTAGTAAATGTAATTTAAAAATCAAAGCTGGGCCGGGGGACAAACATCTTTAGTCCCAGCACTAACAGGCAAGTGGATTTCTGTGAGTTCAAGGTCAGCCTGGTCTACATAATGAATTCCAGACCAGTCAGAGCTACACAATGAGACACTGTCTCGAATAACTAAGTAATAGGGAAAATACAAAGAAAAAAATAGAAACAGCGCTCACCAGTAACTGACAAAGGCCTACTTCGGTCTTCCATTCTTGCCACATAAAGTAAATCCTCAAACATTTGTCTTTCCTTGCTCTGTCAGACTAAACCCAGACCCTCCCAGCTTCCCTGTGTATAACCAATGAAGGGCAAATCTGTCTGCTCTACACTGACTGCTTCCTTAATTCTTCTCTCTCCCTCGTACCAACTTTCTGGTAACTACCAACTGGCCTCCAGCCTTTGTCTTTTCTCTAATCTGCTCTTCCAAAAGACACCAGAGATCACTTTTCCAAAGCAGATGAATCTGTTAGTCACCACTAAAAAAATAATAACCTGATATTTACAACACACCCTTCAGGCTTAACCAATGGCTTCCAGCATTTAGAATACTCTTTTCAATCTGTCCCCAGAATCTTTGTAATCACACCCCTTGGGATAGCTAATCTCCAGTGTCAACTTGATAAGCTATAGAATCACCTGGGTGATGGGCCTCTGGCGTGCCAGCAGGGGATTATCTTGCTTTGGATAACTGAGAAGGCAAAGACTGACTCCTGTGAGTGGCACCATTCCTGAGGCTGGGATTCTGAACTGTATAAAAAGAAGAAGGAGCTGAGCACAAGACTCCCCTCCCTCCCCCTCCCCCCTTCCCCCTCCTCTCTCCCCCCTCCTCCCCCTCCCCCCTCTCCTTCTTGATCATAGGTGCCATCTGACCAGCTACTTCAAATTCCTGATGCCCTGAGCCGTGAGCTAAAATAACCTTCTCTCCTTAAGTTGCTTCTGTCATACTTTATCACAGCAGCAGCAGGAGTCACTAACACACCTCCTCAGCCCCCCCTCCCTGCTTCTGCCCCTACTGACTATTCACTGAGGAGTTTAAAGAAACAGTGTATGTTGCCATTGATACGGGGTATGCAATAAAAACGCCGCAAAGGGACACAAAGAGAGGAGGACGGGGCGCAGCAGCCTGGTGTGGTCAAGTGAGTAATGGATAAAATACAATCCTGTGAGAGGTGTGTGCAATACTGACCCTCCAGCACTCATCCCTGTATCTCAACAGCACTGTACAGTTTGAAAGAACATATAAATATGCTCTTATGAGCCTAATTCTGTTTCCTTGTGTGTTTTAACCTGTATCTCAGGAATTCTGTCATAATAGTCATCTTCCTGTAATTCTCACTAACAATTTGTGAGGTAATTAACTTTAATAGAAACTTATTAGAGAAAAATGTAGTCGACTCCCTCCAAATCACGCAGGAGTTCCTAATTTTCTTCTCTGAACCCTGCCACCCGTTCCTCTCCTCTGTCAATAATTATACAATTCAATCACCACTAGATGATCAGTCATTCTTCAATCTCTGTTAAAGACTACTAGCAGAACTTTAAAAAGTTAAAGTAGAAAATCCAAACTTTTTAGTGCAAATAATGTTATTCTGTACCAAGAAGAGCTTTGAAAATTCACCATTTTCCACTTAGAGCTTGTTTGGAGGTGTGATGGCTGCTGTGTGGCTCCAATAATAGCCCAAATCCCCCACATTCCTTTAAAAATCAAAAATGCACATTCCATTTTATTTTTTTAAAGAATTTCTGATACCAAACTGGACAGAGAAAAATCCTACAAGGCCTCAGCACTACACAAAGAACCTCAGGCTATTGAAAAATGCTGAGAGCAGAAGAAGTGGCCTTCTCCAGGGAAGAGACACCATTGGTTATCCGGTGCCAATGAGGCAGCCCTGAAAACATACATGCCAGTAGCATCATAAGGACCAAGCAGGTTATATTTAGGAAGATATATACATATGCAAAATATACATATATAGATATACATATATGCATGCAATAACAATTGATGAAAAAGAGGCCATGAATTTGAGGGAGAATAAAGAAGTACATAGGAGAGTTTGGAGGGAGGGAAGGGAAGGGAGCAATGTAATTATGTTGTAATCGCAATAAATAAATAAATAAATAGAAAAAACTTAACCCCTATATGAGGACTACATCTACATCATTTCAATCCCACCCTACCCTCCACCATCCCATTTTAAAGCAAGCATAACATCAAGAAGTGCCATCAGGGGTGGTACAGATGGCTTAGTAGTTAAGAGAACTGGTTGCTCTTCCAGAGGACCCAGATTCAATATCTAGCACCTACATTGCTTCTCACAACCACCTGTAACTCCAGTTCCAAGGGATCTGATGACCTCTTTCAGCCTCTGCCTGCAGGCAGACACTTGCACATAAAATAATAATAACTTTAAAAATTAAAACCCTGCCGGTACCCAAAGTACAGCCCAACAGGGAAGATAAATTGGAAGCATGGGCTAGCTAAAGAAAATGGAACACTGTGGTGACTGTAGTTATCACATGTTTTTTTAAACCAGAACTAATGAGGGTAAGAACATCTTAGGTTGTCTCTGATTTCCACATGGGCACCAAAGCATGTGCATACCTGCACACACACACACACACTCACACAGATTGACAGGAGGAGCATGTGGATACCTGCGTGCACACACACACACACACACACACACACACACACACTCACACAGATTGACAGGAGGAGCATGTGGATACCTGCGTGTGCACAGACACTGACACACACACACACAGATTGACGGGAGGGCCTACGTGGGTGAAAAGCAGGAGACAGCACAACAAAGAAAATGACAGAACATCTGGATAGTCTAACCACCTAAATTAACAGAAAACACTGAAGACCAGAGAGAATTGAGGTGCTTGCCCAATGTTCCACAAGTTAATGACTGTAAGTATTTGCTCAGGATGAGCATGGCCTTCTTCTGCATAGATGTGTATGTTCTGGGCACCTGACTGCACCAGATTACACCGACCTCCCAAGTACTGGGTGGCTCATGCTTCCGTGTTAAATAAAACATGAGACTTACCGTGTTCCCAGAGGGTTGGCCTGTGACAACACGCCTCTGTTGTTTCCAAGAAACATTATACAGGAAATGCTTTCAAGGTGTTACTAAAGAAGGTGAACTGTTAATAAAAATAAAGCAAGCCTGCTTTGCTTGGCTGAGCAGAGGGATGTTTTTCAAGAATTTTAGTGTGAATCAGCTAATGCCTGCCTGAGCAAACAAGCATAATAACGGTGACGGCAGCCAACCGTTAGCCAGCATGTGCTGTCTGCCCGGAGAACTCACAAGAATATCTTTACCCTGGCAGCAGTCTATGCAATTGATATGGCATCGTCCATTTTCCAGTCTGCGTTCAACAGGTGAGTGACCTGGATTCACAATTCCTCGGTCTGAGTCCTCATAGTACTTGTCATTTTAACTGATGTCTGGAGTCTCACGGAATCGGCAGCACATTCCCTTTGGGGGAGAGGGGGAATGAGTTTGAACATAAGCTATATGCCCTTTGAGTATATAATTACTCTCTCACAGACTAAACCCTGGTCCAAGAATTTAAGCCAGGAATAGAGGTTACAAGACGAAGGAAAAGATAGTAACAGACATGGTAAACACAGGAACCTGCTCCAATTCTCCCTATCAGGTGAAGTATAAAATAGAATCCAAAGTCCCTTGAAGTTGCAGAGATGGTTCTGTAGCTAAAAGCACTAGATGCTCTTGGAAAGGACCCTTTTGGTTCCCAGCACCTATGCGGGGCAGCTCCAGGGGATTCGTCACCCTCTTCTGGCCTGTTGCATGCAGGTGCATGAGTACGTGTGCATGCACTCACGTGCACATACACACATTAAAAGCAAAGTATTTTCACATTTTTCTTTTTCAGTACTGCCCCAGCTAGGTGGAATTCAAATATTTCAACTTTACCATTTCCTTCCTCTTCTAAGAGTTGAACATAAGCTGATAGGATCTGGGACAGCCTGGATTCATGTATCTCCCATAGTGGTTAAAACCCAGGAAACATTCTGTAAATTCTTCTTTACATACATGAATGAACTAAGGAGTATTTACTTTGCCAACAATGGACATAACAGCTGACATTATGCACCATAGTCCTATGTAGAACTGTTCATTTGCATTACCTATTTTATCCGAAGCAAACCTATGGTGTCATTATTGTAGTCTTTCCATTGGACATGAAGACTCAAATATTCAATAACTTGCTCATAGTAAATTACTATGTAATCAAAATCTGTCATGATCCCAACCCAATCTTCTTTTTTTAATTTTTTAAAATTTAAATTAGAAACTATTGCTTATATTATTAGCTGTCAACCCAACCTTCTTAACTACTGTCATGTTCCCACAGCCAATGTTAATAACAATACTGATATCCACTGCTTCTGTGTCTTTAGGGTTTGCTATGTTACACACACATTACATAATAATATGCCTTAATCCCCCAATAACTCATTTACTACCCATTAGTGGGGATTCCTTTCATTTCATTTCCATTATGACTGTGAATAAGTCATTTAACTTCTGAAGTGCTGTTTTTTGTTTATGGAACATGCATAATCCTCTTACCAAGCTTCTATGACAACTCTAGAGATGGTCATCTAGTACATTGTCTGTGTGTCCTGGATGCAAAACACACACAACATGCCCCAAACTGAAGCTCCCTTTTGCCTGAATTTGATTTGATTCATTCCACACTCCTTGGAGAGCATTTCATTTGCAAAGCAACACCTTAGAAATAACCTATGTCCAAACTCTAATTGAAAGGTCACAGAATCTCTTTCAACTCACGCTGAAAGCAACTCTCTTAAAGAATAAGCACCAGTTTTAATTAAAAAAAAGGAAGGGTGGGTGTCTCAGAGGGGCACAGTCTTCAAAAGCCAGATATGGTCAGTGTGTGTGTCCAAAGGATGGTGCCAACAACTGGATGTATGAAGTATATTTCCCTAATTAAAAATTAGCACCCTGCTTAAGAAGATTGTGGTTTTTTATTAATTGAAATATATATGTACATAATCTTAAGTATACACTAGATGATTTCTTTACATAGGAATACACCCCTCTAACGCCACCCAAGACAAATATGGAACGTTTCCGGAATCCCATGACCCCCCCCAACCCAGAGTGATTAAAAATCAACAGAAAAGGCCCACTAAAATCAGAACTGAATGCAGAAAGTGAAGAACTTTCAATGCTAGACGGCAAGAAGGTTGGATATGAGAAAGGTCATTGGGTAAAACGAACCCGACTTCCGGCTTCTTTCGAATGGTGCATGCAGCATGCTTCCGTGCGCTCATGCTCACTTTGTTCCTCAGTCCTCGCAAGGACTGCGACCTGCTCCAGGCTTAATCCTATTTTGCATGTGAGGAAACAAACATGTTCAGGGTTTTGGAGGAGAATCGCTCCAACTGCAGCAGAAGAGCAGGCTGAGGAATCAGATCAGCAAATCCATCCACGTGGCAGAGGGACCTGGGAGGGCCAGGCATCAGGTTACCAGGCAGCACTGAGACAGCCAGTATAAAAGCCCTGACCAGCTGTCCTAGAACACCAGCTATCAACCCTGTCGCGCGCGCTTTGAATTTCTCGCGTTTGAAAACCGTCAGACACAGAACACCAGGTATATGAATGGAAACCCAATTGAGACTTGGATGGCCTGAAGCTCTCTGAAAGGAGCCACCGTTTCTGGTGTGTGTGTGTGTGTGTGTGTGTGTGTGTGTGTGTGTGTGTGTGTGTGTGTGTGTGTGTGTGTGTGTGTTCTTGCTGACTGGAGTGATATTAGACTTTTGAGTTTCCAGGAAACGGATGCACAAATGCACAAAGCAAAGCGTCTTTTGGCACCAGGAACAGGGGCTAAAGTTAGAAGACAAAGATAACAGGGCCAGTAAGGGAGGATGGAGAAGACTGCAGCAAGCTGCAGGTTACATGACAGCCGACTGGAGACAGGGCGGGTGATAAACAATTGTTTCTCAGTCTCTGAAAACAGTTTGCAACGGGGGTGAGGGATGCCTTGTAAGGGTCGAAGAAGGGGGACAGAAATTCCCACTTTCCTCGGGGGGGGGGCTCTGACAGGTGTGCCTTTGTATATTTCAGGCAGCCTCAAACAGAGAATCACCAGGTTCCAGGACCAGAGAAAGGCCAGATGTGGTGTCTGGAACAGCTCTTAAAGAACCGAGACGGGTTTCTCCCAGGGCGAGCTCGTCGCACCAAATCGCAGTCGTCCGCTGCGAGCGTGAACGTGCTCACTCCTGACCGCATCCCGGAGTTCTGCATACCACCGAGGCTGGAGTCTAGCACCGCCGGGGCTGCGCTGCGCGATGCCTGGGCTGCAGACGAAGAGACAGACGACCACGCGGGTCGCACCGACTGGGACCCGCGCTCCCAGGCCGCGCTCTCGCTGCTGCACCTGCCCCGCGCACGCACCGCCTACGGCTTCTGCGCGTTGCTCGAGAGCCCGCACACGCGCCGAAAGGAGTCGCTCTTCCTCGGCCACCCAGATGCCCGAGTCCTCGTGCCCGGACTTCGCCACCGCTCACACACCTACGGAAGTCCGCGCCGAGTCCCGGACTCTCCGCGCTCCTTGCCGCGCAACCCAAATGCCACCGTGGTCCCGTCACCTACTCCTAAGTCTCGCAGACGCCGCTTCCTGCGCGCCCCTGATGGGCTGCTGAGTCGCGCGCTGAGGATCCCTCGAGGTCGGACCGGCGCGTGCTCCTCGTCCTCCCGCTACAAGCACGAGCGCGCCGCTCCCTGCACGTCCCCGGTCCCTGTAAGCCCACGCCCCGAGCTCCTGCAAGCCGAAGCCAGCGTGGCCCTGGGCCACGGGGACTGCACGCTGCGCCTGGCCGCCGAGTACTGTCCGCGCAGCGCATGTCTCCGTCTCCGCCTGCTGCGTGCCGAGGGTCCGGCTGCCGCGCTCGGACCCAGCACCCTGGGCTGTCGCCTCAGCCTGGTGCTAAGGCAGTCGGGCCAGCAGCGTGCCAGCGTTCTCCGCCGTAGCCGCAAGGCCTCCCTGGACCAGGACTGCTGCTTCGACCGGCTCTCGGAGGAGCAGCTGCGCCGCTTGTCAGTTCGCATCAAGGCCGAGAGCAAGGGCCGCGGATTGGAGCGTGGACGGCCACTGGGCCAGGGCGAGCTGCTGCTGGGCTCGCTGCTGCTGCTCTGAGCCCAGATTCCGTGAGGTCGTGGACACAGAAGGTCGTTTGGCCTTGAGATGCACACACTCTTGGCCATGGAACACTTGCAGACAGTTTTGACTCTTAGTCCTGGAACACTCACAGCCTCTTGGCTTTTGAACCCTGAAGGTCACTTGGCTTTGAGACACTCCCAACTCTTGGATCCTGAGAGTCGCCTTATCCTGGCACATTACTCACAGCCTTTTGGCTCTTGGACACTGACAGCAGTTTGTACAAAATAAACACGTCTTCATTTTTCTAATCAGGACTTTGTTTCATAATCCTGGCAGAGATGATCCCGGATTATTATCACAGTAACAGTTTTAACTTCTTTTTGTGTGGACAAACACCTTGAAATTTCCGTTGAGTGACGGGGTAGTATTGAGCATTGTTTCCCACTGTAGACAGTGATTATATGTCATGTGTATCATATACTCGAACTGGAAGATAGTTTATGTCATGCAGTATTAGGCCAGTCTCATATTAAAAGCTCGTGCATTCCATGGTTATCTTTTGAGACTTACAGTGTCAGTTACTTTTATAGCATTAAGATGTTGGTAAGAAAGGCCAAGATCTAGAAAGATTGCAGAGTGGGTAAAAGGTACTTGCAGCTATGCCTCATCACCTGAATTCGTGTCTAGTGTGGATTGTGACACCTACATGATGGAGAGGGAATGTCTCCATAAGCTTTCGTCTGGCATGACATCACCCCAACACACTTAAATAATGTAATTCAATCGTTTTTAATAAAAGGCCAGGAAGAAATGACTTCAAGTAAGGACTCCACTCATATCCTAAGCTCCATCCTTCTGGGAATCCAATAAAGATGTGGAAATCATTTTAAAATTTAAGTAGCAGTCATAATAGTTTTACAAGTTTTAACTTGTTTCATTTGGAGAGCAACCTTGGATGGGAGGCACTACTCTTCCCATCGTGCAGACGAGGCACAGAATAAAGAGAAGGCAGGGTCTGAATGTAGGGCATCAGGATTTTACTCATTGAAGTGCTTGTCTGGGAATGGGGGTATATCTCAGTTGGTCCAGTGCTTGCCTGGCATGTACAAAGCCCTGACTTCTATCCCCAGAATTGCGCAGCCTTAGATCCTATTAACTCATACCTATAATCTCAATATTGGGAGGTGGAAACAGATGGATAAGAAGTTCAAGGTCATCCTCAGCTACATAGAGAGTTTAAAAGCCAGCATAAGTTACATGAGATCCTGCCTGAAAAAAAATTAAAGGCTCATCCAAAAGTGATGAGATTTTGCAACTTGTCTGAAAATGGTTCCGAGTTTGAAGTCATATTCCTCATGTTCAGGATGGAAAGCAGTGATGTATGACATCAGTCTGAGACTGAGGAGAACGCTAACCCCCCTCAGGCCCACAAGGTCCAGATCCTCAATTTCTGTAACTCAGGTGGAGCTAAGCTGCCAGGGCGAACAGTCTGGAGAGCATCCAGAACAGTGTTCCACCTCAGCTTCTAATAGGCTTTCCTGTGTCTTGAGGATGAGTTTCCTACATCCCTCACGTTCACTACCGAGCTGGGTTACTGCTACCTTTCACGTGCATGTAAGTGGAAAACATATCCTAAGCAAGGGTAGAAGACATCAAAATATACACTACAGCGTGAGCTGTGGTGACATTATCAAGCTGGAATGGTTTCTGTTGCCACTTGACTTGGTAGTTTTACCCATAGGTCCTCGTGAAGAATGCTATTTAGAAAAGAGTTTCCATTTCTGATACATCTCAAACTGAATACAGGTTACTGTGGTGAGGATTCACAACAGTGACCATTGGAAAGTTATCGACACAGTCTAAATCACCTGCTTCCAGAAACTTACTGTTGTGGGCCCCATGAGTAGCTCTTGTCTGGCTCATGCCTTTTCCCTATTTACAGAATTCTGGACCTTCAAGCCAATTGTTTTGGTGGTGATGGTGGTGGTGGTGGTTGTGGTACTACCGGTGGCTTGGTTTATTTGTTTGCTTGGTTTGGTTTGGTTTTCATTTTTGTTTGTTTGGTTGGTTTTTCAGGAAGGGTTTCTATGTATAGTCCTGGCTGTTCTAGAACTCACTCTGTAAAGTAGACTGGCCTTGAACTCACAGAGATTGGCCTGCCTCTGCCTCTACAGTGTAGGGATTGAAGGCATGTGCCACCACTGGCTGACTCCAGTTGTTTTTGAATGTATAGACTTTTTCATGACTTTAGAGGTCTCCTAAAACCAAAGTAAAAAGTGAATACAACTTACGTCTATGACATGTTGCTGTGGGATTTCTGTTTTCTTTGCACTAGTGGTTGGGGTATAGCCAGTCCTTATTCTAGATACTGATATTGTCTCTGTCCCTGCTAGACTATAAGCATGTCACTTTATTAGGTAATTTCCTCCCAAAAGGTAAATTAATATATTTGAATGTCCTAAACTCTCCAAGAAATCCTAGTGGGTACTTCTAAACCAGAATCTCCATCAATTAAAGTTACAGTTGACCTAAAGTCCAAGACTGTAGTCGGAAGGATTTCTAAAAGACTGAAATATAATAAAAAGTAAATAACTGAACTATTGAATTCCAGTTTGAAAAGAACTTTAAGTATTGTTTTGTGCAACTATGTAATGTCTTAAGAGTGGACCAGAATGGCAAATATTATATTGCTTCAAATCACATTACTGTAAGAGCTAAAACCAGAAGTAATTCTTTTGTCTTTTAACCTAGTGAACTCCCACACCACTCATTCCAAAAGAGAAACATTTTATACATTTATTTCACATCATTGAATCAATTTGAATTACATTGAGCAAATCATATTTGTAAAATATATATATATATATATATATATATTTTTTTTTTTGCCATACCATCAGTCTTTTCCATGGGCAAAGTTAAATTTGATTTGTACTTACTGCCCTCTAGTGGATTGCTCCAAGGTTTGTTCGTGGCTCTCGCCTTGTCACACTATCTTGGGTAATCCAAAACTCTGTTTTCTTTTTTCTTTTTGAAATAGTGTCTCCTATAGTCCAGCCTGGCGATCTCAAACTAGTTATGTAACCAAAGATGACATTGAACTACTGATTCTCCTACAAGCACGTTCTAGGATTATGGCATTTGTCAGCACAGCTGGCTCAGAACCAGATGTTCTTGAAGCTATTTATTAATATCCACAAATAAAAATAACTAAATATAAATGACAGGGAAGGTGCAAAGCAGTTTTTTGGTTTTTGGGGTTTTTTTGTTTGTTTTTGTTTGGTTTTACGAGACTGGGTTTCTCTGTATTGTTTTGGAGGCTGTAGGACCAGCCTGGCCTCAAACTCACAGAGATCCGCCTGCCTCTGCCTCCTGAGTGCTGGGATTAAAAGCGTGCGCCACCACCACCCGGCAGAAAAACCGTTTTAAAATAAGAAAAGGAAGAGCTTGATGATGCACGTTTATAATCTCTGCCCTCCAATGGCAGAATCAGGAAAATCTGGACAAGTTCAAATACAGCCTGGGTCTCATTGCAAGATCTTGTATTAAAAGAAGAGAGAGAGAAAGTGGGGGGAGAGATCACAACTAATTTTGTTACAGTACAATGGGTCTTTGGTATCCCTAGATATTGGTTTCTGGAACAATACAGATGTCAAAATCTTCAGATGCTCCAAGTCCATTGTATAAAATGATACATTGTTTCATTATTTGCAAACAGTTCATGCACATGTTCTCAAAGCACGCTTAATCGTTTGTAGGTTGCTTATCATACCTAACATGGTGTGAGTGCTCTGTTAAGTAGATTTTGTATGTGTTGGTCAGGGAATTATGACAAGAAAAAAACTGCATATACTAGTACAGAGGCAATTAAAACCGTATTTCAATCTGTAGTTGGTTACATGTATTAGCCAAGTATTAGAGTAAAGGGCTGTGTGCATGGTAACAGTGACTTGTTGGTTTCGGAAACCTTCTGTAAGCAGACTCTGGGACTGGTTAAGAGCACTTGGTGTTCTTGCTGGGTTCAGTTCCCAGCACCCACACCAATTGGCTAATAACCGTCTGTAACTCCGACTCCTGGGGATCTGATATCTTGTTCTGAATTCTGTGGGCACCTTCATATATATGGTGCTCATACAGATATGCAGGCACACACTGTTATTATAGAACAACAGGAGGAACCTTGCATGGTGGACCTTTTGGGGAACCTTGGCGGATTCCATGGCGGGTGAGGTTGACCAAGTCGGGGGACAAATATGCCTAGCAGACAGAGTTTAAGTGAGAAGTTTTATTAGAAGGGGGAGGGAAGGGGAAGGAAAAAGAAAAGAGGTAAAGAGACACAGAAGGACTGAAGAGAAGTGGGAGACAGGAAAAGTCCTATTTGCCCTAGGAAAACAGCAGAAAAGAGAGCTGGGAGAGAAGAGAGGAAAGAGGAGCAGGCAAAGAGAACGTAAGTAGGCAGGGGTCTTTCTTTTAAAGGGGTCCTTTGCACCTGCGTGCAGACTATTAGTCATGGAACGTTGGGCTGACCAGAGTATACTGCCTGAGTGCATTCTGCCAGCTGCCAGTGGCAGACCATGAGCATAATGCCAGAATCTTTACTCACACAGGTACAAGTTACAAGAATACCTAGCCCAAAGAGTGCTTGGAAAGCTAGAAGTTCACAAATAATATTTGCCACTAAAAAAGAAATGAAAACAAGAAAGGAAAGAAAAAATCATTGTGTTATGTATATTTACCCATCGTGATGATTTACGTTGATTGCCAACTTGACAGGAGCAACACTCGCTTACAGGACCAAGCTGTGAGCGTGTGTGTGAGGGAGCTTCTAGATTAGGCTCATTAAGGTGAGGAGCAGCCCCCCCCAACCAAGGGCAGCAGCCTCATCGGAGCTGGGATCCAAATGGAAAAGAGAAAATGGGCTTATCACCAGCATTCATCTCTGAACTTCCTGAATGACGGCACAATGAGAGCTGCTGCTTCAGCCTCCTGCCCCCGAGATTCCCACCATGATGGTCTGTACCATGGAGCTAGGGGTCCAAACCGTTCCTCCCTCTCTCCCTTCCTCCCTCACTCCCTCTTTCCCTCTCTCCCTCCTTCCCTCCCTTCTGTTGTTTTTCTCAGGCATTCAGTAACAATGAGAAAAGTAATACACCCGCTAGTGTCTCCAAAAACCAGTTTGAGCAGTGTGGCCTTCTTGCAAATTGATGTCATGGCTGTTATAGACCCATGATAAAATTCATAGCTAATAAAATTTTGATATGCCCATACCAAAAAATCATAAAAACAGGGTTTATAAGCACAGTAGGAGATTTCAGACTAATTTCCTGTTTGTTTTATGTTGACTTTACAAGTCTAGGAGCAGTAGATACTCTTTACAGACCAGGATTCAATTGGGACTACTTCCAACTAGTGACAGGGTATTAGCAGATTGCCTGGGAAAGTGGTACCTTAATGGATCACCTAACCAATGTGTAGACATTGCAAAATGGCACTATCTTCTACAGCATCCATACTCAAGAAGTGCACAACCAAGTTATCACAAACAGTCATGTTCT